GTTGAGAAAATTCAAACAAAGATTAATATTTTAAACTTTTAAAATAAAATTACAACTTTTTAACAGATGACTCTCATTCATGATATATTGATCCAATTCAACTTTTTCAAATTAACTTTTCATTTTAAAGGGACTGTTAGCGTAATTTGAGTGACCCTTTATGCAAAGATAGAATTATGCCCAATTCGTACCCTACAGAAACCTTTAGATGATCAGTAGTGTAAAAGATATTGTCGTTTTTCTAGATTTAAAAGTTTTAGAGAAACCACAATTAAAAAAACCAGCGTATTGTGAATCAAGTATTGCCTTAAGAAGATATATCAAAAGAAATTTAAAAATCATTTTTATTTCTTTATCTTTTTCCTTATTTTCAAATGTTCATCTCGATGCATTTACCAAAACTATATATTTACAACTCCGACACTTTTGTCAAGATATTGTCAATATTTTCAACAAAACTTTCAGATGCACCAAACTCCTATTTCATTTATGTACAGCAAAAAAACATTTTAGAATTATGTAAAATAAAAATATTAAAAATATTAATCAATAAAAACACTGCCGTGTACAGAACCAAACTATGAAACGTTTATTTTTTCAAACTAATTTTTGATATCAGTACCACAAAAAAATTGTTTTGAATATTGATTTAATCGACCAACTGGGAATAATAAGTTGCAATTTTTGGCCACCAGGTGCATGGTGCTAAAGTCGCGCCATGGTGGCGCTCTTGCCAGGAATATGAAATAGAAGGGAGATACAACTGTGGCGGCCCGCACTACCTTATAATTATACATGCTTTGCAGACGGGTACTCCATTTGTATCAGAAATAATCAGAATAGGTTATTGTATAAGTGGTTATTGTAAGACAAATATTTCCTATACAAATAAAGTACCGTCTGCAAAGCATGTACAATTACACGGAAGGGCAGCCCGTTTCAGTTATATCTCCCTTCTATTCTAATCTTTACTCCTTGCACTTGGGTCAAATAAGAAGTCTCATCAATTTTTATGACAGGGTCGACTTTGAAGTGTTGCAACGCCTTGGGCTTTGCAAATTTTACCGCTCTTACACAATGATTCTTTTCTGTAGCCCTTTACATGTACATTTTAGCCCTTGTTGTTAGCTTTAGTTTTTGAGAAGTATATATTGGCAAAATTATTTTAGATCTTTGCTTCAGATACTGAGGACTTTAAATCACTGGCAACGCTGTTGAGAGAATATTAAAGTTGTAAATTTTCAGTTTTTGATAAATTAAATATCTTAATTCTTAATCGGTTATCGATAAAACTATAAGCTATTCAAATGATTAAGTTTCATTTAACATCCCATTTATTTTGCCCAATGGTATAATCCCATTTCAAGAAAGAAAACCTTTTTTTATTTTTTAAACTTTCCATAGAAATGCTATAAAAGAAATTCTGTAGAACATTTATTATTCTCTTTATAAGCTAGTTTTCTATCAAGTTAGAGTAGAACTGAACCGATTAGAAGTTTGGAAGAGTTTTCTGAAGCAAAATATTAATTAAAAATTTTTTTTGGAAATCATCAAAGATATTCTAATTTATTTAGTTTTGTTTTATATACGTGTTTACAATTGCAGCTTGAAAACAAAATTTTAAAGCTATAAATGTTTTATGAAAAATGGGCCAAGCTTTTAAAAAATGTAAGCTCATAAGTTTGATTTTGTTACATTGTGAAAAGACATAAGATACTCTGTCTATAACTCGTTTAAGGCCCAAATGAAAAATGAAAACGAGTTGTTTAAATATAAATATTTCTCAGAGTAAATGTATCCTGTATGCAAGATATTTTTTTAAACATACATTTTAAATACTGATTCTTGTGAAGCATTTTGAAGTCAAAAGCTCTTAAATGATTTTAAAATAAAAAAAATCAAGAATGAGGAAAAAATCAAGAATGAGGAATAACCACAGTATTTATTCAAATTGTGCTCTAAATACAAATTCATTGTGTCTAAACCACTTTAGACATTTCCTAACAAACATTGGACCTCAGGCAATTCTAACGTTTTTAAAAATATTTAAAGTTTGTTGACAACATATAAGAATCCTCTGTATCTGATTCTGAGACCTTTTAGACCTTTAAAACAGCCGTGTATCGATCTGAACTATTAAGTTTAGAAAAAATCTAATATTATGGGACAGAAGATCGGTGATTCAAGATTTGAACCGACGGTTGGCAGTTCAGCGACCTCTTCTTAAAAACAAATGTCAAGGTTTTTCTACATTGTTTCTGCAGTTTAATTCCACTTCTTATTTCTTGATGTAAACCACAGTCGAAAATTATCAATTTGATCAGGCCACGCACCTCTGACCCTTTAGTAAAAGTAAAGTCTTACCGCGTCAACCTTGTTGCACCGGCTAGACCTATTGAGTGTCGGTTTTCTTTACCCAATGTCCTGGCGATACAGTACAAACTGGAACCGGAAAGGTTGACCCGGCTCGGAAATTCAAATGTACTACGGCTGCCCGCAAAGGTTTAAAGGGTAAAGTAGAAAGCAAAATGTCTCTTGAAATTACGTTTAGAATACCTTTAAATAAACAAATAAAATCAAACATCTGAAATCATTGTAATTTTCTGGAAAATTCGCAATTAAGCTAGAAATTTATTATTCCCTAATGTTTACAAATTCTCCATGGAGGCTTGAATTATTGAGTACAAGTTATCCTTTAAATATTTGATTGTTCAGACTTGATGTTTACAATCTTGAAACCCCGGTCTAAATTTAGAAACCCCGGTTCTAATCAAATTACAAACTGAAATAAAATAAAGAAACAAGCTATGGGGAAAATTAAAGAAATGGGGGGAAAGGATGGAACAGGGTGGAGATGGAAAGAGACAGGGGGAGAATGGGAAGAAAGGGGGGGAAATGGATGAGACATGGGATAAAATGTAGGGAAAAATGAAAAATGGAAGCAACACAAATAAAATGGAAGAAACAGGGGTAAAATTGAAGGAACAGATGGAAAACAAGGGAGGGGGAAGTGGGAGATACAGGGAAAAGAAAAGAAACAGGGAAAATGGAATGGGAGATGCAGGAAAAAGGATAAAACATGAGGAAAATAGGAAGAAACAGGGGTAAAATGTAAGAAAACGGGTTAAATGAAAGATAGAAGGGGGAAACGGATAAAACACGTTAAAAGGGATAAATTCAGGAGGAAATTTTAAAAAGAATGGAAAATGAAAGAAACATGCATCAACGTTTTGGTGGGATTGGAAAAACGGNCCCCCCCCCCCGCCCATTTAGTAGAGAATGGGTTAAATATCCTTGAAGTAAAGGGTTAAATATTCTCGAAGTAAAGGGTTAAATATTCTCCAAGTAAAGGGTTAAATATTCTCGAATTAAAGGGTTAAATATTCTCGAAGTAAAGGGTTAAATATTCTCGAAGTAAAGGGTTGAATATTCTCGAAAGAAAGGGTTAAATATTCTCGAAAGAAAGGGTTAAATATTCTCGAATTAAAGGGTTAAATATTTTCGAAGTAAAGGATTAAATATTTTCGAAGTAAAGGGTTAAATATTCTCGAAGTAAAGGGTTAAATATGCTCAAAGTAAAGGGTTAAATAGTCTCGAAGTAAAGGGTTAAATATTCTCGAAGTATGTGTCTGAAACTATTATGTAACAGAGAGTGAAGTAAAATAATATTTATGAGGTTTAAACCTTCTCCAAATATTTCAAATATTTGATTAATTCTTCAAGTTACAATAAATCCATATTTGCTAGTGTGAGATATTTCATTTTCTGACAATATAATTCTTTTCCTATAAAGCTCTTGTTCCTGTATTTCCACCGTCAAACCGGAACTTACTCATAAGTATTTCAGATTTAATAGGTCAGAGCTGGGAACTTTAGAATGGTGGATATCAAGATCAATGCTTGATCCTCTCTTTTCTTAATCTCAAGACTAGCCTATTTTTGTACTTGTATCCTGAAAAGTGTATAAAATTCAACCAATCAGAGTCGCTTATCAGAAGCCAGGAAATTTGAAATTTTTCGCGCCATTTCAGATCAATATACAGAAACGGGAGTGATTCTCTAATTTTGAAAAACCAGTTTTTGATTTTTCTGTAATATAACCAAAAAAGAGTGCGTTTAGCCCTAATTTAAAAATGTCCACATTGAATATTCGGATTAAGCAGTCGGGATTAAAGGTATCCCATTCTAAAGTTCCCAGCTCAGGTTAACTTCCTTTTTTGGATGATAATTTATTTCTCAATTATGAAATTCACATGTTTAAGCACAGCTCTAAAAAGAAGATTGAAAAAATAAAATAATAAAATGTGGTTAACAAACTCATCCATTTCTCTTCTAAGTGGAAAACGTTTGCATATCTTGATGCATATTATTGTTCATCTATACAAGGTTAGTTGCGCCAACTAACCTTGTATACATGAACAATAATATGGGTCAGCTAACATTGAATAGATGAACAATAATATGCGTCAACTAACCTTGTATAAATCAACAATAAAATGCGCCAACTAACATTAAATAGATGAACAATAATATGCTTCAACTAACCTTCTAAAAATGAACAATAATATGCGTCAACTAACCTTGCATAAATCAACAATAATATGCGTCAACTAACCTTAAATAGATGAACAATAATATGCTTCAACTAACCTTCTAAAAATGAACAATAATATGCGTCAACTAACCTTGTATAAATCAACAATAATATGCGTAAACTTACCTTAAATAGATGAACAATAATATGCTTCAACTAACCTTGTATAGATGAACAATAATATGCGTCAAATAACCTTGTACACATGAACAATAATGTGCGTCAACTAACCTTGTTTACATGAACAATAATATGCGTCAACTAACCTTGTATAGATGAACAAAAATATGAGTCAACTAACCTTGTATAGATAAACAATAATATGCGTCAACTAACCTTGTATAGATGAACAATAATATGATTCAACTAACCTTGTATAAATGAACAATAATATGCGTCAACTAACCTTGTATAGATGAACAATGATATGCGGAATACAAGGAGAACCAGAGGACCTAAGACCAGGGGCAAGACAAGAACCATCTGAAAAATATCAAATTTAACAAAGGAAATTCTCAACAAATTTGTGTCATAATTTAGTTTAATTCCTCCAACTTGTAGAAAAGAATATGTTTTACAATTCATGAGATTTTTTATAAAAACCTTCAGACAAAAAAAAAGAAATCATGTAAATAATAATAATTCAAGAAGCAATATATTTATAAAAATGGTTCCGTGTATTATAAACAGGGTTTATTACAAACGATGAGACTGAAAGGACAACCTGAAACTAATATAATAAGTTAAGTAAAGTCTTCTGCTTTAAAAAAAAGTCGTTTAATGAATTCATTAATGATTTCTCTATAAGAATATATATATAAGATTTAAGATTAGCTGAAGGGCCCGGCGTTGCCCGTGGGAAAAGAAAAAGTAAATGTTTTGAAAGAAAAAAATAGAATTTTTTTTTTAGATTTTTTTTTTAGACCAAGACACCCCCCGCGCGCGGCTACCCATAAGAGTCCACAAAAAATGTCAGCCCATTCTGTCTAGCCGTTTGGCTGGCTATCGGTGACATATATACGAATGTCTTGTTCTATTATTTAGAAGATTGCAGACACAATCGAGAAAACAATTTTTAAACTAAAAAAAAACGACCATATTTTCCATATTATTGATCAAATTAGGTTTTAACGGTACTGTTGTGAATCGTGCATTCCCCTTTATCAAAGAAGAGCCAACTCGAATGTTGCCTACTGTCCCTTTAATATCGTTATTTTTACCAGTATTGATGCCCAGGTTAGGTTTGATGAGAATGTATCCTGGAACCAGCAGATTTTATGAATAGCTGGAAGCAGTTGAACCGCATAAACATCTAGTTGAACCATTTGACCATTTGAAGCAATGCTCTTAATTTTTTTAACGGTAAACAAGAGTTCGTCTACGCGGTTAAACTGTTTTTTACTTATTTCTACTTCGTCTATTCGGTTCAACTTCTATTTATTAAATCTGGTGTAGAATAGGGGTAGTACAACTACGTCTACGTGGTTAAACCACTATTTATTAAATCTGGTGTAGAATAGGAGTAGTACAACTACGTGGTTCAACTACTATTTATTAAATCTGGTGTAGAATAGGAGTAGTACAACTACGTCTACGTGGTTCAACTACTTTTTATTAAATCTGGTGTAGAATAGGAGTAGTAATACTATGTCTATTCGGTTCAACTACTTTTTATTAAATCTGGTGTAGAATAGGAGTAGTACAACTACGTCTACGTGGTTCAACTACTATTTATTAAATCTGGTGTAAAAATAGGAGTAGTACAACTACGTCTAGGTAGTTCAACTACTTTTATAAAATCTGATGTAGAATAGGAGTAGTAAAACTACGTGTACATGGTTCAACTACTATTCATCAAATCTGGTGTAGAATAGGAGTAGTAAAACTACGTCTACGTGGTTCAACTACTATTTATAAAATCTGGTGTAGAATAGAAGAGTACAACTACGTCTACGTGGTTCAACTACTATTTATCAAATCTAGTGCAGAATAGGAGTAGTACAACTACGTCTACGTGGTTCAACTACTATTAATAAATCTCTGGTCCCTGGATCGAACAGATTTTATCCGGATTCTTGCTGAGAACTTCTTCACTTAGCATACTGTTCACACCTGATTATCAAAATATATATTTTATATATTTGTTCTTTCAAACTAAAGCGTAATTTCAAGTCACCTTCTGTTAAAAAAAGATCATGTCTGATTCACAACTGTTTTTAAACCTTAATTTGGTGTGGAAGATATCGCCGTTTTCGTAGCTTGAAAAGTGTTAAATTCTAACAATTTTTTTTTATTTCTATAGCAGAAATCCGCAAGCCATTTTATATAGGAACCTCAATGAAAAGAAAAGTATAATAGACAATTTATAAAGAAGCGTTTAAGGGTACCATCAAGAATCCAACATTCCATATGTATAGGGTCCTTTAAATTACGTCTATACCCTATAAGTAAAAAAATCTAAAACTTAAAGGCAGTGTTCGCAAAAAATGGAAGAGGGTATAGGCTTACGGTGAAAAATAAGTGCTTTCGGTCTACAAGGAAAAAAATAAAGGAGAAAAAATGACTCATGCTGAAGAACGTAGTGTCCAGACAAATTCAGAAAGTTGCAACATTCAACTCGGATCGTAAAATAATCAATTTAATTCCAAACAAATCATTCAGATATTACAACCAATAATCATCGATAATTTTTCGACGTATTCGTATATAGTTGATTTTTTTCACGAACTCTCCCTTTAAAGTTATATAAAATCATTCTAAGCTATGATCAGACATTCAAACAAACAGAGAATTACTAATTTAAAAAAGGATAAAAAAATAATTATTAAGAATTACCTCCCATAATCCATAATCCACCAACAATCAGTTTATCTCTCATACTAAACTTATATTCATCATCGTCATCATACAATCTAGAAATATATTCATCATCTTCATCATACAACCTAGAAATATATTCATCATCTTCATCATGCACTCTAGAAATATATTCATCATCTTCATCATACAATCTAGAAATATATTCATCATCTTCATCATACAATCTATAAATATATTCATCATCTTCATCATGCACTCTAGAAATATATATTATCATCTTCATCATACAAACTTGAAATATATTCATCATCTTCATCATACAATCTAGAAATATATTCATCATCTTCATCATACAAACTTGAAATATATTTATCATCTCCATCATACAATCTAGAAATATATTCATCATCTTCATCATACAAACTTGAAATATATTCATCATCTTCATCATACAATCTGAAATATATTCATCATCTTCATCATACAAACTTGAAATATATTTATCATCTCCATCATACAATCTAGAAATATATTCATCATCTTCATCATACAATAATTTATCATTTATTAAATCAGAGGGTCGTATCCTATGCAAGAATGCGTGTTTTCATGTATCATCGCTGGTCAACATATAAAATGTTAGATTACTCTTTTATAAAGGGTTTCTAATCGGAATTTCGTTGCCCAGAATTTCGCGCAACTGTTCTCGTATTACGCTGATATTACAGGGCCCGCAATTGCGCGCGATTAAAATCCACTTGAGTTGGCAAGTTAGTGATTGAGAAATGAGAATGCTCTGCAAATAACGGATCTGCCTGGGGTACACAGACCAGTTACACACAGAGTGCTCATAAGCTCCCACTGCAGATAGGCCAAGCAGCTAGGCCTATAGTTGTACCGGCACGACATGCTACATTTCCACAAGAGATTTTTGACTGCCATCTAACGTCCACTTGTTGCATATAATACCCATTCAGGGGTTAAATTTTATAATTTCTAACTTTTAACATAAAACATAAGATTTATTAATTTAGTCAATTTTGAAGGTTTTGTATTAATTAAGATCCTTAAATATCCCTTATTACAGACGTTTGTTTATTGGTTTATTGTTTATTGAAACCTACTCTGGAAAATATCGCATATTCTGGCCTTTAATAGATCTTTGTAATGTAATCTTTTATCTCCGGCCTGGCCTTACCCCGTATTGTCCTGGGATAGTTTCGGGATTAGCTAGATTTTAATAGTTAAAAAAGCCTAGCATGTCCTGTGAGGGTGTGACAAGAACTTTTAACTATTAAGTTTCGAGTTTTAGAGAGATGTAAGTTGTAAGCAGGGGGGATGATAGTTTTCTACCTTTGTGTTCAGTTAGCCGTACTGTACACTTACTACTGTTTACTAATAATGATATACTATAGGTTAGGCCAGAATCTCATTATAATATATTTGCAGTACGTTCTCGGTATAGTTTATGGCCTATACAATTAGTAAAGGATTAGCGTACATCATCACTCTATACACTATAACCCCATTGGTTGTAAGTGTAGGACTAAGTAGAATCTAGACTATGGTCAAAATCGAAATGAATTTGCGCAAAAAATATGTAAATTTACAACTTAGCCTTGACTTACATTTGTTCCAATAATTATTACTCTCTGACTCAACATTAAGTACTCTTCGGACTTTTAGGCAGCTATGGGCTAGTTGTACACTGAGTATACAAAAAGGCTTAAGACGGCGAACGGTACGGTACGCCAAATAAATCATCTCCTCTTTGTGAGATCCCCCCCCCCTTCTATAAAAAGAAAAAGGAAGAAAACAGACAGAATTTTGTATTAATATCAAAATGCTGAGTTGAGAAATGTTTTTACTGTACTTACAAAGGTATAGTCTGAGTCTTCAGAATTTCAAAATTTTAAATCTCGAAAATCTTTTCAAAGAATTTTTCCACCAGTATCGTCTTTTCAAGATTTTAGAGTTTTTGTTCACAATAACCCTGAGGCAGAAGCCCAAACGAGTTACGCGAATGCTCTCTCTCTGTCTTGTAATTCAACGCGGCATGCGCATAAATCCTTTGGGCCTTGGGGTCATTGGGAACGAAAAACCCCAAAATCTTGAAAAGACGACATCCAGTGTTCTATCTGTATTGTTATCAATCTATGACTATGGCTGTCGGAACAATAGCACTCAGTTACAATTACAGTTGATACACATTACACATACTATGCATGCAGCTTTGTTTGCTTTAATATGCATTCAGCCTCGCGTTCAATCATTCAATGCCATTTAGATTGTAATATATGTATATATTGTGGAAGACGATACCTGGCCGCCTAAAACAAGTTCCACAAGATTCACCGGAATGAGATAGAACGGACACGAAGGATTTTACATTTAGTCTAACTCGTGTAATCTTGATATTGATATACAATTCTGAACCCTCTAGTAATAGTTATTAAGAAATATATACTGGAAGTTACTTAATGCGTTTCATTAGAGATCGACCTCACGTCCTCTATAATATTGTATAAAGCGAAGTGAAGTTATTCTGATATATATTCTGATATATATTCTGATATATATTCTGATATATATCTGTTGATTAAGGGACTGTAATTAAGCGTAATTGTAAGTGACCCACCATGAAAAGATGACAATGCCCGATTTAAAAAAGGTTCCCTTGAAAGCTGTGTCTGATCAAGTATAAATTAGATACCCATGTTTTTTTTTTAATTTGCGGTTTTGCTGCGAAAATGACTTGCACATAGGGTTTCCACGAAATGGCTAAATCTTTTTATTTTTATTATTTATTATTTTATTATTTTATTTTTGCGAACTTTTGCGCTATTTTTGCGCATGAAACGCAATGAGTTTTGCGCGGTTTTGCGCTATTTATTTTGCGCAATTTGCGCAAAACCGGAAATATTTTTTGCGAAAGTTGCGCGCATGAAACGAAATTTTAGTTTTGCGCAATTTTTTTGCGCAATTTGCGCAAAACCGCAAGTTTTACGCAAAATGTAACTTTTTAGGCACATTGTCAAAAATTGATATTCTAAGCTTAGAATTAAACAACTGATCGAAGATTTATTCCATATACAAAAAAAAATATTAACATACGAGTATGATAACGATTATACTACACTCAATTGGTTACTTCCAGTTACAAAAAGTTTAAATTAAGGGACCAAAATTAACAAAATAGAAATTAGAGAGTGTAAAACTTGGCAATATTCTAATCCTATTAAATAATTTCAAGTGACCCGGCCTTAAAAGCTTTGCTTAATCATGAGTATGAATTGTATTCTTAAATTTTTTTAATCAAATTTCTGAAATCTTTTTAATCTCATATAAAATAATGCAAGAAAGTAACCAATGCCTGAAGAATCCACTTTTAGGAAATATGCATGTCCCAAACTAAAATTGTCGAGAAAATTGTGAGATTTGAACTCTTCTTAATTGTCATTGGTCAATTATGTAAAAGTGACCAATAGGAAGACATTTCAAAACAAGATTTTTCCAGAATTGAATTCTAAGAAACACACACCGTCACCAACCGTTTGATTTTTACGAAATTGCGGAATTGCTGATTTGCGCAAAACTCTTGTTGCGGAATTGCGCAAAACTTGAGTTTCGCAAAAGCGGAATAGGGCAATTTTGCGCGAAATGACTTTTGCGAATGATTGCGCAAATTGTTGTTTTTTCGCGCAAAATTGATGCGCAAAGAAAGAAAAATATTGCGTTTCGTTCCGCAAAAATTGCGCAAAAGTTTTGCGAATGGAAACCCTACTTGCACATTTCTTGCAATTGTGAGAAGTAATGGAAAACTCAGCAGAAATAAACATAAACAGCGGTATCGCTTACAGTCCCTTTAAGTGCATTTGGTTAAATTAAAAAGAAATTAAAGTTTTCGAACGAACTGAAAATTGAGCGAATGAAGATGTCATTCAGAAAAACTAGGGAATAATAAATGATAAATTATCATAGCGTTGAGAGAAACGAAAAAAATGCATTTTTTCTCTGAACGAAAAAATCGAAAAATCGAATTCAGAAAAAATTGAATTAGCTTACTTTGTTTCTTCATTTGTTGAACAAGGTGCTGAGCTGAAGCTAAATGTATCCATGAGACCTGAACCACCTCCGAGAAATTTATATTATTATAAAAAATGTTACATGCAATGTTTCGAATATTTTTCAATCATGTTCATAATGGATTCATAAGGTTGTAAGAAACGTTTACGAAACACGTTTTTCAAAATAAACAATAATTTTAACTTAAGATAAAGTTACTATGCTAAGTATGATATGTAAGAAATGGGATGTTTCACGTTTTTATCAGATTGTATATAACTGTAATAAATTCGGGAAATTCCAATGTTATCATAGAAGAAAGAGCTTAGAATGTAGCGTTCTGGATCTTTTATTTAAAAGTATTTATCCTTCCTTGTAAAGAATATGCATTACTTTGGCTAACTTTATAGACATTTTCTTTCAGAATCAAAAGGAATTGAATCTTTAGCACAAACTCAAAGTTTCGAATCCTTATATCTCTGCAACCTGATGGTGTAAATATTTCAAACTTAGATCATTTGATCTATCAGAATTTATAGTTTGAAATCTCAAAGTTCTACGACTTTGGGTTGCTCAAATATAGGGATTAGAATATCAGAGTTTGTGGTAATGACTCAATTCCTTTGGCAAATGATTTAAATTGTTTATTTTTAACTTTACCTAACTTTGATCATGACAGAAAATAAAGACAACGTTTTAAAGTTTAAAACGTTTTCCATGTTTTTAAAAGTCAAAGCCATTGGAAAATTAAATAAAAGCAAACTTTAACTTAATACAGTAACAGCTACAATAGTGCCTCCATAGATTAATAACAATGCCGATAGAACACTAGAAGTCGTCTTTTTAAGATTTAGGGGTTTTACGTTCACAATAACCATTAGGGCTTCTGCCTTAGAGTTATCGTGAACAAAAACCTAAATCTTGAAAGACGACATCTTGTGTTATATCTGTATTGTTATTCTTCTATGACTACCTCCAACTCCTGAACCGTCTTTACAATCTTCACCATCTTCTCAATAATCAGATTTATCCAGCATTTTTAGGAACAAACTTAAATCTTTGTTCAACAATTATAAAATCAGATCGCATACGGAAAGAACCAATAAGATGTTATTATAAAGGAACCCAGGAAGGCAGGAACCATTAAGTTGTTATTTTTAAACGAACGGAAAGATTCATTGAGTTAGGTTATTGCCTAAAACAAATAGCGAGAACCTTTAATATATATATTTTTCAACTGCATGAACCATTAAGATATTATTTTCTACTGCAGGAACCATAAAGTATTTATTTTCAAACGAATTGAATGCATGAACGAGAAGTCGTTGAACTATGTAAACACACAATATTTTCAGTAGAAGTAAATATTTCTATTTACTGTTAGCGTCGACTAAAGGATTCATATCTCTAATTGGATAATGAGATAGATAGAAAGATAGATGTTACAGTCATACAGTTCCTATTGTTTCAGAATAGACACCTAACACATGTCTGAACCCTGATTGGATTAGGCGCTAATGGACTCGGCATCCAAGTGTGAACAGTAAAGACGGTTCTACAGAGTATCTTTTAATTGATCTTTGAATCAGTGATTCAAGAATCGAACCGGCTGTAGGTAATTAAGTGATCACGCTCCAATTCAGTAAATTCTATCAAATAACGCATAGAGAATTACGAAGCATAAATAATGGAGTTTTAACGGAGTTTTAAGGGAGATTTAAGTTTTGTTTATTGCTTGGCGGATCTCAGACAGCCTCGATCTCAAACACCAATTTGTAGGACTGTGCATGCAGTTTATAGGTAACCGTCAACTGTTTCATGTAAAAATAAAGAGGACTTTGGAAGACGTCAATCAAAAACATTAAAAATACCAAGAAAAAAAAATCATAAACAAATAATATTTTTTTTCATCAATTTCAAGCAGGAAAATTGACGATAGCCGCCATTATTTCAAATTATATTCGTTAGTTCTTTTTAATTTTCGTTATTTAACATGAATCGTTATTTCCGTGAGTCAACGATTTTTAACGTTTTTTCTACTTGTTAACAGAATCTTCCGTTAATTTAAAAACTAGCTGTTCGTTGCCCAGCCCTAGTATGTGACTTGCCTATTTGCATATTTGTGTTTGTTTGGTGGTTTTATTTGAAAATTATACTCTGAGTAGACTGTTAGTGTAAACCATGATGGATAAAATAACCTAAAGATAATCCTTCAGCAGATCTTTTAGCTTCATCACGTTCCTCCTGAACACAATTATATGTTTTAAATGGTCTGTAATCTGTTTGCGTAATTTAAAGTGACCCTTCATGCAAATATGACAATGCCCGATTTACAACTGTGCCAGTACCCTTTGTCTGATCAAGTATGTTTTAGTATACATTTAACTTGTTCTTTAATTGGAGTTTTCTCTGCAAAAGTTAGCTGCGCATTTATTCTTTTAAAGAAGCAATGAAGTAACTCCCAGAAATAAACAGTTTATGAGTAAGAAAAACGAGGATATCTCCCACATATTTTTATCAGATTAAGATTTCAAGAGTGCCGTTGTAACTTTGCATGGAGGTCTAGCTGGGCTAAAGGGAAGGGTCACTTGAAATTACGCTTAAAGTCAATTTTTAAAAAAATTAATCCCATTACCCAAGTTCCATATTTTCTTATTTTTCAAGATTTACGAAGGCAAATAATAATGATAAAGAAATTGAGTTTTTATCGCAAAATCAGATTTTCAACCCATGATGTCGTAGACCTTCGATATTTCAAACTATGTATTCTCTGTTAGATCAAATAATCTAAGTTTGAAATATCAAAGAATTAAACCATCCGGATGCAGAGATATAGAAATTAAAAAATTTAAGTTTGTGGCAAGTTAAGTCAATTAAGAATAAACATAAAAAAGCTGATCCAGCCGTTATAGAATACCCTATCCGTATACTAAATGATTGAGATATCCATATTTTCTAGCTGAAATTGATGATAGAATATTTGAATTTCAAAATAAACAAGACAATATCTTGAATCATCCTCAGATAGAAGTTTGAAGGGTACTGTTGTGAATCAGACATTCCACTCTTAAAATAAAAAGTCACTGGAAATTCAAAAAATGGGAAATCACTACACGCAAATCTACATTGTTACTGCGATGAAAGAGTAATTGCTAATCGATTATATATACGCAACAAAATTCCTTTATCACTCTCCACTAAACCCCTGTATCAACTCGATCAGAGTACTGCAGATCACTGCAGTGGGAACCGCAATCTTGGTTTAGGGTGTTATGTGAACATAAAAGTTTAAATAAGTTTATGAAGTGTAGAGATACAACGTTGTCTAGAGAATATTTAGAAGAATTAAACCTTGTTTTGTTTGTTTTACACTTGTATACTTTACCCAGGGGAACCGTTAAAGGGACTGTTTGCGAAAAAATACAGGCGGTATAGGCTTACGGGGAAAAATAAGCGCTTTTGATCGCTACTAATCTTACTTATATCTGTTGCGTCTATAAGGAGAAAATTGTTAAAAACGATATGTACGAAATAACGTAGTGTCCACACAAATTGAGAAAGCTGTAACATACGACTCGGATCGTAAAAAAATCTATTTTATATCAAACAAATATTTAGATAACTATAATAATAACTATAATGATAACTATAATGATAACTATAATGATAACTATAATGATAACTATAATGTAAAGAAATCACAATGAAAAAAATCAATTTCCAAAATTATTTTAAATTTGTTCAGACTGTTTCGGGTACCGTTGTGAATCGGGCATTGAAATCTTTTCATGGAGGGTCACAGTCCCCACTAGGGTACCATTGCATAAATTGTTACTTAATTTCACGTGTATAGATTTTCTTTAAATAAAATAAATATATTACTGTTGTTGTCTGTATATATAATCTAATATATGTTAAATAATACAATAATTCTTGTTTTCTGTAAATAAGTGAGATAGTATTTCAAGAGTAAATATCAAATTCCGAAGATCATTACAGAAAATATACTCGTAGGAATATAGGGATGGGATGGGTCTTTCATTTAGTTAAATCCAGAGCTGGGAACTTTAGAATGGTTGATATCAGGATTAATGCTAAATTCTCTGTTTTTGCTAATCTCAAGACTAACATAATCTCGAGATTATGTTAGTCTTGAGATTAAATATTTAGATCAACAAATTGGATTCTAAGAATGCCAGATTGGTTCGTTTTCTTGACTGAAAGGGCCTTCATTTAATTTCTCTCCCATTTATTTATTAACACATTAGTTAAATTTGGTTACAGAAGAATCTCAAACCTGTTATTAAATATTTTTCTTCACCGATTAATTTACAAAATGGCTGACAAAAATTTTTTTATTTGTTAGAAATTGCGGATTTCTCTCATGGCATAGAATTTATTTTCAAGGCTGTAATTGGTCAATACAATTTACAAACTATATTCCTGCACTCTCATTGGATAGAATAATTTGCGGATATCCAAAGAGAGAGAAAAGGAGTGGATTAAGGACTAAAATTAAAAGTTTCCACAGTGGATATTCGGATCAATTAGTTGGAATTAAAGGTTATTCATTCTAAAGTTCCCAGCTCTGGTAACATAGAGACACAAAAACATTAATTTCACATTAATATCTTGTTCATTTTCAAACATCTCCTATTTAAGAATCGTCTTTGATAAGATAAATAAAGTTTTTACATCATTTAAAACAACCGAACAAGTTGTCTTTTCTTTTCTTTTTCTTAGATTTAAACTTAAGCTTAGTACTATAAGAATGCCAATCAGCATGTCTAACCAGCTATTCTTCATAAACCCTCGTAATTTACAAACGGTAGGTTGTTACAAACTCTGAATTTCTAATCCCTATCTTTGCAACCCAATATGAAAGACCTTAGATATTTCAAACAATAACTTCTGTTAGATCAAATAATCTAAGTTTTAAGTATCAAAGGTTTACACCGTCAGTTCGCAAAAATACAGTGAATAGAAAATTTTGAGTTTGTGGCAAAGACTCAATTCCTTTCTGTCAAAAAATAATGGTGTAGACTGCATAATCAAGTAGCCGTTCGTTCTTAAAAAATAAGTTAACTTTTAGTTCAGTTAACGTTTTTTTCGTTTGTTAATGAAGATTAAACAGCGTTAACGGTATATTTATCAAATATTCGTTAGCTGCTTTAACCAATTAATCGTTAACGGTTGTAGTCGACACTCAGAAACTTAGTTACACACTATCAACAAATTATTTGTTCACGTCATTTTAATCAAATTTAAAACATAAAATGAACGATGTTAACCTCTAATCTGTTTTTTTTATTTTTAACTTTTTAGTCATTTCTTTTCATAAACGGTTTCTTTCCTTAATTAACGATTTTTCCGTGTATTAACGAACATTTCCGTTAACTTTTAAAACGTACCGTTCGTTAATTTACAAAACTTGTTGTTGTCACTCCAGACCCTATAGTTGAGACTTAGGTCACATTTGACACCAAGGAAATCTTTAAAATCTAAGTGCAAGCTCCCGTAAAACCAACCAAGATAAAATGCATTCTGTCTGTATTGTAATATTTTCATATTTTGATATCTCATTTAAAATCTGTCAAAAGTAGCATATTTATAAACGGTCTTAAATATCTAAATATTTAAATAGTAAACCTAAGATATAATAACGCGAAGTCAAACATTATAGAAAGGGACAGACCTGTAATGTTAGGTAGCTGAACTGAGTATGCAGTGTTGTGGACAAATTCTTTAGGATTCATTTGAGACATATAAAACTTCTTGAAGATCTGTACATCCTGAGTTTGAGCGTAAAGTCGACGTTCAAAATCGTATTTTTGGGTTGATACGTTTTTACAATTGTTTTTTTACAACTATCAAATAACGACGACAAAAAATGTAAACAAAATTCTACATTAAACTAATTAGTTGTTTAGGAACAGGTTGAGAAAATAAAAATTAACTCTTACCATCGAAAATAAGTAATCTTATTCAATTACTAGTTTCTATGATCTCTCTTTAATCACAAAGATTTTCTGTAGATTTTCTGGATTTGTTATTAAAAAGACAACATTTAAAAAATTTGAAGAAATCTGCGAACAAATTCATAAAAATAAAAAATCAATTTAATGATTAAAGAGGAAATAATTAATTCTAACTTCGATTTATTGGCAAATTTTTTTTGAGAAATATTTTCCCAAACATCTAATTGGTTTACTATAGAATTTTTACTACATTTTTCGTCGTCGTTATTTAATAATTTAAAAAAACGATTCTGAAAACGTATCCACCCAAATTCATGATTTTGAACGTCGACTTTGCGCTCAAACTCATTATTTATATGTTGTGAAAACGTTTTTTATGTCTCAAATGAATCCTAAAGAATTTGTTCACAACACTGCATACTCAGTTTAACTACCTTACATAGCCGGTCTGTCCCTTTAAGCAGGACCTCTAGTTTACCCGTGACCTATGCGTACTTGATAATGTATTTTGATATATCCCTGTAATGTGTAATTATATTAATTGTTCGGAATGGATTGTCATTAATCCTATGAAAGCAATCTAGTTTAGTAGTTACTAATAGTGATGGGCATCGCTTTTGTGAAAGAACGAAATATTTGAGAACGAATGAAAATTTTCGTGAACGATGGTGTTATTTAGAAAAAAACGAATAATGGACGAACGACTTGGATCGAACAAAGTAAATGAACGATTTTTTCAAACAACATTTTTAAAAAAACTGTAGTTTTTTTTACTGAATACACGACTTTTTTAAATACACTTTTGAAGAATCTATCGTTTTTTTACTGTCAGGACGATTTTTTTGAACGAACGATTTACTGAACAATACTTCTGCGAGAAACGAAGGAATTAGATGGAAAATAAACAAAAATATTCTAGAACGAAGGAATTTTTTTAACTATAGAAATAAAACTAACAAAATTGGCCATTCACGAACGATGAAAAATTACAAAAATAACAATCTAGTTTAGTAGTTAGTAGTCAACTATTGATTTATCTACGCCAAATCTCAGTCTCGTCATGGGTAGAGGAAAGGGTTTCATGCTTAAAAAAATTATATTCAATTTCAACAAAATTTGACCAAATTTTTTCAAACATTGCCTTTGGTGATAACAAAAACTATGATTATATGTCTATAACAAATGCCTTACTCCGATATCTTTCCTTAAGTCTGTATCAATCCAGTTATAACCTTCTGTATTCTCAAGTATCTATCAATTAAGATACAACTTCTGTATTTTTTAGTATATATCGTACAGATACATCTTGCTCAAGAACTCCACGTTCTACATTAATACTTCAGTCTGTATCAATCCAGATACGACACTTTATGTATTCCTTTAGTATGTATCTATCTTTCAAGTTACAAATCGAGCAAATTTGCTTCTTAATACAAGAATTAATAACGTAATGAAGCAACAATTCATGTTCAACTAATTTATATTTAAAGTAATGATGGGTTTTTAGTATACTAGGGCCCCGCGCTGCCCGTGGAATAATTTTTTTAATTGTGAAAAAAATGTTTAATAAAAATTTCGAATATTTTTAGCCTATGACACCCCCGGCCATCCCTGAGTAAATTCATCCCAATATAACATATATATTTATACACGAATGTCTTGTTTTATTATACAGATAATAATGATATTGACCGATAGGTTCTCTCAGAATTCAATTTCGTGGTTAGGAAACAGATAATGTTAGAACGTAATATATATAGATATGTTCAGGTTTACTATTATAAGGTTTACTACAATATTTATTTTAAGTCAATCATCAAAAAACTAGTCTTAGAGAAAATGCACGGCTATAACTAAACATGCAGTTAGTTTATATATAGAACCTGATAGTGTAAACCTTTGATATTTTAAACTTATACTACTTGATCCAACAAAATTCATAGATTGAAATATTAAAGGTTTTAGACATTAGGCTGCAAAGATATAGAGATTAAAGTTTGTTGCAATGACTCATTTTCTTTATCCGATAACATTTTTATTCTCCTTAATACCTTCTTAAAGGGAGTGACCGGCAATGCATGGGAGTTAAACGGAGAATGTAGTGTTGTGGAGAATTTTTTAAGGATTTATTTGAGACATTTAAAACGTTTTAATGATGTATAACTATTCAGTTTAACCGCAAAGTCTAAGTTTAAGTCATCTATTTGGATGGTTACGTTTGAGAATAGATTTTTTTAAATTATCTAATATCGACGCCAAAAAATTAACAAAATCTACCGTAAACTAACTGGATCTTTAGGAGCATATTTCTTAATTGAACTTTTCTCAATAAATCGATGTTAGAACCAAATATTTCTTTTTCATACTTTTATCGAATTTCTTATTCTTTATGAATTAGTTCGCAGATTTCTTCAAATTCTTCAAATGTTGTCTTTTCAATTGAAATTCCAGGAAATCTACAGAACATGTTTGTAAACAAGAATACATTACAGAAACCAATAACTGTAAAAGAATAGTTATTTTCAATGATAATATATAATTTATTTCTCAATCTGTTCCTTTATAAACAACTTCTTATTTTACTGTAGAATTTTTGCTACATTTTTCGTCGTCGTTATTGAATAATTTTATAAAAAACGATTCTCAAAATCATCCCTAAAAAATTCTCAGCTTAACTACCATACATTGCCGGTCACTCCCTTTAATCAGAGGAGTTACCTGCAATATATTTACGATATATTGAATACCTGTATCATATTTAGAATATATTGAATATGGGCCCATGTGAGTAAAACGATGGACCAAGGAAGAATGGACCATGTTGTGCGAAAACTGAAATTTGTCATCATTTTTTCATAAAAACCATCAAAAAAGTGTTCTAAAAAAACAATTGCTGGCGAGAAACAAAAGATTATGTTTTCAGGTTAAAATACAAATAATATTTTGGTTGTTTAACTGTTGCTTAAATGTAGTGAAAAAGAAAGACGGTATATTTATGGTATTTTCCCATAGGGCAACTTCCCAAATGTTCAATTTCCCAAGCAGCAACTTCCCAAAGGAATTAGGTTAGGCCCTCTGAGGACCAAGTGCTGCAGCTAGGACGGGCTAGGCTAGGGTGGGCGAGCTCTGCGGCTAGAACAGGATAAGGGGCCGAGCGCTTCAGCTAGTACATACTTGGGAAGTTTGCGCTTTGGAAATTGAACTTGGGAAAATACCTTTGGAAAAGAAACAAATTTTTGAAGATTAAAGAAGAAAAAATGTTTTTCTTTCCTAACAGTGTACAGAAAACAAAAGGCAACAGCTGATTCTGAAAACAAAACATGGTAGAATGTGCAGATATAAATGTTCTAAACATGATGCCTAGAAATTGTGAAACTGCAAAAATTAATCCTAAAAAAAGTGTTTTCAGGCATTGTTCTTATAAGTCGATTCAGTTTTGTGTCCAGTCGTTCAGTGTGATATATGCTTGATCAAATAGTCCAAGTTTGAAATATTAAATTGGTTTAAATTATCAGATAGCAAAGATTTAAGGAATGGAAAATTAAAGTTTCAGTTCTTTTTACCTGTACTGTTGGTTGCCACTGCATGAGCATAGTGAACAATAGAAACAGATTTTACTATACACAGTTTATACTTTTTATTTTATTCTATTTTATTTTACTAAGCTTTCAGGGTGCTTCGCGCCCATTTTCTTTTTCAACTTTTAATTGTGGCTTTATCTGTGAGCATCTTCTCTTTCTACAGTATAAAAAAATTTAATTTGCGGACTTCATAATATTTTTCGTTTTCAAAATTTTACAAAATTAAATAATTTAAGATAAAAATATTTCAAGATTACATATTTTAAGCCTGATAGGCCATAAACCTTCCTTGGGGCCACGTGAGGTCCCACACAAAATTTGGGCCCGATCGGTTCAGCCGTTTTGACGTTTATTGGATACAAACAAACAGACAAACCAACAGGCAGACAATTAAGCAAAATTTTAATATAGATTTTATTAAATATATAAAGTTCCTAGTTTTTATAAAAAGCAGATTTTTTATTTAAAACATTTAATACTTTAATACAGAAAATAATTGGTAGTGGATTGTTAGTACTCTTTGGCGATCATAACTACTTTAAGGTTTGTGAAAAAGAAATAGATTTGAGACAAAAAAAAAGCAATTTTAATGAATTCCTATTAGAGAAATAATCTCTTAGTAATTACATAAACTTAGCTATTTTGCATATTAAACATTTGGGTCATCATTATATTTTCAAATTGATGAAAACAATTCCTTTAATGTCTAATCCTTTGTGTGTAACCCTGTAGCAGCCTTGAGTTACAAACTTTAGATACAAAAAACCATCATCCAAAACTGGGTTCCGAGAATGTCATGCGGCATTTGTTTTTAATTAATTATTGATTTCCTTAAACAAAACTCTTTTAAGTTTCTGCCCTTGAGTTCCTGGTTTCTTTGAACAAAACTATAATTAGTTCCCGCCTCTCAGTTCCTTGTTTCGTTGAACACAACTCTTTTAAGTTTCCACCTCTTAGTTCCTTGTTTCGTTGAACACAGCTCTTTTAAGTTTCCACCTCTTAGTTCCTTGTTTCGTTTAACACAACTCTTTTAAGTTTCCACCTCTTGGTTCCTTGTTTCGTTGAACACAGCTCTTTTAAGTTTCCACCTCTTAGTTCCTTGTTGCGTTGAACACAACTCTTTTAAGTTTCCACCTCTTAGTTCCTTGTTTCGTTGAACACAACTCTTATAAGTTCCCACTTCTGAGTTCCTTGTTTCGTTGAACACAACTCTTATAAGTTCCCACTTCTGAGTTCCTTGTTTCGTTGAACACAACTTTTTTAAGTTCCCACCTCTCAGTTCCTTGTTTCGTTGAACACAGCTCTTTTAAGTTCCCACCTCTCAGTTCCTTGTTAGCTGCGCTATTATCATGTAAATATCTGCAGAGCAGGCTTTAAATTCAGGAGAAAACTTTGAAAAGTTCGGACAAAAAGAGAAATAATGATCTTCCATCTCCAGATAGGAATCATACAGGGTGAACCAAATCACATGAGAGAAATAAGATTTCCACAATGAACACGGTAAACTAAGCTGTGCATCGCTCTCAAGCAAAAGTATTTTTCTAATCACTCCCTTTAAACTTAAACTAGGAACAAGCGCATTGCAGTTTTAGAATATATATGCCAGGGCATGCAAAAAAGTATTTGTGACTTGGTCAGGTAAAACTTAAGTTCAATGCCTTTACGACACTTTAAAGTCAAAAAATTTGACGAATAACTTTCATAGTATGTCTAGTGTCTACAAATCACAAAATATAATTATGGATGTGCACTCTGCAGTCAAAAATTTTCAAAACTGTTTAGTGCCTGTGCATTACTTTCAGTTAAAATATTTACATTCTGTTGTGAAAAATGTTAAGAATTTTGCTGCAATTACTTAATGTAGACTTCAAACCGTGCAGGACTGCTAAACATTGGTAAATCCTGAAAGATCATCCAGTCTCATGACCCATGGGTTGGTGAATGATTTTCATAATGCAGATTATTTTGACATCTTCAAGAAGTTTATGCTGCATTGTGACAAATTTAAATTCTAAATATTAAATTAAATTAAAAATTATGTTGATGCAGGAACCAAATTAAATGAAAAGTGAGAATTAGTTGAACCAAGTAGAATAAGTTGAACCACTTCTTTAGTGTAAGTTCAAGAGACAATGAGTTTAACTACTTATTGCTATTCATTTAATCTGGTATCTGAATATCCTAAAGATATTATGGATATGTTATCGATTAAAATGATTTAAATGATTAAAATGAACATTGCCAATTATAAAAAAGTGTGGTTTTGAAGAACTAGTCTGTATTTTCAAAAAACAATTTCTTTAAATAGAGTACACGATATTTTTCCTTGTTTATACATACTTAGTTTTGTTTGTTTTTGTTATATTTAATAAATAAATAATTACTTACTTACTTACAATCTTTGTTTTTTATTTTTTGTTTTTCCTTTTAACTAGGAGTACGTGTATACCTGTAGGGATTTCTTAATTTGCAACTGATTTATTTTTTAAAACGTATAGTGCAATGTCTGCTTAAAAATAGTTTTTAAACTCTTTTCTGCATTTCTGCATTAAAGTATTTAATTTTGATTAAAAAAAAATTCTATTTAAATTAAATGAGCTTAATATAAATATAATATATGTATGTGTCCCTAAGACTGTACTGACTAGGTTTGCTAAGCAGAGGTTTGCCAGGAGCAGGTTGAACAAAATACTAAAGTACAAAATATTAAAGGGACTGTTTTCGATATACAAAATGGGGCGCAGAATTTTTATTTCGTGACTGTTGAGTAAAAACGCATTTTTGAATGGCACCAATCCATTGAAGATTTTTTAAGGCGAAAAAATGGATTTTTCTGAAAAAAACTTGGAAATAAGATTACTTATAAAGATGTTGAGATGTATTAGACCAGCTTAAATGAAACCTTTATGTATCTAGCTAAACAAATATATTTTTTTACATTTACCGATAATCTTTAATGGGTAAGCTGAAACAAATGTCGTCAGTTTGGTTAGTCAAAAATATACGATTTCACTGAAATTTGCGATTTTCTCCCGCATATATCCTAACAAAGACAGTAAAAAAGGGGTAGCAGAGCCATTTTTCAATTTTCGGTTTTAAAGTTCCCTTTATAAAGGACTTTTCATAAACGGTCGGATAACTTTTCACACTTTACTCCTAAACCCTGGGAGCACTCCAAAACCCTGAGAGCAGCCACCCCTCCCTCGACATGCTCTCTCTCTCTGTCTTGTAATTCAATGCTGTAATTCTTTCTGCCTCAGGGTTATTGTAAACGAAAAACCTCTAAATCTTTAAAAGACGACATCTAGTGTTCTATCTGTATTTTTATTAATCTATGACTGAACCCTACTCTCTAGGTGACTCTTAATAAAAACTTCCCGCATTTTTTAACATTGTTAAACTTTAGGAAAAGCTCTCATCTAACAAACTCTGGATTCTGGACAGGACGTGTTCTATTGTGTTCCAATGTCACAGCTTGCTTGGCCAAGGACCGAACTTTTGAATCTGCGTGTTATTAATATCCAAGTCTCCAGTCAAGGTACTAATGCAAGGAAAGTTAATTCAGAGGTGTACGCATTTTTTGCACTGCAGTGTACTGTCTTCGGGCGGAAAAGTAAACACAAGACGGATGTCACAGTCTGACAAGGAATCCATTTTCACAAAAATAATCTATGAAATATTCTGGTCATAGAAAACTAATATGTGAATTTTCAAAATTATCAAAATTAAATGCTTTTAACCTCCTTGGATACTAAACGAACACTAATGCATCTTTTCTTGGTTACAAAGTTCGCCCAAAGAGAACTGGTTTCAATATGTACGCAGAGTATACGCGACCGCAATTAACTTTCCTTGCATTAGTACCTTGTCTCTAGTTAAATTTAAAGCAGTCCTATTTCTTTAGGAAATTTGAAAAAAAAATTGAAAACTTTTTTGAAATTTTTCTCTATGTATTTTCTAAAGCCTAAATTTTTGTTATTAGTCTAAAATGCGCAATTTAACTTAGCTCTGTTTTAAAAGATGAGTTTAAAATTTACAATGTTGCTACTTGCTAATACTTCTAGTTTGATATTTTATAATTGACATCACAGCTAGCTTTAGATCCTATTAAGTCCTATAGGCTTTTATAACATTGCACTGCCAATAAAAATTTCAATTCAATTTAGAGAGAATTTCTTCCCAGCATTATTAATCACAATTTCATGATTGGGAATAAATAGTTTCTTTTTTGTTTCATGGCAAATAAGTAACATCTTATACCAACAAGGCAGGTTTCCTTTGATATTTTGCGGAATTTTAAAAATTACACATATTTATTTCACTTCATGAAAAAATTCATAGATCCAACCGTCTGGTTATATGATGAAAATGAAAATATGATAAAACAAGTCATTATTGATAAGTTGAACTGTCTTAGGTCATTACTGATAAGTCTAACTGTCTCCGGTCATTATTGATAAGTCTAACTGTCTCCGGTCATTATTGATAAGTCTAACTGTCTCCGGTCATTATTGATGATTCTAACTATCTTCGGTCTTTATTGAAAAGTCTAACTGTCTTCGGTGATTATTGATAAGTCTTAACTATCTCCGGTCATTATTGATAAGTTAAAATGTCTCCGGTCATTGTTGATAAGTTGAACTGTCTTCGGTTATTATTGATAATTCGAACTGTCTCCGGTCATTATTGATAATTCTAACTGTCTCCGGTCATTATTGATAAGTCTAACTGTCTCCAGTCATTATTGATAAGTCATAACTATCTCCGGTCATTATTGATAAGTTGAACTGCCTTTGGTCATTTTTGATAAGTTGAACTAAGGCTGGGCACATTCTGACTTTTTTTTAAACTGTTCCGTTCTGTTCCAGAACAAGGGCCTTCAGCTAGATTGTTCAGTTCTTGTTCCTTTTTTTCAATCGTTCCGTTCCATCCCATTCCGTTCCGTTCTTAGTAAAAGAACAGGTGATTGAATCAAAAAAAATCTTTTAATTATTTCAAGATGATCCCAGAGCACATTTCTGATTTAAAATGCGTTCCTGACTCAGAACGTATTCTTGGTAATAAAAACTTGTTCCTGATTTTAAACGTTCTTTTCAAGCAATTTCTGTTCCTTTCCGTTCCGTTCTTTTACTAATTGCTCAAATATTTTTAAGAACACGTTCTTTGCGTTCCGATCTTTTTTTGGAACAATGCGATCGTTCTTGATAGTTCCGTTCGTTCTCGTGAAAGAACTTTCGAACTGTCTCCGTTCATTATTTTTCCAGATATCATTGATAATTCGATTTTAACAGTGTAGAACTTTGCTCTGCAGATAAATATAAATCAAATCTGTCAAGAGAGGTGGGAGAGGAGTGGGTGTGAGGAGAGGGTTAGAAGGGGGGATATTTCTCCATTCCGATTTCTCAAATTCGGAAAATTAGAAATTTTGAAAATTAAGTTTTCCTATCCTGAGAAAGAAATTACCTTCTAAAATTACTGTAATTGATTATTTAAAACGGTTTTTATTATGAAAAAGCCTTTCTTTTAATTTCATTCTAACACAATTAAAACAAATTGTCAAGACTGTAGACGTAATTTTCATTGCCGGAAGCTATTTGGGTGTGGCTAAGGAAGCGCTAAGGGTGAGCACTTTGTCGCAAGTCTATGTTTGTAAGTAAATTGCGGATAGGAAGCGCTACGGGTGTGGCTTGCCTTCCCCCACCCCTCCCCCACGCCTCACAGATCTGGTTATAATCAGGCGAGACCATGGCCAAAGAGAATAGAATATATTAGAGTGGAATTCAGACAATCCCTCGGTATGAATTTTGTCAGTCCCTTTCAGCCTGAAAGGGAGTTCAAAGTGTACAAATCATGCTAATTGTTCACAAATTTTAAGCAGTAGAGTACATTAATACAGTATGTTCCCTAGACTATCCATTTCAATTTCGAATTTTTTAAAGCTGCTAAATAAACAGGCATAAAAGGCATAGAGCCTATGTGAAATGATCATTGGTCAATTATGAAACAAGCCTATTACATAATTTGGTTTTCTTTTAATATTAATTTTAGATTTTCTATAAAACGATGTTCCAGGGCCCAAAAGGTTATATAGCACAAATATGTGAAGTACACCTGCAGTATGGAAACAGTACAACAACATGGCCGTTTTAAAACTTTTTTGTAGTAAATTCCACTCTAAAATATATTCTATTCTCTTTGACCATGGCTCTCCGATTGGCTGAATCTAAAAAACGTCGGTTAACTTTGGTTAAAAGTGACTGAACCACTTTAAATTATAAAACAATCTTTGCAACATGAATCGATATGAAATCTCATTTTTTAGATGGAGACATCAAGATGAGAATTCAGAGACGACTGGAGCAAAATTATCCAGTAAATATTTTAATATTCATGGACGTCCACCGCTGTAAACTTGTTCAACTCTGAGCCAAATCAATTAGTATTCCCTATACAGACTATATCTCAGGAGGAACATCCAATTTAATCCTAAAATCTTAATAATAAACGAGTTTCAGGTCGTTTTTATTTTTTGGGTAACCCTGTAGATTTAACACAATGATAGGAATTCTATGTATAATGTGAATTGTACATATTAAAGTACCGGGCTCCCTAGGAATTCTATGCATATAATGTGAATTGTACATATTAAAGTACCGGGCACCCTAGGAATTCTATGCATAAAATGTGAATTGTACAAATTAAAGTACCGGGCTCCCTAGGAATTCTATGCATATAATGTGAATTGTGTATATTAAGGTACCGGGCTCCCTAGGAATTCTATGCATATATAATGTGAATTGTACATATTAAAGTACCGGGCTCCCTAGGAATTCTCTGCATATAATGTGAATTGTACATATTAAAGTACCGGACTCCCTAGGAATTCTCTGCATATAATGTGAATTGTACATATTAAAGTACCGGACTCCCTAGGAATTCTCTGCATATAATGTGAATTGTACATATTAAAGTACCGGGCTCCCTAGGAATTCTTTGCATATAATGTGAATTGTACATATTAAAGTACCGGGCTCCCTTATGAATAAATTAAATTGATAATTTTAAAACATCAAAGAATCCTAATGGACCTTTATCATTAGTATGAATTATGATAAAATATGTCAAAAAAGAACATTTTATAAAACTTTATCTTTAATACAGAGATATCCAATAAAAATGAAAATTCAGTTGCAACTTGTAAACAAATACTTCTCATAAAAACTTGTTTATTTAGAAACTAAAACCTAAAATGTTGATGTTATAAAAATATGTTCTTACCTCAGCAAAGGCTCCTTTTCTCTGAATTTCTCATAAAATTAATTAATTATATTTTTTAAACGGAGTGGAGGTGGAGGTATAAAGAGGATTAAATGTTGTAGGATTAGAGAATTTATGAGATTATTCCTGAGAGAATTTAGCACCATCAGATTAGACACAATGCTTCATAAACACATCAACATTGGTGTTAAGTGTAAAATCGAAAAAATAATTTTTAAATCACTTTTTTTTTGTGAAAAAATTGTATTCTTTTTGGCTTCGCTGTGGTATTAAAGGAACTGTAAGCGTAAGTTCAACGGCAAAGTTTGTACACAACGGTACACTAAAAAGCTTTGTAAGAAAAAGTATGTAGTAGATATCAAAGTTTAACTGTGTGGTTTTTCAACAAAAAATTAACTTGCGCATTTCTATTGCAGGAAAACATACAGGAATTATTAGATTTTATTCTTTTTAACTTATAAGCAACACATCATTGATCAAATAAAGGTTTCAAGGGTATTGTCGAGAATCGGGCATTGCCATTTGTCCATGGAGGGGCGAGAGCTATACTTGATGCTTACCTTCCCTTTAAAAGATCAAATAAAATGACTCCCTACAGTCTTTATAATTCAACTTCTTAAGTCTTCAACTCTGAAATTCAATTCAATCTAATTTCTCCTCTTCATGTTAATCAAAGATAAGTGGTATACTTTAAAGAATTAATCTCATACAATTCTTTCCCCATTAGTCTTCCTTACTAACCTTCCCTTTCTTACCCTACCTTCCCCTCCTTATCCTTCCTTCCCAACCCTTCTTTGTTTTCCATTCCCCTTCTTATCCTTCCTTCTTGACCCTTTCTAACATACACTACCCTTCCTTACCTATCTTACTCTTCCTAACCATGTCTCCCTTAAACCTTCTCTATCCTTCTCCTTCCTTTCTATTCATTTCCTGGCCTTAATTGGATTGCTTAGATACTGAAAACTAATTACTAGATTATAATCTCATAGGTCCTATCATCAAGAAAGGAGAGGGGGGGGGAGATTTCTCCGCCCACCTTAAGATCAATAGGGTACCTTGTGAATTCGACATATCACTCTATAGATGGAGGGTCCCCTGTTCCTTAAACATTCTATGTTGTCGTCTTTGCTAGATATAAAAAAGTTAATGTTTTAACCTAAAGATGGAGAGGCTCATATCCGAGATCACAAAGACACCTGGAAAACATGTCAAGTCGTCATTGCCAATATTTGAAAAAAATTAAATCATCAGAGATCGGAACTTTGGTACTATTAATCCTTACAGAAAGCATTAATCCGTATCGCTTGTTGTTCACCGGATTAAGTTAATTTCTTTCGGATATCTCACTCAGACCAATCCACAATCAATAAAAGCCCAACAAGGGAATTGAGTTTTGGCCTTCGAATTTTAAATTCCTATATCTTTGCAACTCTATGTCGTAGACCTTTGAAATGTTAAACCATAAATTTTGTTATTTTAAATACTCTAAGTTTAAGGGTTTGTGACAAAAACTCAATTTAAAAAGGTCGATCTTTTATTTTATTTTATTTTATTCAACTCAAAAAGATGGACTCAAACTTTTTTCTCACAATTAATTCACAAAGATTCAGACTGCTTATAAAAAGTCTCATCAATTTTTAAGACAGGGTCGACTTTAAAGTGTTGTTGGCTTTGGTTTTTAAGAAGTAATTGGCAAAATTCTCATTGATTTTTGATTAAGGGCTTTTAAATCACAGTGAATTATGTTACCCCGGGATAACCATGAGTTCCTTCAAAAAATTTTAGCCAATATGGTCCAGCCGTTTGGCCAGCGATAGCTAACATAAAAAATTTTAGTATATGAGCAGAGAGCTTTATTAATATTATAAAGATGACGTTTTTTTTCCTTTCCTGAATTAAGAATATCTTGTGTTACATTGTGCCCTAGAAACGTCAACATCTGAAAATAAATTCAAATTCATGAATTTTTGTAAATATTTATATTTATCATGAAAAAAATGATGATTCAATTCGTCCTTAACGGTACGCTCTTTTTTCCATTAAAAAAGACGAATAAAGTCATTTTTATTGAAATTTTTTTGTCAATTTCGGCTTCTCCTTTAAAGTTTCTTTCAGACTAATGCAGCACAGACAAGTAAAGCAGTTTTATTTAATACAAAAACATGTTCTCGATTGCACTGAGAAGGGTTACTTGAAATTATTTAACAACATTATTATACCAACCTCAGTCTAATGTTTTCTTTAATATATTTAAAACTAAATATTTTCTCTCTCATATTTGAATTTAAATATTAATAAAAAACATCCCTTATAAATTCTTATTATCTATAATATTCCTTTCAGAAATATCCAGCTAGAGAGGGGGTGCAAGTACGCAATGACCCCAGGGAAATAGTCTCCTAGCCTCTGGAGTATTTAAAATGAACTTATAGCGCTATCCATAGATAAAGATAAATTGCACATAAGACGACATTTTTCATCTTGACGGATATAAATGTACAGAGATGTTTTAAAGATATTCCTATTATATAGATTAACTAGGTCGGTTGTGAACATTGGCTGTTCTTATGTCATTGAGTACTTGTGTTGTACATGAGTTCTGTAGAGAGAAATTTAAGTTAGTTTAGTCCTCCTCATGTTCTTCTTCAGTTCTCGTCAATATGATGTATTGCTCAGTGAAATATTGTTGTTCAAATAGTTTCAATCCTGGAGTTATTTAACACTCTATTATGAAATCCATTAAAACACCAAATCACCCCGCTTATCATTGAAGTACACTTTGACCCCTAGAAGTATGAGTTCGCGGACTGTACAATTCTTGGTGATTTTGCGTACATAAGCTATCTATGTTTATTTATTTATCTATGGCGCTATCCCTATACTTAAAAATGGATATTATAGTAGTAATGTATAAAAAATTCTAAAAAAAATATTTAGTATTTCAAAAGTTATGCAATGTTTTAAGATATTCAAAAAAAACTTCATAACTATTTAAAGATTAAATATTTCTTTAATAATGTAATTCATAACTTCTATAATTAATATCTATTCTAACGTTTAAGGGTAGCGTCCGGGCGTTTTAAATACTCATCTGCGAATACACTTGGAGACCATTTTGCGGGGCTCATGGCGTCCCTGCACCCCCTCCCTCATCCAGCACCATCCCTGCAGCCCCTCCCTTATCCAGCAGCATAGATTTAATAATTAATCCCCAGGCTTTGATGGTAACCTCAGCTAGAACCATTTCATTAAGGGAGAAAGATGAAAGCAGAAAATTAAGAATTATAAATATAAGAATCTTTGATTAAATACAGGATTTCCCATGTAACATGATAGTAGCAAGTCGACTGGGAGGTCGTCTTTAATTTTGATATAATTTGTCACATTTTTTTGTCAACCTTATTTTTCAAGCAAAATTCTAGAGTTAATAATTACGTTATGGAATTTCCGAAATGCTGTCTGCCTTTTTTGCGCTTTCAAGATTACCCAAGATGAGAAGAATTATGTTTAGATTTGGACACTGTTGGTTTTATTTAACAAAATTGAAATCTGAACGAAATTCTCCGGTAATGTGGACAGCACAGAAAAGGCAGACCACATAATTAGGATGTGTCAGGACTGGGATTGTTTCAAGAACCTCTACAAGTTAAAGTATGATTTACAACTGAACAACACGAATAAATTTAAAGTTCAAAGACGACTTTCAAGTCGACTTGCTACTGTCATGTTTTGTGGGACACCTTGTATATCTACTTTCATGTCAGGTTTCGATATATAAACATACTCCACTGCTCCACTTTATGCATGTTATTGCTGATCGAGGAAGGTGATATTAGGCTGCTTTAATCTCAAACTTGGAGAATCACATCCCAGCCTACTTTTTAACGGTCGAACCCCACATTCTGACCGATCTTTTTGTTCTAGTACAGTTTAAGAGTAAAAATTAAGTTTTTTTCTTTTCTGTGCACTAATAAAATTTCCTGCTAATTTTTCAAAGAAATTTTTGTTTGCAAAAACCTGCGTCATGAAGAGTAATTTCCATAACATCTAGTTTAAAACAAATATAGCAAAAAAAAATATTTAAAAACTTTTCCATTTAAAAAAATATTACGTTTTTGTTTCTTAAGATAATGGTTAATGGAATTTTCATTGACTGGTATTTAGCGAAACATCGTCCAGACTGCCATGTTTTTAGCTATTTCGTTTTTCTGTCCTTTTCTGTCTTTATTTTCATTCAGGGTCAAAATTTGGCATAATGTAAGAGCAGCTAATGTATTCTAAACTTTTATTCTAAACAATTAATCTTTCTTTGAGTATGTCAAATTTTGACCCTGGCAGAAGATATATCCAAAACATGATCCAAAAAATATGCAAAGATCCAAAAAATATGCAAAACATGATCCAAAAAATATGCAAAACATGATTAAAAAAATATGGAAAAACAAATATGTTGTAATAATCTTTTTAGTATCGTTTTCCATTTTGTTTAGGATAAAGATATTGCAAAGTTTAGACTTTTTGAAATCTTGATAGTTTTATTGAGTTTTATCTAAATACGATACAAAACGATTAACAATACTAGGCCATTTCATACTATAGTTTCATTAGAAGTAAATATTTCCATTTCCATGAAGGATTCATATCTCTAATTGGATAATGAGATAGATAAAAAGATAGATGTTACCACCATACTATTTCTATTGGTTCAGAATAGACAAAAAACATTTGACTGAACCCTGATTGGATCAGGCGCTAATGGACTCGATATACAGGGGTGTTCAGTCAGTGCTCAGTCATTCCCACCACATTCCCACCAATTCCCTCTTTCCCCCCAACTCCCACACTGCTGTGCAAAATGACCGCTTTGTGACTGGTTAACAAGCTGAAAAGTTTCTCTCAAGTCCCAAGGTATTGTTTGCTCGGAAATCAAATATTTAAATTTATTTCGGATCTTCAGTTTGTGCAGACACAAGATCCAGGTTTACTGGTTTACAGGATTTCAGGATTCCATAAGGGATATATGTAGGGCTGGGCACTCTTTTTCAAGCCGTTCTTCTCCAACCGTTAGTTTTAAAACAGAACGTTTTACCAAGTAAGCTAATAACTGAACGTTTGACGGCATTTCCTTTTTTTAGTTACCGGTTGTTAATCAGAGCTGGGAACTTTAGAATTGGAAATCTTTGATCCCGATCGCACAATCTGAATATTCAATGTGGACACTTTTAATTTATTTCTTTATCCTCTCTTTTTGTATATTCCTACGGTATTAAAGATAAGTTTAAACATTATGTACAATTGATATGACAACACAACTACGGATAAATCAAAAACCGGTTTTAGAGATAGCTTCCCTTCCTTCCTTCCCTCTGATTTGTTGAATTTGACACAATTTTATATCAATATCCACAATTCTAAAGCTTTCAGCATCAGCTCAATTTTTGAAAGTGTGTTAACAGAAAATATTTTAAAAATTATTAAGGGTGCTAGCCGTTAACGAGTCCTTTAAAGATCATTTTAATGTATAAATTAAAAGACGACATTCAAAAACATCAAAACACGCAAAAAAACAATAAAAACTTTCAAAAAACTTACCTTTGTAAGTTTTTTTTTGCATTTTTAAGCAGAAAAGTTGATTTTTTATTTTTTATCTTTTTCAAGAAACGGTTATATTCATCGGTTAACGTTTTCAAAATTAACGGGTTTTACCGTTCGTGAACAGAATCTTAGGTAAATTTTCAATTACTTAACGAAATGTTGCCTATCCTAAGTTTATGTAGATTTGAGGATTTCAAGAATTTATATATATGCTTGCAAATTGCAATTAAAGATAAGGGGCTATGCGGGGGCCTGAAGTATTTTTGAATTTCAAACATTAAATACATACCAAAATCTGTGTATTAAATGGACTGCTAGCTTAATTTTAAGTGACCTTCCATGCAAAGACATGGCATTGCTAGATTTACAACAGTACTATCTGAACAAAATATGGAGAAAAAAAACACAGTTTTCTGACTTGAAAAGTTTTTATTGATGAACATTTGCTCTGTTGTTGTTGTATCCTACAACTCACTTTTGCAGAGAAACAACAAATGAAATTAAACGTACAGTTTTAAATAAACAAAATCACGCGCATATCTAAGTCATATTTGATCAGACAAAGCTTTAAGGGTACCGTTGAAATTCCGCTTACAGTCCCTTTAATCTTTAATCAATAATTATTCTGTGCACTATAAATATAAATTTTGATTTATGAATTCTTTTTTTATGTGATTTTTATATCTCATCTTTAAAAAAATCTATGAAAAGTTTGCTAATACATCTTGAAAACTCAAGTTAAAATCTAGAATGTACAATAAACATGGCTAGTTAGTTATCAAAGTTAAGCAAAGACTACGTCACTGCGAAACGTTCAAATTTTAAAGAAATTGATGCAACTTTTATTGCTTTTGCATTGTTATTTGATGCATTATACAGTAAGAACCAGAAAACTGTAGAATAGGAAGACGACATTAAACCAATACTTAAGTGTAGTACTTGTAAGTTATTAACGCAGTTTTCAACATTAAGTGAAATAGACTGTTTACACTGCACATTAGACTATTTAAAGCCATAACTTGAGTCTAAAAGTAGTTTTCCTATTTCATAGTTTTACGGTTTTTATGTATTCTAAATTAAGGATGAAATCAAGAAAAGTTGTCCCCTTTGGCAGCCAAAATGTGCTAAAGTGGCGCCCCGGCATTTCTGGGACCCGATATTTTTCATTAAAGGAACTGTGAGCGTAATTCCAAGTGACTCTTCCATCAAAGATGGCAATGCCATGGTACCCTTGGAAGATGAGAAACCACAATTAAAAATAATCCGTATTTAAAATCATTACATTGAAATATAATTCATACTTGATCAGACAAAGCTTTTAAATATACCCAATTGTAAATCGAGCTGTAATTGCCATCTTTGCCTGAAGGGTCACTTGAATTTATGCTTGCAGTCCCTAAAGTTTATTCCCAAATTGTAGAATGAATATTACGGATTGGATTATTGTTATTATTATAATACAAAAACAAAAAAAATTACTTGCAACAAAATTTAAAAATAAGATCAATATTTTGATTTAATTGGAATATCTTAAATTCAATGCAATGCAATGCTCTATATTTAAAGTGCGAATGCTATTTAGAAAAGGTACAGGGATACCCAGAAAGGATTAGACCGTGTAAAGACGACTTGAAACTCTTCAAGTACGAAGAAAAACAGTTTAAATTAAGTCTTGTACCTTGGATTTAGTCTATTAATACTTTATTAAATTATTTGGCAAAGAAAGAAAAAAGTTAATAGTTGAAGAGAATTTTGAATAAAAGACAGTATAAATTCCGTACAGTCGTCTCTGAAGTCTCATCATTTGTAAGAAGCCTGTATAGTTTGTTTAAAATCTTGATTTTGATCTTCTCTTGAATCTTGATTAGGTTTCCAATCAGAAATCAAAGGAATTGAGTTTTTGCCACAAACTCTGCTTTTCTAATCTCTATATCTTTGTAACCCAATGTCGTAAACCTTAGATATTTCAAACTTTTAATACTTATAGATAAAATAATCTAAGTTTGAAATATCAAAGGTTTGCACCATCAGATTGCAAAGATATTGGGATCAGAAGATTTGAGTTTGTGGCAAAAACTCAATTCCTTTGCACAACTTAATGAATGAAAACAAGCAACTTTAAAATGTAATATAAACATATTAGATTTTTACGGAGCCTGGAGTATTACAAAACGAACAAATGAACAGTTTTTTTGGGGGTATTTTGGGTATGTGGGGCGGGGGGGGGGGCACTTTTTCAAATGTGCGAATATGACTCGTCAATGCTGCAATTCTTTTTAAATAGTCTCCATAAACATTCAATTACAATTAGATTAGAATAGATTGCATTGAAATTTCAAATATGAAATAATAGTTTTTACGCAATATAGGTAATGGACCCTAAATCAAAGTATCATAAGAGTCTAAGTGAAACTATGGGGCCCTTTTTCTAAAGCCCACTTCTAAAATTTAAATATTTTGAGATTTTTTGTAATTTTTAAACTCATTCAGATTGTTGAGTTTCATCAATACCAAAAAGAATTCTGAGATGCAAACTCTTGTATTGTGGATATCGAGATCAATTCTTGATCTCGATCTTTTGTTAATCTGCAGATTAATTTGATCCTTAATCAATATTGGGTTTGGATGGTCGGAATAGTTTAGATGGTTTGGCCAGTTTGGATGGTTTGGGTGGCTGGTATGAACTGAAGAATCTCGCGGAGAATTTGCCTCGCACATAATTCAGATTCACAGGAGAGGCCGGGGTGGGGGATGGGGTTAGTCGCCCGGGACAAACGGGAGGGAGGCAGGTGGACGTGGTCCGGGAAAAATGAGGGGGAGGGTGGGTAGGGGCCAGAAATAATGGGGTAGAGGTGTGGGTAGGGTTTACAGCAAAAAGGTAAAATCGTTTCGCGAAAATTTCACATTTTTCGAGGCCATTTCGCTTCATTTTCGCATTTCGTTCGATCGCGAAGAATGCGAAAATTTTCGCTTTTTTCTTGAAGTATTTGCATTTTTGCGAAATTTGCGAAATGCGACTAAAAATTTTCGCATTTTTTAGCGAAACGTTTCTTTAGCTGGAAACCCTAGGTAGAATGAAAATGAGTGGCCCACACTAATTTTTTTAATGAATCCAAAATAAAAAATGTTTTCTAATCAAAACTTTTGAAAACTATATCTCGTTCATATTGAAATATTCTGTACCAAAGTTCCAAATATTCTGTACAAAGTTCCAAAATATAGAATTTTTAATGTTTCCTTGAAAAGCGCGATCACAGCATTATTTTTGAATATAGTATTTAAAAAGTTTGTTTAGTACACAAATTTAATAAAAATTAAGGAATTGTTAGTTGCCATTTTCGGCCACCAGGTGGTGCAAAAGTGGCGCCGTGGTGGCGGGTCCAACAGAGGCGCTATGTCATTCCTAATTATTGTTTAATTTATTCAATAAAGCAGAATACAAATCACTGGCAAGTTGAATTTACCATGGTATTAAGAAGTTATTTAGTAATAGGGGGGTTCAGGTCCAAGAAAATAGGGGTATTGGCCCAGGAAAAATTAGGGTAATGGTCCTAAAAGAACGTGGGTAGTGGTCCAGGAAAAATATGAGTAATTAAATTCGGTCCATGACGAGCGGGGGAAGGAAGTCGGCCAAAAGCCACAACATTTATCCTTTCCATGCTAAATACATATTAGCTTTTTTGTCTTCCAGCAGCCACAAGCCACAGCATTTGAGTCTTCTGGCAATTAATACGTTTTTTCAATTGGTAAATTTAATGCATTGAAATTGCGATTTTCAAACATCCAGCCACCTTATGCAAATTATATCTATGAAAATATTGATATTTAAGTTTTAAATTGAAATAATGGTGATTCCTTTAGATGTAAAGTGCTTAACTTACTTTTTCCAAACAATTCAGTATTTCCTCTAAAATGACTTATTTCTGAAAATATTATGAACAGTAAAAATATACTCTTTGAGTTCAAAGTGCACCCATAATCGAAATCTGTAGCACTCAGCTAATGGCATCTAATGTTGTGATTTTTCTCATCTCTAGACTACTCCAAACAATTTGTCTCCGTACCCACTATTAGTATAGTGATGTAAAATCTTCTTTTTAAAATGCAAAGCTGTTTATCAACTGAACATACAATTTATTGATTTTTTATAAACTTCTAAAATTTCTTAGAGTTATCAAAAATCGCGTAATGCGGCTGTATCTTTGAAAATGTCAATTTCAATGCACTAAATTCATCATTTAAAAACGTAATAATATCCCGGAGACTCCAATGTTGTTGCATGGAAGACCAAACGGCAGTAGCTTAATGCTGCCGGAAGACAAAACAACTAATAAGGGGAAAATTTTATGGTTTCAATCCGCCTTCCTCTGCTCCGCTGACCCATTAATTACAGAAAAATGCTCTCTGGTTCTAACATTTGTTAACCTAATCTTATAAGACAGTATTTGAAGTCGGAAGACTCAAAAGTCAGAGTCATAAAATACTTCTGGGTGTCCAAAAAAATATGATGATTTGAAGGTCGTCTTTGATCTGTATAATAATTTGTAAATCTAGAAGTACAGTCCTATGAGTCCTAGTGTTGATCATCAGAAATTGTGTTATCCTTTTTTGTCCTTTCATTTTAACTGAAGATGTGAAGAATTTCGTTCAGATTTCGACGGTTTAGTTTTTCTTTATTAAATTGAAATCTGAACAAAATTCTTAATATGTCCATCAAAATAATTTAAAGCAGAAAAAAACTTAAAGACAGACAACATTGAAAACGCCAAGACTAAGAGTATTTTGTGGTTATTGTTTCAAGAATCGTACATGTGAAATTAGGTTGACGACTGAATTTCACAAATAAATTCAAATGTTTCGCGGGACACCCTGTACCTGCCGAAATAAAAAGGGCTTCTTTTATACGAGGACCCAAAAAGTAAATTTATTTTAATCAAAAATTAAACATATGCTCAATCAATTTTCTATTATTTTATTATTTTCTATTCTAAATTTGTTTAATCTTAAATGAAAGAAAATAACGAAGAAGAACAAATTTTGATCTGTTTGTTTATAAAATATCTTTTGTCAGAAAAAAAGAGCTAATTGAAAAGAACTTTTTTAAATATACTTAATTTCATTAAATTCTTTTTTATCAATTTTCTTCTTACGAGAAAATACTCATAAATCCAGATTTAATTTATATTTTGATTAGGGTAGCAAACAAATCTAAAAAGATTACATTTTAAAAAAGAATAACATTGTAGATTGTTCATTAAAGATTATGAAATGTGAAATTAAAAGATTAACATGATATAACAAATAACAATGATTTATAAGATTAGAATACAAATAATGAGTTTAAAGTTTATTAATAGATAAACAACATTTATTAGCAATAGAGACTAAAAACTCGACATTTTTTACATTGTTATTTTTATATTATTTACATTGTTAACTGTCCAATCTTAATTTTTATATTAAACGATTTTAATTTATCTTAATATTAATTCAAAATTTAACGTTGAAATTGTTTTTCGTCAAAAAAATGAAGTTATAGAAAAAAAAGAATTTTCAAAAAAATTAGTATTTTTGTGTTTTATATGAATTTCAACTCTGTAGTTTACATACTCAGCTATTGTACGAAACACAGGTACGTATGTAATCTGTATGTATGGTGTTAATTATAAATTAACAATTTTCATGAAAACTATGGATTTTAAACATTAAACTTAACGAGTCAGAACAAAAGTTTTTTTTTTCCTGTTAATATTTATAGCTATAACCTGTCCCGTTAATCAAGAAACTTGAAGACGACATGCCAAGATTCAATCCTAGTTATAATTCGGAAAAAATATGGGCCTTATTTATTCATAAATTTTTAATGAGCATTTATTTACGATATGCCAAACTAAAAACATTAAAATTATATTTGTTATTCAACTATAAACATTTTAAAAAATGTTTTATTTATTTGGTTTCTTATTCTTATTCTGATGATTTATTTATTCCGTTTCCGATTCTGCAGATATTTTTGTTCTATTTCTGATTCTTTATTTATTCTATTTATGATTCTGTTTTTTATTTATTCTGTTTCCGATTCTGCAGATATTTTTGTTCTAGTTCTGATTCTTTATTTATTTTGTTTCTGATTCGGGTCTTTATTCATTCTGTTTCTGATTCCGGTTCTTTATTTATTCTGTTTCTTATTCGGTTCTTTATTTATTCTGTTTCTGATTCCTGTTCTTTATTTATTCTGTTTCTGATTCTGATGATCCGAAATATTCTTCTCCTGCAGTAGACTGACTAGTGGTGGAACTACAGATATTAATCAATTAATGTTATTTAATGTAATTTTTAATAATCCGCTAAATTGTGAGAGAAAAATCTTTAAACTTTCCGTTCAATAAAGATTTCCAATTAAAGATTTCTGCAATGTATGAAAGTACATTTCTTTTGTAATAAATAGAATATAAAGTTGAATACATATATTATTAATCAATATATATATAGTAACCAAATTAGTTAAATATGTTGGCTAAGGTAGATGGATATATGTTTATTTATATTTTCTACCCCACCCCCCCCCCACCCCCACTAGTGATGGACATCATTTTCAACATTCAAAGTTTAAGATATCTATCCTAATACAAAATTATATGCTCGATAAGTTTTCTTTTTTTACATTATGCAAATGTGTTTATTCCAACAGACTTAATCTTTTCCTCCAAAAGATAAATTTCAACACAATAAATCTTTAAAGCTCAATTAATTTTCCTGTAAAAAGTTAAACTCTAATCTCAGATCACTCCAGACCTTTAATTTTTAAGAATTTAAAACTTTAAAAGAGTTTAAAACTATTCTTGTCCCTGTAAATGATGAAAACAAATTGTTACTCCATCAAAGAGTTTAAAGAAACATTAAATAGGCTGATATTCCATCTTCAATTCAACATATTTAATCTTGTAGCTGTCTCTCAACCTTACTGCAGAGCAAGTGATTACACCTCAAGATAAACTCGCAAAGTATCGAGATCTATCTTACGGCTACGAGGCCCCTGGTCAGTTCAACTTTGTAAATGTATTTTCAAATGGCTTAAATTGTACGCATTCTTTTATCATTTTTACGAATATTATACAAGTCGGAACTGATTATATTGTTTTTCAGTTCACGACTAGAGTTGTATGAATACACCTATCCAGAAATACATGCTTGAAAAGACCTATTTCTAAACACTTTATACATTGATTTTTAACAGATTTAGTTTTTCATCCGGGTTATCAAAAAAGCAAACAAACAAAAAATCTGTCAAAAACCATGAAATCTGTTCAATATATAAAATTGATTAATTCCTTAATCTCATCATTCGTGATTTTGCCACAGCTGCAGCAGCTAACCTACATAATAATAATAGTTATAGTAATGGTTATAGTAATTGTAGAGTAAAGAGCGTTATTGGGTTATATTAAAAAATTGATGAATTTGGTTAAACCTATCTTTTAACCCTAATATCATTGCAAGTAGAGATGCTAGCCTAACCAAAATTACTTCTTACTTAAATATTATTATCAGGTTTGTATATCTTAAGTCGCGGATTTTTTTTTCACTTAATGTAACATTTACAGGACATTAAAAGAACAAATATGCAAAATAATGCATCTTTGAAATTTAGAGCTAAGAAATTCAATTCAAGAGCTAAGCTTTGTAGGGTTTATTGATCGTATTTGAAATTATTTTCCTCCGATAGTTGCTACATATAGATCTTTAGTAGATACTAAAGTGTCAATGTTACAGTATTGCATATTAAAACTTATGCATACTACACAAGTATTACAATATTTTCGTAAGTTGGAGTATTTAGTTATACATGAAATTGCAGAATTTGGTCACAGTTCAACATTAATACGAAACAACACAAAGGTGGAATTAAAACATCTTGTATTGGATTTTCAAATTAAAAATGTCGGGTCTAGTTTACCCAAATATTCTGTTGTGAGCATGCTATTGGAAGCCACTGAAAAGTTCTAAGGGATGACAATATACGTGAAAGTGCTTTCCTTGGAATGAACAAGCTCCCAACAAACTCAAGCTAATGCCAGGAGCTGTGAGGATTGAGTACCCTGAGCAGCTTGATGATCCTCTTCTCGCTGTGCAGTTTGATGATCCTCCCCTCGCTAAACAGCTTGATGATCCTCTTCTCGCTGAGCAGTTTGATGATCCTCCCCTCGCTAAACAGCTTGATGATCCTCCCCTCGCTGAGCAGCTTGATGATCCTTCCCTCGCTGAGCAGCTTGATGATCTTCTCCTCGCTGAGCAGCTTGATGATCCTCCTTTCGCTGAGCATCGTGATGATCCTCTCCTCGCTGAACAGCTTGATGATCTTCTCCTCGCATAGCAGCTTGATGATCTTCTCCTCGCTGAGCAGCTTGATGATCCTTCCTTCGCTGAGCAGCTTGATGATCTTCTCCTCGCTGAGCATCTTGATGATCCTCTCTTCTTTGAACAGCTTGATGATCACCAATAATAAGAGGAAGAAAGATTTTTGTAGAAGAAAATGTTTTAAACTTTTATTGGTGCGTGAGGGTGAATAATATTAAAATCAAATAATTAATTTTTTTTATAAAGTTCATTCTTGTCGGATTTGGGTGTTTATTTCAGTTCAGGTTTTTAAAGTCAAAAATAATTTATAAGTTTTTTGTTAGGAATCGACTCATGCTAAATAGTGTTGTTTTAAACATTTTTACTGTACCAGCTTAAACGAGTGTAAAATGATAAAGTTTAACACTATAACCAAATCACGCAATTTATAACCAACCCAATCTATGACCAAATACAGCAATTTGATATGCTTTAAAGCAACCTGTGTATCTGAAGCAATAATGAATCATTTCCATTTTTTCTTCGGTTTCTTACTCAAATATCTTCAAACTTTAGAATGTATGTTTTTTCAAACAATTTGTGTTTAACTGTAGTGAGTTATAGGTGTATTTTTTTTCTAAATATCAGAAAAAAAATATAATTTATTAAAATTATAAAATCTTTAACCAAATAGCGCACTTTACTCTAGTAGTAATAGTAATAATAATACTAACAATAACAATTTAATTAATAATAAAGATAATGATATTGATCAAAATATTGATAATGATCTTGATCATAATAATAAATAGTAAAAAAAGAACAAAAACCTTGAATCAAATCCTGATGGCTGGGTGTTTACATGAACATCTCTGAAAATAAATAATGATACAAATCTAAATTTTTATTATTTAGATTTGTTTATAAATTTTTACCTATACTTATTCATATAAACAGAGCTTAGGGAGGAGTCTGCACCATTTCTAAAAATTTTTTAAATAAAGACATATCGAAATTAAAAATCAAAAATATAACATGGAAACATAATAAAATATAAGAGAAAGAAATATAGTTTACACAAAAAATTAAAATAATAAAAATTGGGATAGATAACAGAAAATGTGAATTTAAAAAGTTAATACCACCTTTCGGTTCCTTCACTGGTTTTTTGAAGCCCCGCCAGCAGACCTGTACCGTCACGGTGCTCAGTGTGCGGATGTACTCTGCTTCTGTGCCTTGTTCCATTCTTTAGGGCTGCAGGCCGGAGCGGACGCCGAAACATCTTTTTGCTCTAAACAACAGCAAAACAGGTCATTGGTGCTTTTTAGACTATTAAAATTACTTATTAATAAAACAAGAATCATACAGGGTTGCCCAAAAAGAATGAGACTATTGATCTATTGCATGGCTTTCTGCCTTCTATAAATATTTTTTTTAAAGATTGATAAATTATTTGTAAAAGAACAACTATGAATATTTCTACTTTGAAGTAAGGCAAGGTGTAGAGTATTTTGTAAAAAATCTCATGAAAACAGTCGACAAATTCTAGAAAAGACATGTTTGTAGCCCAAAAAATTAGGAACATTATAATTTCCCGTTTACATTTGGACTTTTATACATTAGAGGTGAAGTTTTTTTGTATCTTTTTATAATTAATTGTGAGCATAAAGCATATCTTTTACCGAATTATATTTTCGATTGTAGGAATCAGAACTGCTACTATCTTCATCTAAAATAGAATCAAAATTATCAAAGAGGAAATAAATATTATAAATAACTGTATGTAACGCTCAATTAAAAAAAAGAGAGGCATGTCTGATTCACAACGGCCTACCCTAAAACCTTAATCTGATCCATGATGCTTAATTCTCTTAATTTCTCAATTATTTTTGATGCAAGAAATGTGAAAATCGCTTGTAGCGAAATCACACATGAAAATAATCCGTTTTCATGAACAAAAATTCATGCTTGACCAGAGAAAGCTTTTAAAGGTACAGATTTGTGAATGGGACATGTCATTCAATCTAAAGAGGGTCATTTAAAATTACTTTTACGGTCCCTTTAAATGCTGGATACAATAGCAAATAAGCCAGATGGGACCAGGGATAAACTACTTTTCAACTTAGGGTGATAAACTTTTAATCTAAAAGTTTGGACAGTGAAACTGGACAAGGAGTTTTGTTGGTGAAACTTAGCGCTTTTCAAATCAAAAGTTCACCCCTAACTGAGGGAATTCAGAGATAAATCGAATTTAGAATACCTTTTAACCCATGAAATCCATTTGTTTTTTCTTCTACTTCACAATCTAGAAAATACTCAATAGGATACACTATTTTCAAACAAACTAACCCAGCTTTAAATTAGCAGGTCATAAGTTGACATTACTTTAAATTTGTAAAAAGTCCTCCGAAAATTGGCAGATTTCTACCCAAAAATTGGTAGATCTCTACCCTGAATTGGTAGATTTCTTCCCTGAATTGGTAGATTTCTACCCTGAATTGGTAGATTTCTACCCTGAATTAGTAGATTTCTACCCTGAATTAGTAGATTTCTACCCTGAATTAGTAGATTTCTACCCTGAATTGGTAGATTTCTTCCCTTAATTGGCAGATTTCTACCTTGAATTGTCAGATTTCTACCTTGAATTGGTAGATTTCTACCTTGAATCGGTAGATTTCTACCCTAAATTGGTAGATTTCTACCTTGAATTGGTAAATTTCTACCTTGAATTGGTAGATTTCTACCTTGAATTGGTAAATTTCTACCTTGAATTGGTAGATTTCTACCTTGAATTGGTAGATTTCTACCCTGAATTGGTAGATTTCTACCTTGAATTGGTAGATTTTCTAACCTGAATTGGTAGATCTCTACCCTAAATTGGTAGATTTCTACCCTAAATTGGTGAATGTAGCCTGTTTATGGAGTACAATTTTTTAACTTACACTTAATTATAGCTTTTTGAAAATATAGATTTTATTATCATCTGCTAGGTCTAGTAAAGCTGCTAGGTCTAGTAAAGCTGCTAGTTTTACTAGACCTACGAAAACAAAATATATATTTTCTGAAAGTTATAACCAAGTGTAAACTGGATCCGAAATTCCCATAGGTAAACAGGCTAGACTATACATAGAGTGTATGTTCGCTAATCCTGTACTAAATAATGTATACAAATGAAGCGTCATGCATATTCAATTATTATTTTATAGGTTAGGCAATAATATGAGACTGCAAAGACAACCTGAAACTTATATAATATGACGATCTCTACGTTAAATTAAGTCTTATGTCTTGAATAAAGTCATTTTATGGCTTATTTAATGATTTGGCAAAAAAAGTTTTAAATTGTAGGGAATTAAGAATAAAAGAAAACAGACAGTATAAATTCCGTGCAGTCGTCTCTGGAGTCTCATCCTTCGTGGGTTACCCAGTATATCGTACAAATGTACAAAATCAAACATCAGTTTTCTTTCTGTTAAATATCTGCAAAAGCATGAGAACTTTCGGCACATTGCTTTTAGCATTTAATATGTATCGGGATGTGAAAAAAGAATGTTTCCCACCCGCTCGATATTTCATTTCTGAAGTTTTATGAAAACCATTCTACTAAAAATAAAATGTCTAACGTCGTAAAAACTTTTTATATAATATCGGATTCATAACACTGTCCAGATATATTAATAATGAAGAGCTTCTAAATTGAAAAAATCTTGCAATCATGTTACCTTTAATCGAAAAAACTAAATGAATATTTTCGAATTAACTATGCAAGATCGTTGACAAAGTAAATATTTTATTATGTTGATTCTTACAGATGTTAAAAGAGGTGTTGTATTCCTCTGGAATGTTTTAAAGATGTGTTATAAAAATATTTGAAAATGAAAAAAGTCGTGTTAATTTCGTTAAGTTCGGTTCGTTGATTTCTTTGAACGAATTGGTCGTTAACGGAAAATCCCGTTCAATAATTGCCCTAGCTGAATATATAATTTACCTGTATCAAGCAGTTTTTCAAGGCTTACATATGGACTAGATGTTTCACAGCCTAAACAAAGAAATGAATTAAAAATTACAAGGGTACCCATTCACCATTTATGTCTTCGTTCTTTAATGGGACTGAAAGGGTAATTTCAAATGACCTTCCACTCCATGAGAAGATGGCTATGCCCGACCTACAACGGTACCCTTAAAAGCTTTGTCTGATCAATCACAATATTTGGTTTGGTGGATCTGAGGATAGAAGTTGAGGAAATATCGTCTTCCACAAGCTTATGTGTCTTTAAAATGTTTATTCTAATTTGCAGTTTCTTTACGAAAGTAAAATTGCGCATTTCTTGCTTCTACGAAACCAATAATAAATAATAAATAAATAAACGTCAGAATCTTCAACTGATCAGAGGTTTCAAGAGTACCGTTGTAAATCGGGAATTGCCATCTTTGTATGGAGGGTCAATTACACTAACAGTCCCATTAGAAGGACTTTTAGACGTAACTTAAAGTGTCCTTCCACTAATAGAGAAGTATGTCAGTGCGATACATGCATGACCATTGTTAAATGAAAGTTCTTATCTTTGAATGGCTTTTTGTCGTTAAAAATATTTAGATTTTTACAAACCTATAAATCGTTTAAGATCTGGAGAACTAAAACTACGGGATTCTAGGCTTCTAATGTTCTCCAATTCACTGATCACACAATAATTTACAAATGAAACAATCATTTAACTTTAAATTATATAATTGAGAACCCAGCGTTGCCCAGGGTATATGAATAGTTACTCACGCCGTTTAACCACGCTTGGTCGTAAATTACAATTTTAGCTATTTTTCCCTTTAAAAGTGGACCCACTCAACTAAGAATCTTGATTGATATAGATTAGGTTTGACATGAAATCAAACAGACTCGTAATCTAAGGATTCACGTTTCAACCCAGGTCAATTGCAAAATCAAAAGTCTGATGAATAGATGATAGGACGAAACACTTTTTATATGTAGAAAGAAGAAGTAGTAAGGTTGGTACTATCATCTCACAAAAAGAAGATGAATCATTTGGTCTGTAGATTTACTGTACAACTTGGCCATGTTTTCTATAACTTATTAGTTGGTGCGGTATATTAAATGAACCGAAGTTTACAGTTAAGGGTGGTTCGACTGATTATTTAATTTTATTTAATTCAGAAGTTACGACATTTAAATTCACAGCCACTTTTCACTACGAAGTTGTGTAGGTATTTTTTTGAGACTGATAAACATCGAAAACAAATAGGTTCCATTTTTTACCCTTCTCAATCTCATCTCTATAGTACTTCTTTACAAGCGGGGATTTAACTTCAATAGTTTAAAGTCTGTACGGTGTACAAGTTTCTCTGAGTAAATTTCCTGTTAGGGATTGAATTAGACATTCTATGCAGAGAGAGGAGGGAAGGAGTCTTGTTCAATTTAATCTAAATAATTCAAATAAGTTAAAAATATCTCCACCAGGTGGCAAAGACTCAATTTCATTTTATTTTCAAGGGTATGTTTTAAAGAGCTTGATACAGTAAGACACAAAAAACTGTAGAATTGGAAGACGAATATATACATAAGACTGTCTGTGTACACTGCACAATGGCTATGTTCCATCTGCATTTTACTCGAAATCAAAAATTTAACCAAAATGTCGTCTTCCTTTTCCACAGTTTTATGAATCTCATATGATATATATCATATAATCATAATCATAGTAATACAGAAGCGTGAGAAATCAAAAAGCCTCTTTCGAAAAAAATGTAGATACAATAGAAAAAAATCCAAAATATATATTAAAAAAAGAGTAATTATAAAGTAACGAACTTTATTTCTTGATTGTGCTGATCCAGAACTGTCTGAGGAATCGGAACTTTCCACCTAAAAAAATAAATCATTAAAAAACAATAAAAAATTATTTTTGCTTTAAAATAAAGAACTGTATTTGTTCGCTATAATTTAAAAATATCAAGGAATAATTTGCCATTTTACTAGAAGAAAGGAAATGATTTTATAAAACAAACTCTAATTTTGAAATCCCTTTATCTTTGCTCTACCTCCTTGTATATAGAAGATGAGTGGAATGAGACACTATCACTGTGGTGACCAGGCTCACTATCCTGAGACCTCACTGTTCTAGTGTCAGATCTAGATAAATTATAAATGTCATTGTCGCTGTCGTTGTCCTTGTCGTTGTCGTTGTCGTTGTCGTTGTCTTTGTAAATTAAATTATTATCATTAAAGACGGCATATATGTTGCCTTGGCGAATCCCGTCATTAAAGTGTTTGTTAAAAACTTATAAATATGCACATAAAAATTTGCGAGATTTTAAATTTATTTTAATACAGGGTGTCCCACGAAACATGACAGTATGCAGGACGACTTGAATGTCGTCTTGATTTTTGATATAATTTGCTGCGCTTATTTGTCAACCAAATTTTAGAAGTAAATTTCTAGAGAATATAATCACAAACTTTCCCTTGTCCTGCCATTTCCAAAATGTGGTCTGCCTTTTTTGTGCTTTCAATATTGCCCGAGATATGAAGAATTTCGTTCAGATTTCGACAATTTTGCTTTTATTTAACAAAATTGAAATCTGAACCAAACTCTTTATATCTCCGGTAATATTGAAAGCACAAAAAACGCAGACCACTTTTTGGAAATGCCAGGGCTAGGAGAATTATGTGATAATTGTTTCAAGAATCATACATGTTAAAGTAGATAGAAGACTAATTGTCACAAATACATTCAAATACCAAAGACGACTTTCAAGTCGTCTTCCTATTGTCATGTTTCGTGGGACACCCTGTATCTTATTTTCATTGATTTGATGAGTTAATTTTTTTTCTCAACCTGTTCGTAACCATGCCACTGGTTTGTGGAATAGCTTTTGTTAAGGGTTTCTTCGGGGTTACTTATCAAATAATTGAAAAAAGGCGTTTCTTCTGCTGACCAACACATCTAGTGAATTTTTACAAACGAAATTAAGATCTTACAATATGAATTAAACACCGTAAAACATCTCATTGGTCACAAATGACCCTACAAATTTTCTTCGTGAAACTACAGTCTCTGTTCAAATATGTTACCGATACCTCGCCAGTTTTTCCCTTTTATAAAACAAAATATAATTCATCTACTGTGATTGTGAACGCACACAAAAGGCAGACCACATATTACAAATTTTGGAAACTATCAGTTATGGTTCATTGATGTACGATGCCCCGGCTAGGCTAGAATTATAAATAATTAAGAATAAAAAATATACCTGATCGAATCGCAGTCCGAATCTGTTTCCTGACTTAGTCCCAAAATATTGGACTTTACAAGTGGAACAGGAACTTCTGTTCAAACGCCATTTTATTTTCATAAACAAGAGGCCGAATTTAAAGGATTTGAGCCGCGGCTCAAATATGATTGATTCCACTTAAAATTGTATTAAATTTTTCAAGATTTAAGCCGGCGCTCAATTGAAACCTGTTTTGATGGGATTTGAGACGCGGCTTAAATTCATTTAATTCGCGCAAAGGATAAAGAGACTGTCGGCTTAAGACAAAGGATAAAGAGACTGTCGGCTTAAGACAAATGATAAAGAGACAGTCGGCTTAAAAAAAAGGATAAAGAGACAGTCGGCTTAGGACAAAGAATAAAGAGACTGTCGGCTTAAGACAAAGGATAAAGAGACAGTCGGCTTAAGACAAAGGATAAAGAGACTGTCGACTTAAGAAAAAGGATAAAGAGACTGTCGGCTTAAGACAAAGAATAAAGAGACTGTCGGCTTAAGACAAAGGATAAAGAGACTGTCGGCTTAAGACAAAGAATAAAGAGACTGTCGGCTTAAGACAAAGGATAAAGAAAGTGTCGGCTTAAGACAAAGGATAAAGAGACTGTCGGCTTAATTTCAAGTGACAATCCACTTGGGATAGTTACATGCCCGATTCACGTCGGTACCCTTTACAACTTCATCTAAGGAGCAAAATATTGAGGGAGAACTTATCTGCTAAGAGATAAATGCTAGGTTCTGATAAGAAGTAGTAAGAATGGCTGGGCATTGCATTAAAAATATATCTGCTAGATGGATAGAGGGGGGGGGAGAGAATAAAATCAGGGAAGGGGGGGGGGAATTAACATATATATACAAAAAGAAAGCAAAATGGATTTAATTTGAATGGGTATAAAACTATGAATGGAGGGAGTCGTCTTGTTCGCCAAAAAGTTAGAAATGAAGAACGAAAAATGACAGAAACAAATATGATATACCGTGCAGATCTGTTAACAACGGGAGAAGCTGAAAAGCCTAATTTTAACGGTAAAAAAAAGTGATAAATTCTTCAATTTTCCATCCTCGTCTCTGCTTCATAATCACGAGGTCACTTGAATTATTATGATTATCATTCAACTTACAAGTCAAAGTATCATGTCATGTATAAAAAAACCCGCATCAGAAAATAATAAATGTTTAAGAATAGCATTTTTGCTGAGAAAAAAATCCAACTTGTGAAGTTGTGAATAAAGAATCTCTTGAAATTACATCGACAACCACTTTATCAAAAAAATTGTAAATTAATAATTTCGATTTTGCAAAATAGCGATTAATCCCTAGGTTGGCACTTTGGTTAATACTATTTAAATTCTCCTCTTCTTTAGCAGAACTTGTACAGTTATCATCTCTAGAATAATACAAAAATATGATCTGAATGAAATCATTATAAAATCAGCATAGGCTGTAGAAAGCATAATGTTAAGATTCTGTTCACAAACGGAAAAAACGTGAAGTTTCAATTCAGATGGATTTTTTTAATTCCCTGTTAAAAATCAAGTTTAAGGGACGAGAAGATTCCCCTTCTCTTCAGTAGCTTAAAGATACAAAATGGAACATTTTTATCGAATGGGCCGCCTAAAAATCCAATGAACACCCCCCATTTTGGATTTTATATGTCAAAAACTAAGAAAATGATAATTTTAGATTATCTTAAACCATCCTTTAGCAAGTGTCTTCAGTAGCTTAAAGATACAAAATGTAACATTTTTATCAAAAGGGGCGCCTAGAAATCCAATATTACTAAACAACCCCCATTTTGGATTTCATTTGTTAAAAACAAAGTAAATAATACTTTTAGATTATCTAAAGCCATATCATCGTTTAGAAAGTGTCTTCAATAGCTTAAAGATCCAAAATGTAACATTTTTTTGATAAAGGGTGCCTAGAAAATCAATTTTTCTGAACACTCCCTTTTGCATTAAACAATTAAACAATTAAAATATCAATTTTGAAATATTTAAGTTATACCAGCTATTAGGAAGTATCTTCAGTAGCCTAACAATTGAACAATTGAAATCAACGTGTTTGGTGATATTGGATTAAAGAAAAAAAAATTTGAGCATTTTTCCAGTCCCTAATTGATTAAAAGAATATAAGTGCAAAGTTGGCACCTTTTATCTCTATTATTACAAACTCCAGGAGACTAGTGAGGTCCTTTATTTCTTTTCACCAAAGAAAAAAAAACTTTGATGATAATTGTTTTTAACTTTTTAAATGGAGGGTTACTAAAAATTGCATCAACACAAGAATTAAGATACAAAATTTACCCTAGCTGAAGATCAACTGAGTCTACCCGTGCCTGTCGTGCAATAGCTTTGGCTTCTCGCACCTGAAAAAAAGATTCTTTATCAAAAATCAAATTGGAAAGTTTGATTTATCAGAACCCGTAAAACTGTGGAATAGGAAGACGACTAAAGTTAATATTTTAAATAGTTTAATGAGCACAGCAATTGAGCAGTGTTTACACGCCACCCTATTCACACAACCTATATCTAGGTTCCGTTCATGGCTGCACTATCTCTCCTGATCTCCTCTGGAGTCCTCCAGGATGGCACTGCTATATGTCTGATACTTTGTGATCTTTATTATGTCCTTGTCTATCTTTCTTTACCATGTCATATCTCTAGCAGTGTCCTTTTTCTAGATACTGATGTACCGAAGACCTTAAGGCCTTTCCGTGTTTACTTCGTATACAAGTCTGACCCTCGTCTCTTCTCGTTCTTCTCGAAACCCCAGAGGACTGATCCGGAGCCGCACTTGTTCCTGTTGCTTGTGCGGTACCAGGTGGTCCCTCTCCTTGCTGATCTCCCTGCTCCTCACCTAGACGAGACCGCGCGCCCAAACGCACTCGGACTGAACTAGGAGGACTTACTCTAGCTGAGCAGATACCCAAGGTGTGTACTCTTACGACAGTTACACAGATCCATATCATTTTATCAGTTGATTTTAAACCTGCTGAACTGAAAACTTTAGAATGGATATTCTTAATCCTGATCGCTTAATCTAAATATCCACTGTGGAAACTTTGAATTTGATTTTTAATCCGCTCTCGTCATCTCATCATCTCGATATCCATTATTCTAAAGTTTTCAGCTCTGATAAAAAATGTGTTGCTGATAAAAAGCATCAAATACATATAAGCTTGCACTAATGTCGTTTTCTTATTACAGAGTTTTAAGGGTTTCACTCTACAATGTACATTGTACAATGAACATAATATCTTGATAAAATATCAAAAAACTTAAATGGAGTTAAAATCCTTGAACTGAAAAAATAGAATAATTGAGGAATATAATGAGACCCATTAAACTATGGTTTAAGAAGATGACTGTTAACCTCATGATATGATTTTTAACAGTCGAATAAACATGAAACACAGTTAATGCAGTTTACATCCTTTAATGCCGTATTCTTATTAATCAACAGGTTTGAGATGTACATTATATCTTGTAGAATCTCCAAAAACCTTAGATGGAGTAGAATTGCTAGAATTAAAACAGTGTACTAGGAATAGACTGCCCATACAACTGTGTACTAGGAATAGACTGCCCATACAACTGTGTACTAGGAATAGACTGCCCATACAACTGTGTACTAGGAATATACTGCCCATACAACTGTGTACTAGGAATAGACTGCCCATAAAACTGTGGATGAGGAAGACGACTTTTTTGCTTTTAAATAGTGCAATGAGCATGAAACACAGCTTAACAGTTAAACAATTGAAAAATGTCGTCTTCATAGTCTTCAATTTTATGGCTTCCACTGTCGCTAAAAGTGCGCGACAGACCTTTATGATTAAAACATGAAAACATTATCTATCTTTTTATAACAGTTAAAAACTAATCTTCCATTGCATGTGCAAATGTCGCAAAAAGATATTTTTTTGTTATAAAAACTGGATGCTATGTTTTTACTTGTACATGGTGTTAGTATGGAAACTAAGGTTAAGAACTAAAAAGATTATAACAAGAAGCCGTAGTTATAATTGAGTACAACACAATTCAGGGCTAAATATTAATTTTTTAATTTTATTCTTTTCAAAAATGTAGATTTAAATGCAAAATGACATTTAAAATTGTGAAGTACTTTATATTATTTGAAGCAAAATTGCCGAAAAAATGCGTACAATGTTTAGATTGCGTAAACGTTTTCAAAATTGATGTTTAGTCATAAATCCTTATTATGAAAAATAGATGTTGTACGATCAATAATTAAAAGATTGATAGAAATTCGCAATTTCGATGTGATGATCGTCAAATAAATCATCTTTGCTAGATCACTCAGATCTGCGTAAAATGATAGATTTAAAGTGTTCTTATATTTTGCAGCGTCACGTCTCTTTGAGAATTCGTAAACATTCCCTTCAAGTTTACCTGGAATTCTTTTTCTTTAACCCTGAGGACGGATTTAAGCTCGTTTAACACTTTTTTGGACTGCCGGCGCTCTTCCTTGCTCTTCTCATAGTCTTGGACGAAATTATCCTGAAAATTTATTTATTTATTTATTTTATTTTAAGTGGTCAAATGGCTGAACCAAAATATACGGATCAAAGCTATCTCAACGGATTATAAGGTTACGATCTCTGGATCTCTATTCTTTGTAAATATTGATAAATATTGACCTTTAAGGAAAGAATCGTTCGTTTTAGCGCCGAACCTTGAGCCAGCATTAAAAGTGAACAAGTAAACTTCATTTTAATGGTTTGTGGCACTAATAAGCTTTGAATTGTATATTTGCGAATAAGTATCAAAATGAATAGATTTTAAATATACAAAATTTAAGTAGGAGAGTGAAAAATCTAAAAACATGAAGTAGAAAATCTACAATCACTTTTTCTCTCTTGGTCGAACTAAATTTTACACTGCTTTTGGGGAGGAAAGTTAAAAATAAGTTAGGTGATGGACATTGTACATTGAACAAGGTCAATAATGTTGTTTAGAATGGAATAAAATACCCCCCCCCTCCCCCCCCACAAGTTCCCACAAAAGAAGGGAAGCCCTAGTGTCCGGGAAGGGGGAAGAATATTCACCCCTATTTTTACCTCAAACTTCATATCCAAGTTATCCGAGGAAATAAAAGCTTCAAAAACTTCATCCATGTGAGATTGTTCATCGCTCTCAGATATCACACTAAATGTGTCAGTTAAAGTGACAGGTCGCAAATAAAAAAAAATTGTACTGTACTGAAGTGTACTGTACTGTACTGCACTGTACTGTACTGTACTGTACTTCACTGAACTGTACTGTACTTAATGTACTGCACTGTACTGTAATGTATGTACGGTAATGTATTTGAACTGTGTGTACTGTACATGTATTGAACATACCGTTGAGTACACTGACTACTCCCTGCCACGCTCTCAGCTGAACTCACTTCAGAACACATCTCATCAGAGTTTAAACTTCTAATAAAAAAATGAAATAAAAAAATAAAAAATCTTTATTAACAAATTCCTCCAAGATTCATGGGTTGGAAATGTGCCTCTACAGAGTTTTCCCAGTCCCACAAAACGTGAGTGTAGAGAGAGGTCTTGCAAAATATGTGTGGGCATTTTTTCTAAAACCGTCTTATCATTTGAGATTCTTGAATCAATAAACACAGCGCAATTTCAAAATGTGGTCAGTATTATTAATGGGGATTACAACCTGTTTTTAGATTTAGACAAATTTTATTTCAATATTTATTAAATTGAAATATAAAAAAAGTTCTTTGGTAACTAAAATAATCTAAAAATATTCTTAGAATTAGAATTATAGAAAAAGAAGAATCCTACATGGGGGATATGTTCGCATAATTATAATAACCTTGCGCTAGACGGTCGTTTGATATCATCTATCTGGTCGACCCCCTCCTCTAGGCAGGTCAAACAGGCGTTCAGCTCTCCTTGGATCTCTTTAAACCCCTGATATAGAGATAAATAAAAAGAACTGTAGACATGATTTCAAGTTGTTTTGCGCTCAATTTTCTTATATACAAATATGGATATCTACGTTATCCTTGATCAGACAAAGGTTTAAAGGATACCGTTGTGAATTAAACATCCCAATTTATAAACGTAGATATTTACAACACACTCTTTCAGCTCGCCTTAGATCTCTTTAGACAAATATTAAAATTTTATAAAAGGAGAAAATGATAGGTTTAAAATTAGCTGAAGAATTCTTGTTCTCTACATCTTTCACCAGTAAGATAGGCTCAAAGTTTAAGACTAAAATAAGAAGACTTGAAATATGTTAGAACACATTTTTCTTAGAATCGAGTATAATCTAAAAATTAGTCAATCACTTCGACAAAACTGATCATATTGAGAGTTGAGACTAAAAGGTTTAGACCTGAGACTAAATTTTGAATTTAAAATTTACCTTCAACCATTCCAGGAGTTTATCCTCGTCTGGTAATAAACTAGATCCCGCATCCTGTAAAATATCCTGGGATATATTTTCATAAGGAGCTAGGTCGCTCAACTATCTAGATCTGAACCGACAGAAGGTTGTTCAGCGACCTCTCCAATTAGGNGGGGTAATTTTCTTTTAAGAGGGAAAAACTTATAAACTTCAGCAAGCTTCTCTATCTTTAAATTAATGGAAAAAAACACAAGTTTAAATGGAATTAAGAACTAAAAAAAGGGTTTTTCTGAATTAAAATGTACATGCACATGCCGAGGGCTACAACAACTAATAAGTGAGTTAGTTAGGTCAAATCAAAAGGCGTTGAGACAATTCAAAGTGGAATCAGTCATAAACATTGATTCAACTTTTCTAAAACTTAGGAAATATTTGTTCTAAGTTAGGCAGATTTAGATATATTGCTTTCCGCATTTCCACTTGTAAGAGGTGTTTTATATCCTTAATTGTAAACAGAATTCAATTTAAACAGACCGTCTGCTAAAATGACAGCAAAATTACATCTTCTATTTCAATTGTTCTCTTTGTGTACATTGTAAAACAAAACAAAAAAAGTATGTGGATTTCAACAAAAAAATGAAAATCGAATTTTGATGGAGGCAAATTTTTCAAATTTTGTTAGTTGATAAACCTTCCCTAAGGCCACGTGAGGTCCATAAAATTTGGGCCTGATCGGTTCAGCCGTTTTGACGTTTATTGGATACAAACAAACAGATAAACACCAAAACAGACACCCAGACAAGCTAAATTTATATATAGATGGAGTTTTACAGTTCCCTAAAAACGTGGTCCGTTAATTTTTAAGAACTTCAAAATCTTTTATTTCCTATTTTTACCTTTCCAAGTTTCTCTGTTACTCGGCGTATCTTTAAAATAATTTGTTTAATATGTTTGAGAACTCCGCTTCTATTTAGTTCTTCATCGTCTCGAACCTAAACAAAGGAAACTATATCATAACATTTCTTTAATTCAATGTTTTATTATTGTTCTACAATAAAACAAGACGACTGGCTGAACATATGATTTTAAAAAGTTTATGTTTGAATTTTGAAAAGAACATTTCTTTTTTTAGGCATTATTACAATTAAACACTTAAGTCTAATAAACATAACAATATCTTCCCCAATATTGATCAGAAAGAGGTTTCAAGGGTACCGTTGTGAATCGGGCATTACCATCTTTGCATGGAGGGTAACTTGATATTACGCTTAAAATCCCTTTAAAGATTTAATGTTACCTTATCACAGAAAGTTAAACTAAATCTTCTAAGATACTCTGACTGTTGTAGTAAACTTAACTGGATCGTTTCCTTTAACTAAAAACAATTTTATTAAAGACATCAAATCAAAATCAATATCATTTTATCATTGAAGGACAAACCTGCATTTCTAGCCGCCGAAATGTTTAAAAATAAAAATATTAATACTTCTCAAACATTTTCAGACTATCCAAAATATAGTTTGCCTATCTGTCTTAGCAATAAGGACTAAGATTGATAGTCTTTGATTGCCCGTATAGCATAATAGTATAATAGTCTTTGATCTCCTGTCTTAACCAAAAGTCTTTGATTACCAGTCTTAAAATATAGTCTTTGATTGCCAGTATAAATAAAGTCTGTCTTTGCAGAAAGTCGTTGATTATCCATAAAATTGAAAGTCTTTGATTACCTGTCTTACAGATAGTTTTTGATCGGGAATATCCTTCTGAATACCAAAATTCTCCAGTTCAATGTACGCCAAATAATGATCCTTAAGGAAAAAAAATCAAGATTATTTTTTTTAAAGAGGACTAGAGATCGCAAACTTTGAGTTAATTGCATTCCACGGTATATTGTTGATCTTGAACTTTTTATCTAGATATCCAATGTGAGCACTTTCAAATTTGTGGATCAATGCTTAATCCCTTAACTATAGTTATCCCGGGATATCGAAGAGAAATTTTAAAAATCTGTAGACCTGCATTAGATTTGGATAAATGTTTAATCCTGTTATTAACCTCAAAAAGTCATATAACTTCAGAATGAATTTTAGAAATACCTTGCCTTACATTTTAGTAAGATATTTAATAATATTTCGTCAAAGTTCGTCGGAAAGGTGATTTTATTATCATTTATTTACACAATATTTTAAATAAAAACTACCTCTAAATAATAGATTCAACTTAAATACTTAAAATATTTAGGCAGTAGAGAAAAACAAATAACGTCTTCTGTGGAGTGGATTACCTTGTAATTGGACAATGCTTGGAAAATTATAATAAAAGTGACAAGAAATAATACTAATATGAAAACAAAGACAACCAAAAAAATAGAAAAATTTTCACGAATATTAATTTAGAATTTCGCAAAAATCTCGAAAATGGTTTATTTAACGGTAGAATTATAGTTGCCATTTTTTATGAGTCCCTTTTGCGAAATTTCGATAAGCCATTTGCCATTCAAAATCGCACATGAACACGAACACGAAAATTTCGAGAAAATGAACAAAATCCGTGTTTGTTTTTAAAGCTTATCGAAATTTTGGAAAAGGTTGAATAATATGTTGGAAACCACTGTACCTGGAGATCAATATGATCTGCTTAAGGCTGGATATTATGTTGGAGACCACTTACCTGGAGATTAATATTTCTGCAAAGGCTTGATAATATAGTTGGAGACCACTGTACCTGGAGATTAATATGATCTGCTAAACATTGTATAATATGTTGGAGATAAATATGATATCTGCTAAAGGTTAAAAAAAATGGTTGGAGACCACTGTACCTGGAGATCAATATGATCTGCTAAAGGCTGGATAATATGTTGGAGACCACTGTACCTGGAGATCAATATGATCTGCTAAAGGTTGGATCTCCATCAGAGTCTGGATTGCTTCTCGATAAACAACTATAATCTAAAAAAAATACTTTTATGTTTCTTGTTTTGAATGAATGTCGATACCATTGAAAGAAGTAAAATAAAACAGATTACTCACTTCAAATTATAAGTTTTAATCCCTAAATATTTGCAAACTGATGTCACAACTTTTCCAACAATGAATAAATGACCATAGATATAGGGATTAGATCCGAGTTTGAGGGGGGTAATCAGTTTCTTTAACTGTGACGTATCAGGACATTGATTGCTTATAGGTTTCTAGAAACAGAACCAGTATTCAATGTTAATAGTTATTATACAAAATAGTTCACCCTCATTTCTTGGGCATCAAGACCGCGCCCTCATCAAAACAAACCCACGACACAAACCGAATTTAATGAATTTGAGCTACGACACTGAACTACCTAGTGCCGGTTCGAATTTGAACCACCGACTCAAAATTAAAGATTAAAGAGATTTTAATGGGTGATTCAAATTTGAACCGGAGCTAGGCAGTTCAACCAAATTAAATTTGGTCCCAAATGAAAACCGAATGTACAAAATATTAGATAATAGGTTCAAAATTTCGTTCTTAAAAATCTATCTGATAAGGAGCAAGAATGAACACCATGTGGGATTTTTTTTTTCATTTTGACTTAACCAAATTTCTTCTGTGAAAAAGATTTGAAATCACACAAACAAATTAAAGAAAATGGTTTGTTAAGATCACCATGCTGACCTGAACAGTACAGGAGTAGATGGCCCGTCGTAGGTCAATAAAAGACGACCTATCAATCATAGAAATTTTATCTGATGATAAATAAATTGAACTATTTAAAAAGTAAATAATTGTAAGCGATAAATTAAGATAAAATAATTAAATGGTTTGATAAATGAATTAAATTGTTTGATAAATGAATTAAATTGTTTGATAAATGAATTAAATTGTTAGATAAATAAATTAAACTTTTAATGAATGCATTAAATTGTATAATAAATAAATCAAACTTTTGATAAATTAATTTAAGATGTTACCTTTTGCACAATGCCTGGGACAGTTTTGATTCTTCTAACTCAGTCGAACTTCCTGAAATCAATCTTGTTTAATTAAAAAAATGTGAAAAATCCATAAACAATGTTTTTAGTATTTCCCTCAAATGTAAAGAAACAAGTAAGCTAAACAACATTTTATAATTTTCATCATATTTTCTGGACCACCCTGTACTGTACCTGGCGGTAAGGTTGAATTATGATGGTTTGCAGTAAGCAGATATCCTTGGTTCATCATCTCCATTCCCTTATAATAAAAAAGCGGGGTCAAATGTCGTCTGTATGATGAAAGAAGAAATCCACCAACAAGATGGCATAAATACTTTGACAATACAATAGTGGAGTCAAATGTCGTCTTCCTTATCAATGAAGAAATCCACCAATAAGATGGGATAAATACTTTGACAATACAATAGTAGAGTCAAATATCGTCTTCCTTATCAATGAAGAAATCCACCAATAAGATGGGATAAATAATTTGACAATACAATAGTGGTGTCAAATATCGTCTTCCTTATCAATGAAGAAATCCACCAATAAGATGGGATAAATACTTTGACAATACAATAGTGGAGTCAAATATCGTCTTCCTTATCAACGAAGAAACCCACCAATAAGATGGGATAAATATTTTGGTAATACAATAGTGGAATCAAATGTCGTCTTTCTTATCAATGAAGAAATCCACCAATAAGATGGGATAAATACTTTGACAATACAATAGTGGAGTCAAATATCGTCTTCCTGATCAATGAAGAAATCCACCAATAAGATGGCATAAATACTATGACAATACAATAGTGGAGTCAAATATCGTCTTCCTGATCAATGAAGAAATCCACCAATAAGATAGGATGAATACTTTGACAATACAATAGTGGAATCAAATATCGTCTTCCTTATCAATGAAGAAATCTACCAATAAGATGCGACAAAAAAGCGGAGTAAAATAAAAAGACGACATTTAAGTAATAATTAATTGTACTTCATGTGATAACAAATCAAATAGTTCTTCTTGTGAATTTTAAATTAACTTATTAAGGGAAATTGCTCTGTTTACACCGCACAATTGCTGTGTCTCATCATGTATATTTCACTATTTAAAGTCATAATTTGAGCTTAATAGTCGCCTTCCCATTCCTGAATTGTTTGGCTCTTACTGTGGTGCGAGCCAGCTATGTTATACAGTGTAATAAACAATGTACATTGTACACATATGGTGTACACAGCACACTGTAAATCAGAGCGATATATATCTCAAAACCACAAATATAGTACTTTTCATTATTCTATTACAATTTTAAAAAAAATATTTACAAGATTTTATTACTTGTTTTCAACGCATTAACTAATTGAATTGAATTCAACCAAATTAAAAATAAATCTGGCAAATAAATCATAAATCAGGGCCCACTTGGGTTCATCTAAAATTAATTTTTGCCATTATTAGTCCTTCTTTCCATAAAATCTGCCACCAATAGTTCTTTATTCCATAAAATCTGCCAACAATAGTTCTAAATTCCATAAAGTCTGCCACTAATAGTCCTGTATTTCATAAATCTGCCACAAATAGTCATGAATTCCATAAATTCTGCCATTAATAGTCCTTAATTTCATAAATTCTGCCACAAATATTCCTTCATTCCATAAAACCTGCCGAAAAAACTCCATATGAACCCACCTGCGGCGTGTTATTATTATTATTATTTATATTATTAACAATCAACCTACAGACAAAATAGAACGACCTGTAGGCTGAAATACAATGAAGATAGGGTTAAGCACCGCCACTTACCCTGGTCTATATGGGATCTGTAAGATGCATCAGTTTTTGTACCTGAATTAAACTTAAACACTTTCTGAGGAGAATCTTGTATGTTTTCATATTTGAGAGAAGATGCTTTAGCAAAACCTTAAAAAATAAAAAATTAAAAATGATTGAAAAGAACCTTCTATTGGAATCTTAATGCTGAGTGACACTCTAGAAGGAGTTGTTAAGGTGAAAGTGCACTATTGTACAGGCTGTCCCAATACACAGGGAGAGTCTAAAGAAGTCTGATTTGCGGCGCCTGCTGCAAAATTGTACCTTTTTTGTGCAACTCTCTTGTATGGTGTTTTTTTCAATATTTTTTGAAAATTTGTAATTTTTTTGGTACTTCAATGGGCCAAAAAAAATCCACAAACCTTTTTTTCTCTCCAAATCAAAAGTTCAGAAAAACAATGTATAAATAAATAAATAAATAAATAAATTATACAAATTTGAAGTTTTCTTTGAATGGTTTTTTTACCTTAAAGTGTTCCATCTCATTGTTAGACTTAACTTTAGCCCCTAACCTGAACATTACATGTTATCATTTTAGCCCCTAACCTATAAAATTCAGATTTAGCCCCTAACCTATAAAATTCAGATTTAGCCCCTAATCTTAAAAATTCCGATTTAGCCCTCAACATTAAAAAATCTAACTTAAGCCCCTAACCCAAAATGTTTATAGTTAATAATCAGAAAATTAAAAAAATTAACTATAACACTTAAGCCCTTGAAAATGTAATTTAGCCCCTAACTAAAAAATACAAAACTTAGCCCCCAACATTGAACATATTTTTATATTTCAAAGGTACAATATACAATATACATGGCAGTTGTTTGGTAGACATGACTTATATTTGACATGGTAGCTATGGCAGATATATACCTTAAATTTGAAATAGTAACTATGGCAGATGTTTGACATTACAGCTATGGCGGATATATACCTTAAACTGGGCATGGGAGCTATGGCGAATATATACCTTATACTTAATATGGCAGCTATGGCGGATATATACCTTATACTGGACATGGCAGTTATGGCGGATATATTATATACTTGACATGGCAGCTTTGGCAGTTATATACCTTATACTTGACATGGCAGCTTTGCCTGATATATACCTTATACTTGACATGGCAGCTTTGCCAGATATATACCTTATACTTGACATGGCAGCTTTGCCTGATATATACCTTATTTATGACATGGCAGCTTTGCCAGATATATACCTTATACTTGACATGGCAGCTATGGCGGATGGAAGAATTGCAGCAGCGGCAGCTGCGGCTCTAGTTTTCTCACTAGCAAATATAAAAAGAATATTATCCGACAGTTGTTTAGCCATCATGTTGATCTGTCAGTTAATCAGTCAATAACTAAATCAGTCATTAAATCAGCCAATTAGTGAATTAACTAAACCATCTATTAATTAATCATTAAAAAAATGGATAAGTCCATCAGCAATGTAATCAGTAAGCCTTGTATTGTCCTCAAATAACAACCTTAATCTAATCCTGCATTTTTGCACTCCTCTCCATCTTACATAAAATGGTTTGTACAAGCTTTTGATCACTGTTTTCAAAGACATCAAGGGTAACTCTATCTGTTCTCGTAAGTATATTACATAACTTTACAGATTTAATTTACCAAAAGCATTCATTTGAGGCATTAACAAAGTTTTTCTTTTAACACGATTACATTGTAAACTTGAAGAATCTTTTCTAATTCAGTTCATAGTTACAGTGTACCTAGTGTTAAGTGTACTGTCTACTGTTTGCTGTCTACTGTCCTCTGTTTGATGTCTACTTTCCTCTGTTTGCTGTCTAATGTATACTGTTTGCTGTCTACTGTTTGCTGTCTAATGTTTACTGTCTACTGTCTACCGTCTACCGTCTACCGTCTACCGTCTACCGTCTACCGTCTACTGTCTACTGTCTACTGTCTACTGTCTACTGTCTACTGTCTACTGTCTACTGTCTAGTACTGTACTGTACTGAACTGTACTGTACTGTACTGTAATGTAGTGTACTGTACTTTACTGTACTGCTACCTGAGGAAGAATACTGCTCCTGCTACGGCTGCAAGACTACCAGAGAAAAGAAGAATATCTCCAAGGTACGATTCTCCTCCTTCACTCTGCGCCTTGAAAACAAATCATATCAGGGTGTTATGGATGACCTATTATCCACTCCCCCTAACTTATGTATGAAACTGTAAAGAGTTCTTCACTCTTCTCCTTGAATATAAAACTGTAAAGGGATTTTCACCTTCACTATTTAAAAATGCAAATAATGTGCAAACTTTCGAAATAACAGAACTGAACATATTTTACAGCTCAAAGATGTCCGTTTGTCAAATTTAAGTAAAAAGTCTGATTTGCGTTCATATGGAGCAAATTCTAATACAAATCTTGGTGCATTGAAATTAGTCATGAAGCGTAAAAACGATTTTTTTGTTTGAAAACAAACTAAAAACTGTTGACAGGGTACCGTTGTGAATCGGATATGTCCCTATATAAATGAAGGGTTAATGGAAGTTACGGCTACAGTCCCTTTAAGCTTTAATTCAATAGTAGATGTCAGACCTGCTAAAATTGTTACATGATCAAAGACTAATAACAATTTTTTTGTTTGAACAAAAGCTTGAAAATGAAGGGTTAATGGAAGTTACGGCTACAGTCCCTGCTAAAATTGTTAAATTATCAAGGGTAAAATACTTATAATCCCGCGTTCTATAAATTCAAAAAAGAAACTAAACTACATTAGTTTTATGTTTCTTTTAAAGAGTATTGGATATTCATAAAATATAAAACCACTGCAACCAATATTGAATGCAAAATTTGTATGTTCTAGAACTATTCATTTTTGAATATTGGAATTTTTATACTGCTTCGTTTGTTATGGCAACATTTCTGTATCATATATAATTTACAGTCTTGATTTAGATATTAGAATAACCTATCGGTCTGTTACAATCAGCTCAAGAGATGTTAGAATAATCTATCATTTTGTTAAATACCTTGTACTTTTCCAGGACATCCTCTGATAGAATAAAGTTTTGTATAAAGTCCTCATCCTTTAAACCACAATATTCATATTTATTTTATTGATAAACAATCTTGACCAATGTTAAAAAATTTACAATATCATTGAAAAGGATTTTTAAAAAAAGAGTAAAAATTAAGTCAACAAGAATTGTGGGAAATCTTAGTATCCCCACGCTCAGGTGGTAGAAAAGAGATGATTTAATTACGAAGAAATAAAATAGAAGATAAATAAAAAAGACGTCAAAAGAAAACACACCTTTTTTTAAATAAAAAGATAGATCTCTACACACAACTTTTGACATTTTTTATACTATCTGAAACAACTTAAAAAGCTCCCCCCCCCCTAACTTGAAAGAAAGAAAAAACTCCATTACAAAAAGAGGAAAATTGATTAAATTTTTTTTTAAATGTTTGAATATTATTGTTCCTCGCAGACCAGGAGCTCAGATTTAAGAATTTCTTGTGCAACCTCAACCTCCAGCAACCTAAAAAACAAGGTACAGAGATGCCAACAAAAGATGAGACTTTAGGGATGACCAGAAACTAGGGATTCCAACGAACGAAAATTTTCACGAAAAATGCAAAATTTCGCGTAAATTTCTTTTGTATTTAGCAACAGCATACTTTCTCCTAGAATACCCTAGCTACACCGTACTGTCTTCTAGACTGTCCTATCCGCAGAACCTTTTTCTCCTAAACTGTCCAAGCTACAGCGTACTGTCTCCTAGACTTTCCTACTCACAAAGCAATTTCTCCTAGACTGTTCTAGCCACAAGAAACTTTCTCCTAGACTGTTCTAGCAACAGAATCCTTTATTCTAGACTGTCGTAGCAACAGTACATTTTTTCCTAGACTGCTCTAGCAACAAAACCCTTTCTTCTTGACTGTTCTAGTCACCGCGCATCGTCTCCTAGACTGTCCAAATCACATTAAATTGTCTCGTAGACTGTCCAAATCACATTAAATTGTCTCCTAGAATGTCCAAATCACCGCGCATCGTCTTCTAGACTGTCCAAATCACATTAAATTGTCTCCTAGACTGTCCGAATCACATTATTGTATCGTAGACTGCCCAAATCACATTAAATTGTCTCGTAGACTGTCCAAATCACATTAAATTGTCTCCTAGAATGTCCTATCAGATTAAATTGTCTCGACTGTCCAAATCACATTAAATTGTCTCGTAGACTGCCCAAATCACATTAAATTGTCTCGTAGACTGCCCAAATCCAATTAAATTGTCTCCTAGAATGTCCTATCACATTAAATTGTCTCGTAGACTGTCCAAATCACATTAAATTATCTCGTAGACTATCCTAATCACCGCGCATCGTCTTCTAGACTGTCCTAATCCCCGCGCATCGTCTCCTAGACTGTCCAAATATTAAATTGTCTCCTAGACTCCCCAAATCACATTAAATTGTCTCCTAGACTGTCCTATCCGCAGCAAAAACTTACTAAAAGTGAGTGTTCGGGAAAAAGAGATTATACTTACTTGTCACACGTCGCCGGCCATACTGATGAGTTTGTGATCCTTGAACTATCAGGGATGAGGGAGTATGAGGCTGAGGGGGGCCTAGTTTCAATTACAATAACAACAAATCGTGAATGAAATTAATACGAATTCTGCAACGAAACAGTGTTAGGAAAAATAACTATTGATGAAATTAAAATGTGAAATTTTATCTTTGAGAAAATCATGTAATTTTTACCACATTTTACTTTTATTCCAGTTTTCGCACTGTATTATGTCCATTATTTCAACCTTTAGCTCCCCCCCAATAGCTTCGCATCTGAACTTATTTCAACAATGGGCCAAAACATTGGAAAATTTACAACATTTTGTAAAACCAGGCCTAATTGGTGAGACGTCAGCATGCGCTCAAATAGTTTGATGTAAATGTTTCCTTTGGATGGAAGACGATTTAAAAGAACTTTCAATTTGTGAGATTTGGTCAGATATACTCTCATTCTGCTTGCTGCTGGGAGATCTAAACAATAAAAAATAACTAAAAGTACGCTTAAAAGCTTTATTTTTTTTATTTTTTAGCCTAAAAAGTTTTAAATTCTGACAATTTTTTTTCATTCAAAGCACTTTTTTAGAGAAACCACGATTAAAATTTGTTTAAGTTAAAAGGATGGATTTCTTAATCTTATATATTCTTGATCGTACATCCCTCTCATGTGCATCGGTACATTCCTTTTATGACAGTAGTATTTATTAGGTTACAAAGTGTCACAAAAATACCTTGATCTTGAGAGTAAAGTTTACATAACAATAGTAATAAAAATATTAATAATGAAAAAAATACAAAATACAAAATAAAAACTAGAATTACTGGGATGGAAAAGTGAGTCCTTATTTCCTTCTAAATAATACCACTCTACATTTTCAAGTTATGAGGACTGTAATGAAGGTCTAATTTCTAGTGAGTAATGACGAGCATCGCATTCACAAGAGTATTCTCATAAGTTATCCTTGTTATGCAGCAGGTAGGATATGGAAGTTGAGAGAGTTTATATCAAATTTCAAGACAGAAAACGACGGTATCTTTCTCTCTGAGAATCAGGCATAAAATAGTTTAGATAAAGGGTCTTATATGTAAAACCAACCATTTCTATAGCTACTATTTTACAGTGATAACCAGAAAACGCTGGAATAAGAAGTCGACTTTTAAACTCAAGTTATGACTTTTAATAGCGCTTTGAACATGAGACACAGCAATTGTGCAACGTAAACAGACTCATTTTACGTAATACGTAATTTAATAACATTCAACTAAAGCTATTTGCTTTAAAGAACATCAAATGCACTTCAGAAATGCTATAATGTCGTCATCCTGTTCTACAGTTTTCTGGTTATGACTGTAGGTGAATCCGTAACCAACTCAGAGGACTAATAACCTAAAGATCTGAAATCAGAAACCAATTTTATCAACCCATTTTAGAGATGTATATATACCTAACCTAAAACAAAAATGTTTTCAGGGACGTCCTACTTCAATACTTAAAACTAAAAATGTTTTCAGGGACGTCCTACTTCAATACTTTAAACTAAAATTTTTTCATGGACATCCTCCTTCAATACTTTAAACTAAAAATGTTTTCAGGGACTTCCTACTTCAATACTTTAAACTAAAAATTGTATTTAGGGACGTCCTACTTCAATACTTTAAACTTAAAAAATTTTCAGGGACGTCCTACTTCAATACTTTAAACTAAAAATGTTTTCAGGGACGTCCTACTTCAATACTTTAAACTAAAAATTGTATTTAGGGACGTCCTACTTCAATACTTTAAACTTAAAAAAATTTCAGGGACGTCCTTCTTCAATACTTTAAACTAAAAATGTTTTCAGGGACGTTCTACTTCAATACTTTCAACTAAAATTTGTATTTAGAGACGTCCTACTTCAATACTTTAAACTAAAATTTTTTCATGGACATCCTCCTTTAATACTTTAAACTAAAAATGTTTTCAGGGACTTCCTAATTCAATACTTCAGCTAAAAATTGTTTTCAGAGACGTCCTATTTCAATACTTTAAACTAAAAATGTGTTCAGGGACGTCCTACTTCAATACTTTAAACTAAAAATGTTTTCAGGGACGTCCTACTTCAATACTTTAAACTAAAAATGTTTTCAGGGACGTCCTACTTCAATACTTTAAACTAAAAATGTTTTCAGGGACGTTCTATTTCAATACTTTAAACTAAAAATGTTTTCAGGGACGTCCTATTTCAATACTTTAAACTAAAAATGACTATATCAAATCAAAATGTGTTCAGGGACATTTTGTTACTCTAAACATTTATCAAATTAAAATGAAGCCTGGTCTTATTCATTGTAATGACTCAACTGAATTAACTTTGAAACGTAATATGTATCACAATTGACAACATAAATAATGGTAAGTTGTTAATACAACATTTATTATGATTATTTTTCATTCCGGCTCTCTGCCCTCTGGGAGATCGTTGAGCCAAAAATTTGTGCCTAGCTAGTTGTCTTTCAAATTCCAGAAATAAGGATTATTTTGTATTTTACAATACTTACTTTAATTCAAGATCTTGATATCCATTGTTAATCAGATGATTATGAAGATCCGAACCTTCTAAAAATATATTTATTCAACCTTGTACATTGGTCGGCGTCTATATCAATACCTTGAAAATTATTTTTTTATTCAAGGTTTGTTTTTAAACAAGCTCTTTTCAAATTACAAGTTTACAAGAAAACAACGAGAAGCTGAAAATTGACATCTACTCTTTGTTTCCATGTTAATGTAAATCCATGTCGTTTAAAAACTTCGTAGAAATCAAATTTTAAGCTTAAGGTCGTCTTCATTTAATTCATGTATAGAATGAGGACTATTGCATTATCCAAACGGCAAAATATCGGAAACGTAATGTTTTTGCTTTCAAAATATACATGTTCAGTGGCAATCAATAAAATATCATGAAAAAATTGGCATTCATTGCTTGTTAAATTTATCTAGTTTCTACAAAAATATTTGCGAAAAAAGAAGGAAGTTAAGGAAATTTGTTGATGGATCAGTCATCCGAAATCTTCATTAAATAGAAATGATTTTTGAGAACTGGTTCAACTAAATAATAAATAATGTGTATCACCCCCCCTCAAAATCATTTTTAATAATCATATATATCATAATAAAAATCATAATATCAAGTTTGCCATAAAAAAACTATATTTAGAGGCACAACTTTAGTATGAAGTGGATTAAGGGGAAATGAAATTTAAACAATTTGGAATATTTCTGAAATATTCCAGACTTTGTCGCCATTAGTCTCCATTGTTGACCTGTAAATTAACGTTTAAACAAAAACTTGTTGCGCGTCTTTAAGATATATCTTTTACCACGTAAAGAACGGACAAAAAATTAGTTTTTAAGGTTAAATGTTATGAATCTTCTAAAAAAAAAAGTTTCTATATTTTACAATGTGTACATCATTAGATGATGATTGTTGCATTGCTTAGAATCCATTCAATTTTAATGCGGATTTTTGATATACATATTTTCGACAGTTCAGATTTAGGTTTTGAGAACAGAAACGTTTTATTTTGAAGTTTTTGGTTGATATTTTGCCTTTAACACTGGATGTTAACCAATGAACTAATTGGAAAAACTTGTTGGACACAAATAAAAATGTTTAGTAGTATAGAAAATAAATAATGCAGTTTTTTCCATTTATGAAAGTTGTAAGCAGTATTGTAGTTTTTCAATCTCTGCTACAAAATAATTATTCAAAGAAAATGAAAATGTTGATCGTATTTTTGCTTTTTTTACGTAAAATCCTGAAGAATTTGATCGAACAAACATTTAATGTAATGATTTCTCTTACCAATAATAACATCTTCATCTTCTTCCATTTTTATTTATTTTCATCTGAAATATATTAAAGATAAATTTTGTAATTGTCAAAATAACTTAATCTTAAAGGCAATGTAAGCGTGATTTTAAGTGACCCTTTATGCAAAAATAGCACTGCCCGATTAACAACGGTAGCGTTGACATCTTTATCTGATCAAAACTGTGAAACATATGTTCGTTTTCCGGGTTATAGTGTTAAATTCTGATAATTGATGGGTTTGTTTTCCTGCAGTAGAAATACGCAGGTCACTTATGCAGGGAAACCACAATAGAAAATAATCAGTTTTTAAAATGATTAAAGTTGAAATTTAATAAATTTTAATCAGACAAAGTTTAAAATGGCAGTGTTGTGAATAAGGGCATTACTAACGATGCGTGAGGGTCACTTGTAAATAGGCTGAGAGTTCGTTTAAATCAAAGACGATATAAAAAGTCGTCTACAAATTCCTATTTTCTAAGAACACCCTGCAGACAGGGTGTCCCATGAAACATGACAGTAGAAAGACGAATTGAACGTAGAATTTCATTTATTATCTATATACTGCACTTATTTGTCAACCTAATTTAGAAGTAAAATCCTAGAGATAGTTATGCCAAAATACCCTTAGTCCTGCCATTTCCAATATTACGCGAGATATGAAGACGTTCGTTCAGATTTCGTTAATTTTGATGTTATTTAATAAAATTGAAATCTGAAATGCTACAAATACAGATGTACAAAACGCCAGAGCTGAGCTTTAAAATCAGATGTTTTCAAGCAATCTGCCAATAAATGTAAATAATTAAAAGAAAACAGTGAAATAAATGTCATCTTTGTTCTTTCTTTTAACTAAAATTCAAAGCTTAGTTTTTTTAATTCTTTAAAAATTTGCCTTGAACATTTTCAAGGCTGCATCAGGTACATAAAAAAAATCAGAAGTAATTTTTATCACTTGAAGAAAGAATGAACACGCCAATTCTAGTTACCACCGTATGTACCGGATAGTACACAGTGTACAGCACGCATGTAATCAAATCAGCTGATCTGTACTAATATTTGAACTGTATACTTTAAGGACTAATGTCCTCATTGAGCTGAATGTATTTTTATATAGTGATTTATTGGATAGTAGAATACTTTATAGCTGAGTTTTAAGTATAGTAAAGTATTGTACTGTGTTTAATGTACATAAACTACTGTACAGCGTGCAATATAATGTGTACTATATTGTAAATGAACAGCTGTGTAAACTTTACTAAACTATCTTTAAAGATTTACTTTGGAGGCCGAAGTGTGTGCAGTGTCAGCCTCCAAATATCATGGAACCATGAATAACCTCAACACCTAACCATTTAACCACCCATGCAATACATCACCCCCACATTTTAACTATAATACAGTAATAACCAGAAAACTTTGGAATAAGAAATCGACTTTTAAAGTTGTGACTTTCAATAGTCCAAGGAACAACAATGTGCAGATCCATTTCATTTAATACGTGATTTAGTAACTAAGTAAAGTTCTAATCAGAAAGACCCGGAATTAATTTACAATTTTACGATTTTACAACTTTACAATTATACCAATCTTACCAATATGCTTGAAAAAACGATAATCACAAAATAGCCCTGGACCTGCACTTACCAAAATGTGGTCTGCCTTTTTTAATCATTTAAAATTGCCAGATATATATATATATATATATATATATATATATGTAAATTAGAATGATTAACTGTTAATTAATTCCAGGTCTTTCTGAATATGACTGTAGTAAAGTTATACGTTTGTAACAACATCAAATGCACTTAAATATTGCCTTACTGTTGTCTTCCTATTCTACAGTTTTCTGGCTATCACTATATTTTAGAAAATAAAAACTAAAAATTCAATTTTTGCATTTTCTACAGAGTTACAAACAAAGAATGAGACTTCAGTGATGACTGCACGGAATTTATGCTGTTTTGTTTCCTGATATTCATTATTCCTTGCTATTTCCTGATATTCATTATTCCCTGCTGTTTTCTGATATTCTTTATTCCCTACTGTTTCCTGATATTCATTATTCCCTGCTGTTTCCTGATATTCATTATTCCCTGCTGTTTCCTGATATTCATTATTCACTGACGTTTCCTGATATTCATTATTCCCTGCTGTTTCCTGATATTCATTATTCCCTGCTGTTTCCTGATATTCATTATTCCCTGCTACTAAAAACTTCTTTTTTCTTTCCCCAATCATTGAAGAAGCTATTTGAAGACCACATTCAAGGCAGAAGACTACATTTAAACTTGGAATTGTCATATTTGAAGAGTTTCAGGTCGTCTTCACAGTCTCATCATTAGTATGTAACCATGTATTAAGTGCCTCTTTATGAGTTGTATGTCCCAACTGCAAACCTTTAAATACTTTTAATAATAATAAAGATTAATTTTGTCAATTAGCTTCCTTGCCTCTGCTGGTTAAATCCAATAATCGCATTTAAGGAGACTTCAAATGATAGTAATCAATTTTAAGATTAAAAACAAGGAAATGTCCATCATTTATCCTAGACGAATATTAAAGCCAGGATATACCGTTGTTAAAACAAAAACAACCATTTGAATTGCATTGACCAGGGTTACCCAAAAAAGGTTGAGCCTTTAGTATGACGACCATATATGCCAAATCAAATCAAATCAAATCAAATCAAATCATTCTTTTAGGGACGTCCTACACCCACACTCCAAAATTGAAGTGACTACCAGATAATGTAATTTTATCCTAGGCCTTGACTAACTTTTCTCAATGGTAAACTAAATGATTTGACAAAAATGAGAATTAATATGCGGGCAAAATAAATAAATAAATTTAAAACATTCGTCTCCAAAGTTATTTTAAGATACCAATAAATCCCCTCACGTCGCACAAGCAACTGAAAAGTACTGAATACATTTTAAATATTGATAATTTATTATTCTTGATATTTATACTTCTACTCCCTTTTTATCTAGTTTTATAGTTATAATATTATATCTAATTGTTTTGTCTAAGATGTCGTGATAACAAAACACAATGTCATGCCTTCCTGAGGACTAAAACCTCATAAATGCCTCCCGCCCTTAACTTACTACATGACTACAATAAAACCAATACATCTGTGAAAAAGGAAGACGACTGTTGACTCAAGTTTTGATTTAAATAGTCCCAATAAAAATGAAATGATGAAACACAACAATTGTGCACTGTGCGGTTTATTTGATCTTTAACAACAAAAAATACACACATGATTGCCTTAATGTCGTCTTCCTACTCATGTTGGTAGATTTCCTACAGATTTATTTAATAAATATATAATAGTTCTCCTAGAAGTGTTTATTATAATCATAAGATTATGTTCAACCTCGACAAAGATCAAATACAGTTTGAACTATGATATGACAGCCTTTAACATTTTAAACACGAGTAAACCCCGGCTTTAGTAAAGATTCGAGTTTTAGGTAGACTTGGTATTAGGAAAAACAGACTTAGACATAGTTCTTATGTGAAGCCAGAAATTGTATATTGCGCAAAATCTATTAAATTTGTACATTTAAAATTTCTGGAATTATTTGTTTAGTCAAAATTATTAATAGTTATAATTATTAATTATCCTCTCATGAATAAACCTGGAATAATACATATTTACTGATGACTTCAAAGTCGTCTTTGACCTTAAAAATAGTTTGTGGCAATGGAAAATGATTTTAGCAATATTATTTATGAATCAATAATCACAGAATTACCCTAGTCCTGCCATTTCCAAAATGTTGTCTGCCATTTTTTTTCATAAATACCGTAAAATATAACTATTTCGCTCAGAATGAGACATTTCCATTTAATTAATTAATCAACTAATATTATTCCGGGTTATTTAGAAGAGGTATATATTTACAATTAGTCTTTAAATCTGGGCGTTGTCTCCGCTAATTCGTCTGCGTATCCAGAGAGAGCACTTGTCGAATCAGAACCAATCAGAAGCCAACCTAATACTCTGGGTTAACACAAGTTTATGTTAGTTTATGTTCAGAATTCATGAAAATATTCTCTACCATTAGGATAAAAAAAATCATGACTAATCACCCCTTTCCTTCATAGCTCTCAGATCTTGAAAGACGAGAAATTAACAATTTAAAAAAAAAGAATGCATGGAAATGTTTTCTAACATAGAAATAAAAAAATAATGCAATCATGACTATTCACCCTTTTTCTCCGTAGCTCTCAGATCTTATTATTTTCTTCATTATAAAATCTGAAAGATAAAAAATGCAAGGTGTAATTTAATCTAAATATTATAGTAAAAATATAACAATAACTGGAAAGTAAATAAATTTCTCTAAATGTTTTGATTTTTAATCAAACTACTATTACAAATTTACAATGTCAACATTTCCTACAATATTCATACAAGTACAGGGTTAACCACAGAAGATAAGACGACTGTACAGAATTTAAACTGTTCATTTTCTTTATATTTAAGATTCCCTGCAACTGTAAACTTGTTTCCTTTTTTCCAAATCACTAATTAAGCCTTAAGTTTAAATGCAAGGAACAAGGCTTAATTTAACCTTAGTATCATGAATTTTAGGTCGTCTTTACAGTCTAATCCTTTGTGCATAACCCTGTATTAAAGATAAACTGTTTTCTTAAATTACTAAAAATGTTCAAAATAATGCTTAAGAGATCATTATTGAATACATACGATCAGAACGATTCAGATTAATTCAGGGGCATATAAGAATCTCCCCCCCCCCTTAAAAAGCATAATTTTTAGAAGTCTTTGGGGGAAATTTGAAATACAAGTCTTATTTTCATAGTTTCTAAAAATTGAATCACAAATTTAGCACACAAAAAATGAAATTTTGGGAGGGGACAGGAGAAAGAATTCAAGAAAATAAATACCCCTGAGAATTATCTATAAGTTTACAAAATGTTTCTTTGGAAGCACAATATACTAACTATAGCAACTATATAACCACAATCGACAATTTTACTTACGTATATTGTATATTCATAGCTTACGAACGCGTTTTTAAGACAGTCTTTAGTACTGTTAGAAAAGATCAGAATCAATCATATCAAATTCCTTAATCTTTAATAGTTATGCAAAAAGTTCTATTTAGACTTAGATGAGAAAATAGAGTTAGTGAAAATTGATAAAAAAGTTTCAAAATCAGATCTTGATTAGAGAATTAGAAATGCACAAACACAGGCGGAATTTGATGGTGGTGGTATGGACATTGGTATGAAAATGATAATCTAACGCGAACAGAATAATTGAGTCAAAATAATTTCAGATCAAATCTTAATATGAGAAATTAATTGCAGCAGATCTAAAAATGACAATTTTGTGTTACAATATGAAATAATACAATAAACTAGCCGCAAATTATGCAATACAATATTTGCGACAAATTCTGCGAAAATTGGCGACAAATCAAGTTGGTAAATCATACAATATTGGCATCAGATCAAACAATATAATTGGCAAATCATGCAATATTTGCGGCAAAATGAGCATTTAGAGGTATTTGGCAAATATCAATTTTTGGAGATTAAGATTTCATATTTTTCATTTACAGTACTTCGAAAGCACATTGTCTCGCATGTTTCATCAATAAGAGAAAATACCGTGAATTATTTTTTAAAGAAAAACCTTAAATCTATTAATAAAAAACTTTCAAGAAGATTTTGTAAAAAAGTTTCAGTTGGATTAAAAAAATGTTTTTTTTAAATTATCTGAAAAATGCTTTCAAAATTGCGGTGCTTTAAATCTTGATCTTGGATCCGCCCTGAACAAAAATGGAACCGGATCCAAAAGGTCATTTTTCTTGTGTCATGAGAGCAATTAGTTATTTTACATTTTGTTAATATTTTGCCTCTTGAACCGAAACCGTGGCTCCGCATGTTTTTGCTGTTCCAGATCCAGAGATGTTGCTTATCTGACGGATCCGGATCCTAAGCACTAACAAAATTGAGAAAACAGCGATAAGTATTTTCTCATCAATTTTACCTTCTTTTTGCTGTAATTACAATAATTAATTACAACATTAATTAAATGCAAATAGTCATTAAAAATAATAATACTGAAAGTAGTAACCAATAAAATTTCAAAAAACAGTCAATGAAAATAATCAAAAATTCTTAAACATTATCATGAGAAATTAAACATTATCATTAAAAATGAAAATTCAACAGAAGATTTTTTGAAAAAAGCATTACTTTTGATGTTTTTGGTAAACAATCATACTCAAAAATAATAATTACTACTAAAGAAAATAATCCATAATAATCCTTGAGATTTGAAATCCGTGAATTATCATCTTGTAAGAGGGAGAAGAAGAAGAAAAAAAGTTAGAAGATGAAGAGAAGGGAAGGTGGAAGACGATCCAGATAATCCATACCAAACCTAAACAGACATTTATTCCAAAAAGAGACTCTTCATTTAAAAAAAAAAATGTTCCAAAAGAGCAAAGTATTCGATTTCTACAAAAAGAAACGTTTCGGAAGCGCTCCTGCTCCTGGTACTCCTGGAGAGCAAACTGCCGCAATTGAATTTTTGCCGTAAATTGCAGGTCGGGGAGGGAAGGGGGTGATACCCCTTAGTTGGAACAATCACATTCCATTACAAAATAATAAATTGATTTTTAATTTTTATATTTTATTTTATAGATTTTATTTTATACCTTTATGGATTCTCGGACTGCTTTAACATCCTCTGTATCACTAAAATATATATATTTATACAATATTAACTAGCTTCGGAACCCAGCGTTGTGCTTTGTCGAAAATTACGATCTATGATCTTCCCCTGTAAAAGTGGGCCACTCAACTTATAATCTTAAATTCAAGCTAAGACCATTGCAGTGATACTCCAGAGTTCGACAATCAAAATGTGAGTCAAATCGGTTCAGGGGTTCCTGAGTTATGATCGGACGAACAAACAGAGATCACAACTTTGATATATAAACAAATCGGATTTGTTCTAACACACTCAGTTTTTTTACTACATCTAATTTTCTAAGCAAAGTTGTTAAAGGGAATGACCGCGTAGACATGGTAGTTAAGCTGAGAATGCAGTGTTGTTGAGAAATTATTTAAGTGGTGTCGTGGGAGACGTGCGCGCGACGCGCGTCACAACCTGCAGGGCAGGCACTAGGCTGTCACCAAAATTAGTTTTAAAGATCGAATTTTCGCTTTTTCTGAAAAATTGTATAGCGTAAAAATTTGTCTAATATGTCTCAAATGAATTCTAAAACACACACTGTCAGCTTAACTACCATGTCTACAGGGTCACTCCCTTTAAGCAGAAAAAATATCATTTAAATAATTAGATAAATAAATTTTTTTTATTTCACTTTCATTATTTAAACTGTCCCAGCAAAAATGGTTTTGGTAAATTTCGAGGATTTTGTGAAACAACTTTTCAAAATTTCTAATTAGTCAAAAAAAAGATTTTTAATGCTTATTTCAGCTTTTAATTCTAAATCCATAAAGCATGAATAATAAATAATAAATAAACGGTTTCTTTAAACAATAAAATCCAACCTGTTAGTGTTGACCTGCGGGGTTGGAAGCTTTTGCCAGAGTTCGTGAAATCGATCATCCTTCTTATCATTATCCTCGCTCTCCTGAAAGGGACTAGTGTTGAAATTTCAAGCACCTTCCATTAAAATTTGGACGTACCCGATTCACACCGATACCCATTTATTGGTAATCTTAGTAAAAATGAGAAGGTTGTCATCCTTTGTATCTTTTCTAAAAATATCCTTAATCGGTTTACATCATAATTCGCAAGTCCCTTTAATTGAGATACGACAAAATAGTAATACTTTATTTCTCAAAAGATAAAGGGATTGAGGGTACCGTTGAGATCAGACCTGGCCCTCAGCTCAATTAATGGGAGTCACTTGAAATTGCGTCTACAGTCTCTTTAAGACTAAAGATGAATTTTAATTTCTTTAGATAAATATTTTTTCTAAAAAGGATAATTTTAGAAAATAAAAAAAAACCCTTATTACCCTACTTTAAGCGTATATTCAGCTTTAATTTTTGCTTGGAATGAGTAATTTCGGAAACTATTAAATTTTGGTTAATTTTGTAGAGAATAAATCTTTTTTACCCTACTTTATGCGTGTATTCTAGCTTTAATTTCTGCCTGATCAATAGTGATTTTGGAAACTATTAAAGCAGCTGTAAGCGTAATTTCAAGTAACCCTCCATGCAGAGATGGCAATGCCCGATTCACAACAGTACTCTTAAAAGCTTTGTATGATCAAGTATGAATTAGATTTAAATATGATTTTTTCATTATTATTATTATTAATAAAGGAAAACCCATCATTCAATGAAATAGGCGGTTTCTCTGCGAAATTGACTTGCGCATTTCTTGCTTTAAAGAAGAAATAAAGAAACTAAGAAATAGAATCTTTTCCAAGTCAAAAAAACATTTTTTATCAAAATAAGGTAATAAGGACACTGTTGTAAATTGGGCATTGTCATCGTTGCATGGAGGGTCACTAGAAATTACGCTTACAGTCTCTTTAACAACAGTTTACCTTTTCTACTTTTAGTTTGTATTCAAGAAGCTGAAGAAAGGCTCGTGTTTTCTCCTCTTGAGATAAATCCTCGAAGGTTCCAACCACCACTCCGTTCCGAGGCTTAGGAACATCTAGAGATAAAGGATGTGAGTCGTTGCCAAAAACTCTGATTTTCTAATCCCTATATCTTTGCAACCCAATGACGTAGGCCTTAGATATGTCAAACTAAGAATTCTGTTGGATCAAATTATTAAAGTTTGAAATATCTTATCTGGGTGCAAAGATTTTTTGGATTAAACAAATTTGAGTTTATTTAAGAGATTGTTCATTCAATTTCATGTACCGTCTGAACCGTAACATGAGAATCATTATTGGCAACATTTTTTATTCATTATTATTCCCTTGACCGTCTTTGACTCCATGAGAATGAAATCAAATATGAGAATAACGGACTTTCTATCAACCATTTCCAAAACTGAAGGAGCTTCTATCAACCATTTCCAAAACTGAAGAAGCTTCTATCAACCATTTCCAAAACATAAGAAGCTGCACTAAACCAGTATTGAAAAACTGTCTAAATTCAAAACCCTGAAATACCATCTGAACTGTAACTAGAGAAATATTATTTTTGAAACATATGTACAGACAAAAAAGGGTATTTTAATTTTATCCTTACTTACCTTCTTTGATTCCATGAGATCTCCATTTACTTAGATCATCTTCTGCTTTTACTTCTTCTACAGTAAATCCTGAACAGTGAGTAAGTAAATTGTGAAATATTCATCTTAAATTGTAGCAAAATCAATAAAAAATATCTTCTTTTGCATCGATTTTCATTTGACCTTCATCCTATCTAATAAATCAATACTAAATCAAATCAAATCAAGAATCCAGAGATTGTCCAATAGCTCCCTGATCTAACCGGGGTATGCCGTCACATGTCTTTTAGTATTTTTATTTTACACTTTACAGAGAGTTAAAGCTGTAAAGTTTAAATATTGATGAAAGTAAGTATAACAAGTTAAGTAAATGTTATTAAAAGGAGTCACTTTCTTGGTGATAAGCCTGAAATTTACGTTTTTTCATTTTCAGGATATTCTTATCTAATTACATGTTATATATTCAATTTAGAAATTTATGTTACATAAGATAAGCGCCAAGGTTACCCACCCTGTACAAAATCATCCCTAGATAGAATAACTGGTATTAGGCACAGTCAATTACTACGATGGCGGTCTGGGGGTTCCACGAAGGGAATCTTAATCGATCATTGTTATCATCATTATTATTACACGTTGTTTTATGGATTTTGATTAGAATGTAGACTTGGCAATTAAAATCATGCTGTTAGGATTTGGTCTACANTTAGGAAATGAATTTTATGAAACTTTTGTGTACTTTATCATTCTTACTCTCTTCATGGTGAATTTCATAATGAACGTGCTATTAAGTATATATCCTCGTGCTATAAAGTTAAATTAGCTGTACATTATAGCACGTGTGCTATAAAGTTTTGATTGGTCCCAGGATTTTCTCGAAAAATTTAGGATATTTCCAAAATAATCAACTTAACTTTTTTTACTTCTGCTTTTTTTCAAAGCTTATTTGATCTAGAAATAGCCATTGAAATAAGATAAGTACACAAACGTTTCATAAAATAACATATAACACTATTATTTTGGCACGACGTGCTATAAAGTTTTTAAACTTAAATTTTCTCTTTATCTCGAAGGTTCTCGATAAAGAGAAAATTTGTGTCCAAAAACTTTATAACACTGCGAACCAAAATAACAGTGCTATAAATAGTTTTACTAATTCAAGAATGAGGTCAAAAGTATATTTTGATACAACTTAAACACACGAATATTTAGCTAGTTCTGTTGTCAACTGACCCTACTTTAATTTACCTGCATTTCTAACCACATCCAGCACTGAGTGGTTTCCGACAAAATGTCCGGCCCCGAACACAAAGAAAAACGAGTCTCCAGGGTTGTTCAGCAATAATTCTGAACAATTTACATTTATAATAAACTTCTGAAATTTAGAAAAATTTCTGAAAAGATCAGCTTTGTAAAAAGTCCTGTACTTTTTGAGACAGAGGCAATGTCATGCCATTTTCTTTTTATCAAATCTTAATTGTAATAACTTACCTACAACCCTAGATCCCATTCTACGGTTTCGCCTAGAACAATTAAAATAAAATAAATCGTTATAAAATCAAGTTTTAATAACTCATTTATACTTTTTAACATTCACTCCATAAAGACTAAAAACTTAAAGCTTTTTGCATTTCAAAAACGTAGTTTCTGGCACAATTTTGCAAAATGGAATTAGACTGAAGATAAAATATCTTCATTGGTAGAGGATTAATCAAAACGAGCGATAGTGGAACTTTTGCTTGGCTTAATCTCTTCAGAAAAAAACTAATAAATATCCAATGGATTAACTTAGTTCTTTAACATATCTCGAAAGGTGGAATTATTTAAAAGGTGTGAAACGACTCCTAAAATTTTTCTCTTTAATACTGCAGATTCAGTTCACCTACAGTGGTCTGCGTTTATTTAACTACAAAGAAAACGGATTTTTTTTAAAAAAAGAGTTTTTTATGTCCAATTCTTTAAAAGGTTTAAATACCCCTCCTTAAACAAGCCGTTCCCCCCCCCTCCCCCTCCCCTGACTCACGCAAAAGTTCGTTAATTAGATCGACCCCCACCCAAACTCTATATTCACACATCTACACAGTTTGTTTTTAATCTTTGTGAAGAAACAATCTCAAGGAATAATAATTGTCTTAAAACATTTTTTTAGAAAGTGAATATTTGCAAATTATCTTTTTTCCATCTCATAATCTGAGTTCTTTTCCCTTATGTCCATTTGACAGCCCAAATTTTTATTTTGAATAATCTTTTTGTTTGTTTATCTTCTTGTGATTTTTACATTTTTTATTTTTTTTTATCGATTTTGATGGTTATTATATCGTTAGAACTGACGAGGGTCAACCCAGACCGAAATATATTTTCAATAAATGTGGAACTAACATCTACTTTTTTACTCTACAGAGGTTTGGTCCATCACCATCACTGAATTTTAAACGGATTTTCTATTTTAGATGTTTAACAAGCTTTTATCAAATTACAAGTTTACAAGTAAACAAAGAGAAGCTGTTAATTGACAAATTCTCTTTGTTTCCATGTTTATGTATCCATGCTGTTTAAAAGCTTGGTAGAAGTCAAAAATGAAAATCAAAAGTCGTCTTTATTTTATTGATTTATACGACGACGACTGGCGAATATCTCCCTTGAAAGTCAAACATGAAAATCAAAAGTCGTCTTTATTTTATTGATTTATACGACGACGACTGGCGAATATCTCCCTTGAAAGTCAAACATGAAAATCAAAAGTCGTCTTTATTTTATTGATTTATACGACGACGACTGGCGAATATCTCCCTTGAATCAAAAGTCGTCTTTATTTTATTGATTTATACGACGACGACTGGCGAATATCTCCCTTGAAAGCAAGTAGAAAACTTACCTGTACAGTAAATGTTCTTTGAAATATTTGTTAATTTCTTCAGAAATATTTTCTTCTTCTCTTGATAGCTGAGTACTAGAGCTTAACACAGGAACCTTAACAAAATTTCAGGGGTAAATATATTTTGAAGGATTTAGAATCATCATTTGCGAACCATAATTTTTTAAAGAAACTTCTTACTAAAAATCAATTTCTTTACCAAAAAAAAATCAGGGGCACAAATAATATATTTTCTTTAAAAATATTACCCCCCCCCCTGCCCAATCAACTTTTATCCCCAGATTCAATTAGTACAGTTGAGCGGATAGCCGACAAAGTTTAGGGGTTAATTCACTCAATTTCAGACATTTTAGATTTTTCATCAAAAAGAAATATCAGATGCAGTGAGAACCAGAAAACTGTGGAATAAAGAAAAGACAATATAACAATACGAAAGTTTATTTAATGTTGTTTCAAAGAAGAAAAAAAACACCTGATAAATCAATTATTAAGCTAAATTGGTTTGTTTACAGTGCACAATTGCTGTGTATCATGCTCTTTGGACTATTGAGATTCATAACTTAAGTTATCTTCTTATTTCAGAGTTTTCTTGTTCAAACTTTAGTATTAATTTTACTATCTATTTAATTCTATAGTAAATAGGTAACAACCTAATAACAAGGACCACTCCCTTTAACTAATTTTCCTTGAAACCTGCGCAGAATTGAAGACTGAGTCCATATTGCCACATCTATAGCTGTTTATCAGATCATCTGTAGTATACTGGGGCATTGATCTACCACTTCTAGATAATGATGATAATGAGGATAATGATGATAATGATGATAATGATGATGAAGATACTGATGATAATGATAATACTGATGATACTGATGATAATGATGATAATTATGATGATGATAATGATGATGATGATGATAAAGATGATAATAATGATGATAAAGATGCTAATGATGATAATGATGCTAATGATAATAATGATAATAATGATGAAAATGACGATAATGACGATAGTTACGATAATGAGGATAATGACGATAATGACGATAAAGATTATAATGACGATAATGATGATAATGATGATAATGATGATAATGATGATAATGATGATAATGATGATAATGATAATAATGATGATAATGATGATAATGCTCATTATCATTATCAAGGATAATAATGATAATGACGATAACAACTACAAAAACAACAATACCAATACCAATACCAATATCAATAAACAAACAAGAAAAAAACTTGGTAAAGAAAATAATTACCTTATATCTTCATGATGTTGAAGGGTTTTATTCAAAGAGAAAATAACCTAAATAATAAAAATTCATTAAAAACCCTAAATAATAATAATAATAATAATAATAATAATAATAATAATAAAACAGATCTTTTTCAAACTTGCTCATTACTCAGCACAATTTGGAATGAAGTGAAATTAAATCATGCTAGTAGGTATGAAGTCCTACTTTCTACACGCTAAACCCGAAATAAATGAAGAACCGGCTTTTCCAAAACATTTCTGAACAAACAATTTCCAAAACCTTTTTACTTGACAAAATTATTGAATTGATGAAACTCTATCTATCTATCAAACTGTAATATCTATCTATTAAACTGTAATATCTATCTATCTATCTATCAAACTGTAATATATTTGATTGTGTGTTTACCTGTCCGTATGTTAGTCCGTTAAGTGGAACACATTGTTCTTCAACTCTTTCTACAGCTCCTTTCTAAACAATATTCGATATTTACAAATTCTCTTCATTTAAAGGGCGGCATGTTCGATTCCAAACTGTACCTTATTAACTTATATTGGTATTGTATACGGTATGGATAGTTAAACTATTTCTTTCTGGCACTCTTTACAGCGTCCCCTTCCCCCCCCCACCCCTTAAAGAAGGTCACCATCCTTACCAATTTCTTGAGTTGGTCAGCTAGCTGGGCAAGGTACAGGTCAAGGACGGGGAATCCACGTGATGCTATCTCACTTGGCGTTAAGCCGTTCACCATCAACATTGCCCAGATAGGACGTTTACGTTCCCAATTACCTGGAAATTATTTAAATATATATTTTAGTAAATAAAAGAATATTATGAATTTATCAAACCGAAAAACCCGAAAACATCCGTCAAGCACCCCTCCCTTTCCTTGTCTTTCTTTTTCCTACCTCAACCCCTACTCCCCCCCCCCGCACTTCCCTTTCTCTTTCAAGCCTTCCCCTTACCTTTTCCTTGTCTTCCTTTCTTCTCCTTTCCCTTTACTTCCTTTCCCTGCCCTTTCCGTTTCATTTTTCTTCCCCTTCCCTTCACTTTCTTCTCTTTTTTCCATTTTCTTCCCTTTCCTTTTCCTTTCCCCTGTCCCTTTCCCTGTCTCTTTCCCTTTCCTTCTCTTCCTTTTCCATCCCAATCTTCCGCTTCTCTCCCCTCCCCTACCTGTTATAGTATTGAATAGATAATCTGAGTACAGTCCCCGACCCTCTTGGTCCTCTGTAACCCAGTTCTTCATCTAGGACAAAATTTTATGAATATCGGGAAGAAGTTGAACTACTTTGCTAAATAAACAGGAATAGTTTAATTATTGATTGAAGACTGGGCACTCGTCTTTTACCTTAGAAATAGTTAACACTAAGTTTGGAAGCAAATAATGCCATGACTTGGGTCTAGGATATTTTGTGATTTTTTTTCTTAACAAAATATTGCTAAAATTAGATTGCCAAATAAGTGCCGCATAGCCTTCTTCAATCAATAAATAAATTAATAGCCCTGTACCGTTAACGGAACCACTTTTTGATGCAAAAAAAAGTTTTTGACAGTTGGTTCAACGCAAATAGTTTCTAGTACAATAGATGGCAATGTAAAATTTGTACACTCCCAGTACAGCTGTATTCTGACGTCAACTCAGTTTGTGTGTCCGACAAAATTATTGATAATAGTGATAATTTTAGAATAAAGTGCTTATTTACAGTAAAATAAGTGCAATTTTATGTGTTCTTTATTTTCTGTTTTTACACTTTTTTATTTAATATTGGAAAACATGTCAATTGTCAATTTGTTTTCCTTGTTATATTAGACACTTGTGACGTCGTGTATAATTGATCCAATTCTCTGTTGCCACCTATTGTACTTGGTAATCTATTTGGTTCAACGTAGTCTACGTAGTTCAACTACTTCTTGCTTTTTTTATTTATTATCAAATTTTGTCCCTGTCCGCGGACCCAGGATAGATGGGACTCCAGCCTACTGTACACTCCAGGAGGCAACACCTTTAACAGTCAATATAATTTGAAAAATTGTGAATCAAAAATTTTCAAAAGGAATCAATGAGAAGGGGGGGGGTAGCTGGGTTCTTAGACCCTGACAACCAGCAAAACAGAGCAAAGATTGCAATGATAGATAATTGCGAAAAGCAGCTCATTACAGCAATAGATACGAAGTTGTAAGGAGAGAATTTTTCTCTCCACTTTTTTGCAAATGATATATACTATTGTTAATTTGTTCTTTTTAGTATTGAATAAAGTTGTTAAGAAGAAGGAGATAATTGATAATTATTTTGAAGAATAAAAAATATATTTAAATATGCAAGCTCTGACCTTTAAAAAAATATCTTAAAAAAATTAAGAGTTAAACGATAAAATAAAAAACATATTTTATTCCTGCACCAAACTTCCTAACAGTAGTGAAGAATATCAAGAAAATTGTGTTTAGATGTTTTTTATAGAAAACATATACCTGGGAAAGATTAAGTCCCTTTGGAAGGAGTTGGCATGAAGTAAGAGCACTGATTGTGTAGGGATTGGTTAAATCCAGCTCAAAATATACCTTCCCGGATTTCTAAAAAATAAAAAAAATTAACAAAAATAGAAGAAAAAAATATTTACTTCAAACATACTTTACAAAATAGAATTCTTTTTCATCTTGATGCGGATACAGATCCGGATCCTATATACGCTCTTGAAAAAAAAATCGATCCCGATTTCGGATGCAGGAGTAAGGTATGTTTTGTTTTTTTGTATGGCTTTAATGGATGAACTGGGGAAAATAAATTATGTGTAGGGAAACATTTATAACATTTTTGGGTAAAAAATATAAATAAGGCTGAAAAAAACTGGCATTTTGCTGTCCAATTTATCCCTTTTGCTGTCCGATTTTTCCCTTTTGAAGTACAATTTTTCCCTTTTGCTGTCCAATTTTGGCTTTTGCAGTCCAATTTTTCCCTTTTGCTGTCCAATTTTTCCCTTTCGCTGTCCAATTTTTGCCTTTTGCTGTCCAATTTTTCCCTTTAGCGGTCCGATTTTTTCCCCTTTGATGTCCAATTTTTCCCTTTTGCTGTCCAATTTTTCCCTTTTGCTGTCCAATTTTTCCCTTTCGCTGTCCAATTTTTCCTTTTCGCTGTCAAATTATCCTTTTGATGTCCAATTTTTCCCTTTCGCTGTCAATTTATCTTTTTTCTCCAAATTAGCAAAAAAAAGCCAATAATTATTTCCAGAAAATCAGGTATATCCACACTTGAATGACGATCTGAAACTCTTTAAATGAAACGAACCGACATTTTGCAGGGAACCATGACGTCTCATCCTTTGTTGGTAAACCCTTTAACTTGCACACCTACCGTAAATGCTTCCAGTGTATTTTTAGAAAGATATTTCCAGACCCTCGTGTACGGTACATGGATTGTACCAAAGAAATAGGAAGGGGGAGAGGTCCCAATCCTAGAAAAAGAGTTTGATTAAAGGGACAATCGACATAATTCAACACGACCCGTCCGTTTGAAAAAATACATGCGATAAAACCATTAAGCTTAATCGGAGCTCTTTTTCATATGAAAATTGATCATTTTTTATTAAGATTTGTCACGAACAGCTCGATTACAGGACATAAGTAGTAGAAACAATGATGAACATTAACAGAATTTATCTCTTTACAAGACAGATAAACAAGTATACCATTCTCGTTGTTCTGAAACCGTATATAAAACTCTGTAAATGGAGGGTCACTTGAAAATACGTAAACAGTTCATTAAATTAAGCTTTATTTTTGAAAATTAGAAATGAGATTTAAACTTGTTTCTCTTATTGTTTATTGTATAGCTATATTATATGTGAGGGATTAACGTCGGATACTTTTATTGCTTTTTATCGATACAAGGCGTTTATCTTCTATTAGAAATAATGAAAGATCTGAAAAGGAACCCGACATGGAACCCCCGGACCGCCTTCAGAGCGCAGTGCATCAACATGCAGCATATATTTTAAAACAAAAACAAAAAAGTTGCGGATTTTATTAAAAAAAAGTCGTAGAACTTCAACATTTAATAAAAATCGAATTTTTTTGGAGGCAAATTTTTGAAATTTTGATCATCTGCAAACCTTCCCTGGGGACATGTAAAGTCCCACACAAAATTTGGACCCGAACGGTTCAGCCGTTTTGACGTTCATTGGACACAAACAAACACCCAAACAGACAAGCAAAGTACATATATAGATTAATATTACATGTCCAATCAATCAATCAATGACCTCCAGCGGGATAAAGTAGTACACATATGTTACAAAATAATTCTCATTTTAATAGGTTTAAAGAAAAAAATAGGTTTATAAGGGACTGTTTTAAACAATATAGTGTGTATGTAACTCTTTAAAGGAAGGAACACTTTGAGTTTTAATGACAGTCCCTTTAAAAACTACTTTTTTTCGAGGCCCCCCCATGCCCCCCATCTTATCAAAGCGTGTTTAGATAAATTAAAAAATTACCTCCACAGAAATGTTTTCCTTTCTTCTTCAGGGAGTGAACAATTTAAAGAAGGATTTTCTGTCACGAGAAATTAAGTTTTTAAAAGGAAGTATTTCTACATTTTCATTTTTACATTTTTTTAGAGACCCATAAAAATGATAAAGGTTGTATAAATAAATATTAAGACAGTCTTAGAAATTTCAAAAAAAAAATATATATTTTATTCCAAACAATCTAAAATTTCAATGATTTTATATTTTTCCAGTTAGAAATAAAAATAAATTTTTCAAATTTGAATATTACTGAATATGCTGGTTACATACATGAATCTAATTACAAATACAATTGCAGTTAAATGAACATAATTTCCCTGATTCGAGTTCTAAATTCATTACTTCCAAACTGTGTCCTTCTCTAAAAAAAGCTTATTAGATCAAAAAATAATAATTATTAAAATTTAGTAATTCTAAAATAATTTCTATTTGCCGACTCGTACTTCAATATAAAAAGAATATCTTTAAAGTGACTTTCCATTTCAAAAGTGGCATGTCTGATTGAAAATGGTACTATTTAAAACTTATTTGATCCTAAATGGGAAATATATCGTTGCTTTTATATTCTGACAAATCAAAAATCAGCATGTCATCTTTGTAGAGAAACTAGATAGGAATATCTCATCTATTTTCAATCATACAGTTATTTTAGAAATGCCATTGTGAATCGGACATTCCACACTAAAAATGGCTAATCACTTGAAATTACGTCTACTATCCTTTTTAAAATACTGGTTCTCATCACTAGGGCTCTTTAGGGTAAAGATACAACATGAACCAACATATCTTTGTTTCCAAAATAAGTGAACCACAGTTTCTGGACAAAATATATACAAAACTCGGCCTTATCACTACCAAGGAACTATAAACAGGAACGCCCAATCCAGATATACGCAATTATTTACTTTACACTGTGGGAGGAATGTAAACAAACCCAGTGCCCCCACAGAAGTTGGAGGGAAAGAACTACAGCTCTGATGTGATATTATAGTCCAACAAAAAGCAAGTTAATATATCAGGTTAGAGCGAATACTTATAATTTTTGGCTTTCTGGTCGATATGGAAAATACAATTAATAATATATTCTTATTCCACCCCTTGGGCGCTTTTCCCTCAAAAATAATGCGCTGCCCCTGAATTCTTTGTATTGATCTCCTCCCACTGCAGTACACAGACTTGACGCATGAGATATGGCGGTTCCTGGTCTATGTATTTCTTGATCACTACCACTGAGTTTGTTTTCATTCCATACAGATTACAGACATTGCAGTACACTTTTATGTAAACAAAGATCTAAGATGAATTAGGTATTAGGTAAGGGTAAAAACTACCTTTCAGATCCATGATTCCGAACATCTGAATTAAGGGCAGCAGTCATTTTTTCCTTAATTAAATTTAAATAAAAATTGTAATTTTTACAAATATAAAAAATATATACCTTTATGTTTCTGCGTAAAGAACACCGGGTTATTGCAAGGAACATAACCTAAGATGTAAGAAATATTAAGTTTAACGAGTTAATGGATTAAAAGTTATCTTTCAAAAATGTCTTCTCCTTCCCGTCTGTAAGATTTTCTCTATTTAGTTGGTAAAATTTCACCCAGGGATACATTATCTTGAAAAATCATTTCACTCCCCCCCTTTCCCCTATATACAGCCGAACCCATAAGCTGTAGATAAGGAAGACGACTGTTAGAATCAAGTTATAACTTAAGATAGAGCCAAGTCACTTATAAAGTTGATATTCAAGTTATATAATTTCCTGGAATTGTTCCATTTAAAGATGATCTTGCCCGTTTCATAAAGATATTCTTAAAACCTAAATCTGATCAATATTGTAATAGATAACGTAGCTTTTCTGACCTTAAAAGTGTTTAACTCTAAATATTTATCAGTTATTTCTGAAGCAAGAATTACGAAAGTTTCACAGAGAAACCACAATTAAGAAAGACAGTTTTCAGACTAATAAAAGGATTTCTAATGCATAATTTTAATACAAAAAGCAGGTCTGTCATAGAGCACAATTTACCAATAAGGTTAAAGATTTTGCTTCCATTTTGTGTTTTTATCTGGTCTATCAAGATTAAAATTCTAATTTCAAACTGAGCAGAATTCACAAAAAACACATTGTTAATTAGGTTTCCACACAATCTACAGATTGAAGTTTCTGAAAATTAAAGTGAAATTAAATTAATTATAATTTAATAATTAACAATTTAAACAAAATGGTCACTGTATATAAAAAGACTTTTAATTTTCAATTTTATAAAAAAATCTTTAAATGGGGAGGAGGGATGAATCAAACGCAATGTACAAAAAGATATCTTTACATTTGCATGGAACATAAATTTGATAAAAAGTTGTGGTTTTATTTTTGTTATTGATGAATGTCGATTAGCAGCGCGGCATTTATATTTATATTGCGCTTAATTGACAAAGTACAAGAGAAAAATTATATTAAGAAAATAATTTTTACATTTTATATGCTCATAAAAAATATGTGTATTTAAAAAAACATTATTTTTAATTTAATTTTTGTTTTAGTAAGCTTCCCCAACTGTAGTACAAAATACAAAAGAACGCACCGCGGCGTCAAATTATTCTTTAATGCGCAGCTAGCCTTTCCAGTTTGTTCTACGAATACGATTTGAGAAAAAAAAGTACGATTAGTACAGTACGTTACTTAACCTAAATACGCCAGAATATCACTATAATTTCCCCTGATATTTGTTATTACAGTCCTGTAAATTTTATAAAAGTTACAATTAAAACTTCTATTTCACGAAGTTGTCCATTTGTCATTTACTTAAATTTGGTTTTTAGGTAAACAATATGTTCTGATCGATGTTGGAAGACTTTCTGAGAAAGTGTACAGGTCTTCGCAATCAGATACATGTGATACAACTTTATTCCCAGGTATTTAGCCAATTTTGTACATAGATCTTATATGTTAGACATGATATAATTACGAAACTGTAGATATCGTTTCGACATTAATTAAAGATTTTATTGTGTTCTAGGATGGGGCAAACTGGTTCTAGGCTAGTAAACAAATTATCAAGTAGTTTCACATACCATGGTTCACCTTCGGAGGAATTCAATTTCGAGGTAATAAAAGTCAACTCTTATGTTAAAGATTCATTTCTATTATTGGGTACAGAGAATACAGAATATTCTAGTTTACGAACGTAGTTAGGGTACTGATAATGTACTACGTAATATATATGTTCAGGTTTACAAATATGAGGTTTACTACCATATTAATTACATCACTATTAATAAATTTGGCGCAATTGACTATACGGTTACTTAACGAATATCCTAGATAACAATGGAAGTATTACAGGATCTATCTCAATTCAGAACTTTATGTTGTGAATATCGGAATCAAGTTTTGATCTCCATCATATGCAGACAGAGCTGAAAAATTTAAAATTGGATACCTTTAATCTCGATCGCTTAAGCTTAATATCCACTGTGAACACTTTCTCGTTAATCTGAGCTGAAAACTTTAGAATGGGATATCATTAAACCCGATCGGTTAATTAATCTGAAGATTACTAACAAGTGAAGAACAAGCATTATTTAATCTCGAGATTAAGAAAAAGAGTGGATCAAGCATTAATCCAGATATCCACCATTCAGAAGTTCCCAGCTCTGCTCTTTTTCTCTCTTTTTGGATATCTCCACTTTGTTCCGACCAATAAAAGTTCTCATAATTGATTGCGCGTCAAAATTTCTCGGCTTCTGATTGGTTGTTCGGGGTTCTCCAGACGCCCCCCTGATTGGTTGAATTTAATAAAAGATTAAATTATTCTGGAGATTGATACAATTTAAATTTATCTTCGATTTTTCCCTGCATGGTATTATGGGTGAATGTTTAATTTTAGGATGCTGACCGGGTAGTTGCCAGCTTCAAGGGAGGAACTCCGTTTGTTTATTCACGGCAAGGGTAAGAAAAAAAAAACAATAACCATAACAATGACCATGACAAAAAGAAAGAGAACACTAACAAACCAAAAAACGATAAAATATACGAAGAATTAAAAAAAATATATAATAATAACAAACAAAAAATAAAAACAATATCTACAAATTGATGACAATAACAAAAGCAAAAAAGCAAATAATTAACAAAAACATTCAAATCAAAGATAAACGGAATGGAATAAGGAAAAACATCAAACTTTCAAAAGGCCCAATATAAGGCTGGTACCAAAGCTTGGTTTTTTTTTGTTATCTCTATTTCTAATTTTGTAAAACTTCATGGGAGGGTAATAAACAGAACAATGACAATAACAATAGGACAATATAAAAAAATAATAAACACAAAAGATCAATAACAATAACTAGAAAAGCAAGAACAAACTGTAATGTTTAGGTCTATGTACTGAAATGTTTAAATATATGTGCTGAAATGTTTAGATCTATATACTGAAATGTTTAAGTCTATATACTGAAATGTTTAGATAAATGTACTGTAAAGTTTAGATCAATCTAAAAAGTTTATATAAATGTACTGAAATATTTAGATCAATGTGCTGAAATATTTAGATCAATGAACTGAAATGCTTAGATCTATGTAGTGAAATGTTTAGATCTATGTACTGAAATGTTTAGATTAATGTACTGTAAAGTTTAGATCAATGTCCTAAAAAGTTTATAAAAATGTAATCAAATATTTAGCGCTATGTACTGAACTGTTTAGATCAATGTACTGAAACAGATCTATGTAGTAAAATGTTTAGATCTAAGGACATGAAATGTTTAGATCTATGTACTGAAATGTTTAGATTAATGTACTGTAAAGTTTAGATCAATTTTCTACAAAGTTTATAAAAATGTACTCAAATATTTAGCGCTATGTACTGAACTGTTTAGATCAATGTACTGAAACAGATCTATGTAGTAAAATGTTTAGATCTATGGACTGAAATGTTTAGATCTATGGACTGAAATGTTCAGGTCTAAGAACTAAAATGTTCAGATCAATGTACCGCAATGTTTAGATCAATGAACTGAAATGTTTAGATCTATGTTCTGAATTTAGATGTACTGAAATGTTTAAGGTCAATGCACTGTAATGTTTTGGTGTATGTAGTAATGTACTGAAATGTTTAAGGTCAATGTACTGTAATTTTTAGGTGTATGTAGTAATGTAGTGAAATGTTTAAGGTCAATGTACTGAAATGTTTAAGGTCAATGTACTTCGATGAAGATGGAGATCTTGCACATGAGTTCTATGAAGAAGTGGCAGCAAGGTGCTCATCAGTTTTATAAATGGATTTTTATATTTTTACATTAACCGAACATCTGACATCTTTTAATTATTTAGTTTTTATTTCGGACTGATGGGTGACTGTTTTATTTATTTATTTATTTATTTAAGTTGTCCTTGATTATGAAAATGTATTTCCATTAATTTAACGTAACGTCAAAAGACAGTTTTTCATGCAATTATGGTTTTCCTTTTTAATGCCAAAAATATTTTTTACAATTGTTCAGGAATAATCTGAAAAATAAGACAAATAAATAAATATTAACAAATAAAAACTCTTTCACAATGATTATATACATCAATAATAATGATAAAAATTCGATGATGTGGTTTCATTATGAAACACTATCAGGGGAACCCCATAGATAAAGATAGATTGCGCATAAGACGACATTTTTCATCTTGAAAGATATAAATCTACAGAGATGCTTTAAAGATATTCCTATTATATAGATTAACTAGGTCGGTTGTGGATATTGGCTGTTATTATGTCATTGAGTACTTGTGGTGTACATGAGTTCTGTTGAGAGAAATTTAAGTTAGTTCTCGTCAATATGATATTCTCAAAATGAAATTCACTCCTGAGTGGTTTAATAATAATGAAATCCATTAAAACACCAAACCATCCCGCTTATCATTGAAGTACACTTTGACCCCTAGAAGTATGAGTTCGCGGACTGTACAATTCTTGGTGATTTTGCGTGCATAAGCTATCTATGTTTATTTATTTATCTATGGGGGAACCCAGCCTTCTATTGATCTATAAACGTAACTTCAAGTGTCCCTCCATGTAAATATGGCAACGCCCGATTTACAAGGATTAAAAACTTTGTCTGGTAAAGTATGAATTATAAATGTATGTTTTTGTTTCTATAATCTTTTCATTTTCATTTGCGTTTTCTCTGCAAAAGTGACTTGCGCATTTCTTACTAATAAGAATCAATGCAGAAATTCTCACTTTTCGCGTCATGGAAAATAACGATATCTTCCACGTTTTTACCAGATTAAGGTTTCAAGTTTACCGGACATTGACATGTGAAACGGACATTGTCATCTTTTGCATGGAGGGTGACTTGAAACTACGTTGACCGTCCCTTGTATAACTGCTGATGTGTATAAAGGAAGCGTGGTGGAAAACGAAGAATGCGCAGAATAGATAAAAATCTTCGGCCCCAGGTGATGAGTGTTTTTAAAACGTTTCCCAGCTCACTTTTTTCCACAAAAATCTAATGGTTTTTCCTAGATTTTGATTTGTTTTCCGTAAATATTGTTTCTACTTCTGAGAACTGATTTATTTTCACAAAATATTAATGGGATTTCCCGAATAATTTGTTCATTTTTCCCTAAAAATTAATTGTTTTTCCGAGAAAGCATTTATTTTCCCTAAATTTTTTTTTTTTTTCGAGAATGCATAAAAAATTAATTGGGTTTTCCGAGAATGCATTTATTTTCCATACAAATTAATTGGGTTTTCAGAGAATGCATTTATTTTCCATAAAAATTAATTGGGTTTTCCGAGAATGCATTTATTTTCCATAATTCTTAAGAATTCATCAATTTTCTACCAATTAATTCTAAGAATTCTAAAAATGAAGGAAGTGATTAATTCTACAAATGGAGGAAGTGATTGCTTGATTTTGTTCTAGGGTGAGGTGAAGTACCGCGTTCCGTGTCTAAATGTGGACTTTCCTATTGTCCTTTACTCTGACTAGTGTTCCCACTCCGGCCCTTCTAGGGCCTCCTCTAGGATCGACGAGGACTAACCAATCTTTTCCCCTAAACGACCCTAAAAGGGTCGTATTCAAGCGAGTGTTCTTGAAATTTGAAATGAATAACAAGACGAATTATAAAAAAAATGTATTTAGTTTTATTATTTAATTCTTTTCCTACTCTAGTCTATCGACAATGAAATCTTTTTAGATTTAAATTAAGAAACGTTTTAAAAAAATCTTGAATACTCAACTTAAGTAGGATCAAAACAAAAATAAAAACTTAGTTTAAGGTTAAATCATAAATTGCTTCAGTGATCCCTTTCAAATTTCAAGTACACTCCCTTTATATAGAAAAATGAAGTCCATGGTACGATCATTATATGAAAAAATGGAATTCATTCTGTCGATGTGTTTTATAAAGATTAGCCAATCAAATTTATGACCACCCCCCCCCCCCTCCAAAATTTGAAGAGGTATTCTCTAGATTTCCCACGCTAATTTAAAATATTTTCAACATTTTATAATAATTAAAAATCTTCCAATTTCCTTTATTTGATTGTCTGTACAGTGTACACTGTACACTAGTACAGTGTACACTGTGTACACTAGTACCGTGAACACTGTGTACACTAGAACAGTGTACGCTAGTAGACCATTGTAACAATTGTTTAATAATTTGTGTTCAAAATTTCAAATGTTTGAACTATACTTAATCTCATGGCTCAGGCCCATAGCTTGTTGCTGTATTTTATTAAACCTCAAGTCCATGAGTTGGACTGAGAAGTTTAAACGTTTTTTTGAGGCTTTTTCAATTTTTTTTCTCTTGGAGTGATTTTAAAAGTCGTGATTATGTTATAAGTTTTCTTATTTTTATTGTGATACAGAGACTCAAGTTTTGTCACAGTTTTATGTTAAGTCACCTTTAAGAGTTTATTATTCTTTATGTTATTTCTCCCAAAAAAAAACACTTGTAGATTATGTCACAAAGTTTAAACTAATTTCGTTTTAGAATAGTTATTATATAAGCAAGAAAACCATGAGTTGGTATGTTTCAGTTCACTTTCTGATCAAATAAATAAATGTAAAACCCTAAATTCCTTCAAGAAAATTACCGAATAATTATTTTATTTTCTCTTATAATTTCAGAAACTTAATTTTGTCTTCCAGACAAACTTTAAATGTTAACAAAACAAGCTTTTTCAAAAAAGTTTTAACAACAATAATTTCAATTCATCTCATCCCATTTTTTTTTTAAGAGAATAACGTTTTTAAAGTACCCTGACCGCCCCCTATCTCCCCATTTTGTGATACCCTTCTTATTCTTCAATCAATTGTTTGTATCTTATGTTAAAGAATTCATGTATTTACGATCTTCTAGAAATCTTCCATAGACGAATACAAGCCAGCTACCCCAGAATTCATAACCAACCACAGTCATATCCAGAAAGACCCGAAATTAATTAACAGTTAAACACACAATGAAGGTAGATCACATTTTGGAATTGGCAAGACTAGGGCTATTTTGTGATTATCGTTTTATTAGTTTTATTATTCACAAACTCGAGTGCCCGGCGTTGCCCGTCGTTTTATTAATTTTATTAATCACAAACTCAAGCGCCCTTGGAATTTAAAAAAACTTATTTTAAAGGAAAACGTTTCAATTTTTTTAGGCTTTGTCACCCCCGGGGAAGTCCGGAGTAGATGGAAAATATGTTCAGCCCATTCGGTTCAGCCGTTTGGCCGGCCAAAGGGAACAAATACACGAATGTCTTGTTTTATTTTTGAAAAATTTGAAAAATTCAACTTGAAAGTCGTCTAATTAATCATAAGTTATTTCTATTAAAATTTTGTTAAAAATTTTTAATTTAAAAATGAATTGTAAAAAATTAGTTAATTCTGGGTCTTTCTGATGATGAATCTATTATATTTTATTCCTTTCAGAATTTTGTACTTGTCATTTCTATTATGAACATTTATCTTAGTAAAATTTGTGCTAAAAATCTCAATTACGATAATTGTCGAGATAGCAATCATAACGTCATATTTCTGCACCTGTCTGTAAGATTTCCAATTATTATTTTAATTTATTTTTAATTGCCTGAAAAGTACATTTCCTTAAGAAAATGTAGATAATTAACTTTTTTCTTATGTCATGAACACATTGGCATAGCTTCAAAAATATAATTTCTTCTAGAAAAATGTTGGTATCTATGGCAAAAAAAGGAACAAAAATATATTTGTTTAAAGCGTAAATCTGAAGTATTAAGTAAAACTAAGATCTTTAATTTTTCTTCCTGTACTGAAATGTTTTAAGATATTAAGGCGTTTTTTTTGATTTTTTGGTTAAAACTGATTCCCAAAAAAAAAATTCTGGAACTGAAAAATTAACTTTTCTTGAAATTGAAAAATATGAATTTAGGGGGAAAATATGAAGAAAAAATCTGTCTTTTTCTAAATCTCAAGATTTGTAAATTTGAGAATTCTAAATTTTCATAAAGGGCATTTTTATTTGAAATTTAAGAAATCTAAAAGATAAAACACAATTTAGGCGTGCAGCCAAAAGTTGGAAGATTTTAAACAAAAAAANTCTGATAACCAAAAAATATTTCTTTTCTTGAAATTTGACAATAAAAAACAGCCCGAGATCAACAAACTGAACGCACTTCACAAATGCCAGCAAATAGAGACTTCTTTAAGAAATAACTCTTTAAAACCCTGATTGTGTTCCCTATTATCAGTGCAAAGTAACCTTATTTACTTTACTAAATCCGAATGATATGACGAGAATTAATAACTGTTCAAGGTTTACCGAATGATTTCCTAATATTTGATTTTATTACTTAATATCGAAAAAACGCTCATTTAACATGACCCTTGAATGGCACTTTTTGGAACAGAAAAAATACCATGTAATTCAGATAAATTTTGTACCTCTGGAAAAGTTATTTTGAAATTTTTTTTCTCGCTGCTGGATACTGTGTAATGTCCAGTGTGCAGTAAGCATTTAAATCTTTAAATCAAAGACACACAAATTTAGCGTTGAAAACAACTTGGTATGGGAGACATAGGCTGTTATGAAGACGTTTCACATTCGATATGTCATTTTTTAATGTATCTTAAATCTTAAATTTGTTGAGGTTTCAGATAGAATCAAGATATGAGCAATGATGATCTCTTTTCTGATATACTTACACACCAGGAATCATCAGGTAAGGTACTTGAAAGTACCTAAAAATTGGGACTGCAAGCGAAATTTTTAGTGATCTTTCATGTAAAGATGGCAATGCCGATTTACAACTACCCGTAAAAGCTTTATCTGATGAATTAGATGCTGATATTTTCGTTTCTTCAAACTGACAAATTTCTTTTGCGGGATCTCTGTTATGGTGAATGTTCACATAAATTAACACTTTTTAAGTCAGAAAAACGACTTTATCTTATACATTTTAGACCAAATTAAGGTTTCCCCAGATTCCCAGGCATTTGGGGAATTCCCCATATTCTCAGGCATTTGGAGAATTCCCCAAAATCTAAGGTTTTTAGGGAATCTCCAATTTTGACAATTTTTTTAATTGCTGTGGTTAGAGGCAGTGTTTCGGATCCGGATCCGGTCGGATCCGTATCATTTGGTCGGATCCGGATCCGGATCCGTATCAGGAAACGTTGATATGGATCCGGGTAGCGCCAAAAATTAACCAAAACCATGGAATAAATAAATCAAAATGGTTCGTAAAATGTATTATTTACATTTTACATGACGAAAATTTTTCAAAATTATCTTAAATAATTTAATGTTTACATTTATATAATAGTAAATTAATGACGACATTTTATAAATTATAACCTTGCATAACATTTAATAGGGAAAATCCGATTCACAGAATCAAAAGTTACCTCGGATCCGGATCCATCATCACGGATGCGGATCCGGATCCGGATCCGAATCAAAATGATATGGATCCGAAACACTGGTTAGAAGGATGTCCCTAAAATTCTGATTTTATTTGATTTGATTTATTTGAGTCTTTGACACAAACTCTGATTTTCTAATCTCAATAGTTTTGCAACCTAGTTTCATAGACCTTAGATATTTCAAACTTTAAATTCTGTTCTGTTCTGATCAAATAAACTTAGTTTGAAATATCTAAGGTTTTTTTATCAGGTTTCAAAGATATATGGATTAGAAAATTTTAGTTTGTGGCAAAGAGTCAATTCCTTTATTTAGTTTCCTGCCAGTCTTTCTTTGACTCCAACAACAGTCTGCCAGGAAATAAGAATATCTATATATATGATAATTATATAAATATAAATAAATATAAAGATATATAAATATAATAATTAGTTGCTGCTACTGTATTCTTGGGGTTCCTAGCTTTTAATTGATATGCATAAAGCCATAGTTTAAACATTTTAATTTAGGTCATTAGAGGTCACTAGAGATCATTAAAATTCAATTTTATTTTATTTTAGGAATTTCGATCACTAATTCCAAAAAATTGAAAGATTTGAACCAAAAATGAAGGCAGTGCCCCCCCCCCCCCCTACATCAAATGTGCCAACTCCACCATCCCCTTTGTATCCGTTTTTTTTTATATTCTGGGTTTTCTGACTTACAGTTTACAAGTTTACAAATTTTACTCTGTTTTTAATGTTTTATCCACAAGTTTTCTATAATACAAATGTGTCGACTCGGACAGAAAATAAAAACAAAGCAAAGCCTTCGCTATTAAATGTGCACATTGTGTTAACTACAAGCTGTGTTTGCTTTTTAAAAACTATTTATAAATTTGACTTGTCCAGTCTAAACAACTTTTGGTAGCCTACATGACCCCAGGCATGGGTTATTGGCGTTCAAAATGGCAACATTTTGCCAGGGAAAATATTAACAAAAATATTTTTTTAATTCATCAATTTAAACAACAAAAAATCGCAAAATATTGCAGAGCACACTGATAAAATTGTGGCTTGAAAAGCAACAGCTTAAAACAATAGCTTAAGTTGTTACTAGAAAAAATAGCGAAGCACATTGGAAGCCTAGTTAGAAGAGATGGGTAAAGAAAGAAATAAAATGGTATAAAACTAAAAGGTGGAATGTAAACAAATGACACTAATACGACCTCATCTTAAGCTTGATATGATTACTGGTACAAACTACACTTTAATTCTTTTAAGCTTGCGGGGCATCCTGAAAGCCAAAACCCCCCTGTAAGTTAAAAAGTACTAGGCGAATGTGTACTCATTGAATGAGAAATAGGTGAATGAATACTAGGCAAAATGTTACTGATCCGATATGATAACAAACTACACTTTTATTCTTTTAAGCTTGCGGGGAATCCTGAAAGCCAAACCTCCCTGAATGATTAAAAAATATTTTTTTTAACTATGTCCAACTTATTATCTTAAGGTTAAAGTTTGACATTCATCCTTAAACTTAATAATTACCTTTTCCCTAATCAAATTGTTGGCCATTTATTTAGGACTGGCTTGTAATCTAGCTTCCCCAGGTTACTCATAGTAACGAGCGCCGTTAACCCGCACTTAGTCCATTTTTCTGGGAAACTAAAATTTCCCTATCAAAATTGATTTACTAAGCTTATAATCCCAAACCAATTTAAGAACATACCTCCTTTGGTTCTCACGAGTTCCCCAGTCAAAATTTGAGGCAAGTTGGTCTAGATGTTCCGGAGTTATGATCGGACATCCAAACAGAACATCAGAGATTACAACTTTATATGTATAGATAAGCTGATTGTGTGAATTGATTAGAATATAGAGTTTTCTGATAGTTTTCAGCATGGATTGGATCAGTTTCTTGAGGACAACTGTGTTAATCCTCACATAAACAGGAAATTAGTTCATTGATTTTATAACTAAAGGGACTGTAAGCGTAATTTCAAGTGACCCTGCATGCACAAAGAGAAATGTACGATTGACATTGATCAAGTATGAATTGGATAGACATGTTTTTTTAACTGTTTATTTTCATCTGTGCAGAGGTGAGTTGCGCATTTTTCGTTTATAAGAAACAATGAATAAATATGTCACTTGAAAATACGCTTAGAGTTCCTTTAAATGCAATGATATACTTAATAATGTTTTGTAAGTTGCACAATGTACAAAATCAAAATCTCAATTCTTTGCTTCAATAATATCCCTAAAATATCATCCTCTTTGCAATGAAGAAATAAATATGACATCTTTGATAATCAATATAAATTTTCCATTTATTTCCATTAATCTTAAGAAGCAGTAGTCCACTTATTTTTCTTTGTGGACAATTGGACTTTGAGTGCTTTTGGCAAACATCTTTTTTCTATATTTCTAAATGCTAGACATTATAGTAAATGTAAATAATTTTGAAGTAAATATGAAGAATTTAATTGTTCAGTGTTTTGGAAGACAACTTCTCGTATTACCAAGGTGAGTAGGATGTAAAACTAAAGATTTAATTTGAATTGTAAGTAACAGTGCTTAGGATCCGCAAGATTTTGGCTTCTTGGATCCGGATCTAAGGGGCAAAATATCAACCAAAAACTGAAAAAAAAACCTTGTTTTACACTCAAAACCCAAATCTGAACTATTAATGAAAGAGAGACTACAAAAAATTCCTGATCTCATCAATTTTTAGCATAAAAATAAGCGAAAAAAAGAAAAAAACAATTTGACAATTCTGCTATATTAAAAAAATCAGTAAATGTGAAAGAAATGATCAAGACCTGGATCCGGGTCCATTTTTTCATAGTGCGGATCCAGGATCAGGTTCTTCTTTAAAATTAAGCACTATAGTGGCACTACAGAATTAAATGGATCCTAAGCACTATAGTGGTGTGTTTCAAAATCAAGGGATAAAAAATTCATGCCCTTAATGTTAAATTATACTGTACTACTGTAAATTATTCTTTCTAAATGTTGTTTATACCTACTGAGGTTGGAATTTTTGGGTGGACTACCATTAATCTTGAATGCTTGATTTTGATATCTGATGTGAGCACTTTTAAACTAGAAATGTTTGATCCCTAAATTAAAGTTATCTGTGCGGGGTATGACCAGACATGAGATATTGAAGTGGAATTAAATTACACCACAAATATAAATATCTAGTACACAATATGGAGATCTTTGCTTGATCTTAAGATTCGCAACAAAGTTAACAGAAGGACCCAGGACATATCGTTATGTGATTGACTCCCGCGTCTTAATTCACACATCGCTCATAACTGAGTTAATTCGTAACTTCAAGGGTGCTCACGCCTAATCAATATGCATTAAGGGTTGACTGCAACTAGTATTATTATTAGTTCATCTTCTTTCAATAGTTTAATTTAGATTCTGCACAGCAATGTTCTCAGGGTAATGGGCAGGTCATTTGTTCTGCAGAGACCTGGAAGGGACGCACACATTATGACTGATCATTAAGCAATTTTTAAATCATTATTATCAACACTTTCATTAATTTATTTTTTGGTTTTCTTCATTGGAAAACAACTTGATAAAAGGAATGCAATTGTTGACACATTCTTGTAAAATGTAATTACACTTATTTTTCAGATTAGAGGGGTTCATGATTTTTAAGTTCCACACTTTCTCAGGGGTATTTTAATTTGAAATCATTACTTACTAAATATCATAACATAAAACTTACAAAAAGAATATCAAAATCATTCTTGATTTTGCAAGACAATTTTCACATCCTTATACTAATAATTTTATCTTTTGATATTTGAATATTTAAGTATATATTTTTTTTAATGCAAGACAAGATTTCAACCAAAATCAGCTATAGATGATCATTTTATTTTTTTAATTTAATAATTTTATGTTAACTTATTGAGGAAATGCATCAGTTGTAATCATTTTAGTCTGAATCTGTTAATTTTCTTGGTTTTCAAGAAGAATCTTCAGATGATCTTGTTAAGGAAAGAATTTGGGATATGGTTAAAAAAAATTTTTTTTACCAAATTTAGGCTCAGGTCTTTTCTGTGACCACAATAATTATAAAAGCATTTTAAATATCCATAAAAGTCATGATAAAAGTATACAAATCTTTATAAAATTTCGATATTGGTGCTCCTGGAGCCGGTTAATACTGTCCTTTTGTTTTATTTCGATATTTTAAAAAATAATTGATATAGTCCAAATAGCTGCTTTTTTAAGAAATAATTTTTTTCGCTTAAATTAGGGAAATGTTTGAATTCAATTTTTTTTGTTAACTGGTTTCCATTCAGCAAATTCAACTTTTAAAAAAAATTGTCTTTTCAAAAAGTTCATTTGATATTCAAAACTAATCCTATGCGCATATGGGGGAGTGGAATGGTAAATATTGATTACCTTTGTTGTGGCTCTGCCACTTTTTATTGTTTTAAACGTTCCAGACAATTACTTCAAGATAAGGGTGTCTTATAACACATTACAGTAGACAGAAGCTTAGATGGTTGTTTTTGATCTTTGAAGAAAGAAAATTGAATTTTAATTTTATCTAATACAATGACTAAAAAATACATTTTTTATCAGTATTCAATATGATCCTAAAATTGAATTGTGCACAGCTACAAAGTTCCTTTTTTTATAATTATGTTTTATTACATTCTTAAGAAAAAGACAGCTAAATTAGACCCTATCCTCTGTCTACTTCTCACTGACATTGGCCCTTTTAGCTTAAATTAAAATAAAGTTATCAAGATGATAATAATTATAGTCCTATTTTTTTAGTCCCTTTTTGGAAACGATCCAGACCTTTTCTGCAATCAGGAAAATATTCAAAAATATAGTTATTAGATAAACTCAAATTCAGATTTTTGTTGAATGACGAGCCTGACTGGCGTTGAAACATACCCCGTGCCATTTTAGATAAAAAAAAATAAGGGAAATTTCAGATGACGCTAAAAATCTTGATTTGAAATTTTTGCCAAAGTGATAAATTTTTGTATATTATTAAGGCTGAAAGAAATGAAGACCCAATCAGGAATCTAAAGCATAAACCTTAAAATTCATTTAAACTAACTAAAATATTTCTCTTAAGAACATTTTTTGCAGTTTTTTAGTTTTGCTTTAGTTTGTTGGATGAAATATTTGATGAAATTGATACGCGGAAGGATAAGCAAGAGCAACAGCAGGTAGAGATTTATCAAAGGCCAAATTAAATGTGGCTTAAAAACTTATTACTGATACTAGAGGTGGGAATTAATTATTAGCACGAAGTAATTTGGCCAAGAGTTCATAAGAGAAGAAGTTCAATCATCTTTATATAGTTATCAGTGATAAAATTCTTTAACAGAGTCACAATATTTTTGGGGCTTTAAAAAATAGTCATTACTCTAAAGAGTGTCCAAAAAAACATGACAGTTAAAAGGGGACTTGAAGGGCATCTTCAAATAATAATTTGCGACATTCATTTGTCAACCAAATATAAGGAGTAAAATTGTAACGTGGTCTGCTGTGCTTTTGTAAATTACTGGAGATATAAAGATTTTTGTTTAGATTGAACAATTTTAGTTTTATTTAATAAATTGATATCTGAACTAAATTCTGAATATTTCCAGAAATATTGAAATTTGAAAGCAAACAAAGGGCATACCAAATTTTGTTTCAATAATCATACATGTTAAATGTAGTTTGATAAATTAATGTCGCAAAGTTGTTTTCAAGACTAAAGACGACCTTTAAGTCTTTCAACTGTCATATTTCAAAAGACACCTTGTATCTAGCTTAAGCATTTCTATTGTTGCATTTCTACTCTTAATTAAGATAAACAGTGATCTGAGAAAAGAGGAGTGTAATGATGCACCAAAGACCACTGAGCCTTCAATTGACACTAACAATAATGAGGGCGGTCAAAAGAAACGGTAAATTAAGTGTATTGTATAAACTACCAAATAGATTATCAATTACAAAAGGTGACAACAGAGAAATGGACTAACTATACATGACGTGAGAAGTGTTAAATAAAACAAGGAACACAACATTTTTTCCCATTAGTTGACATGTTTTCCAAGATCAAATAAAAAAGTGTAAAAACGGAAAATAAAGAACACAAAATTGTACTTATTTTACTTTAAGAAAAGCACTTTATTATCACTTATTAATACTTTTGTCGGACACAAAAACTGAATAGACACTAGTGACGTAAGAAAACAGCTTTACTGTGACTGTACAAATTCTACGTTCCCCATCTATTGTAATTGTATTTTAAATGAAAAGAATTTTAATCTTGTTTAGATTTGATGGGACTGCAGTATTTAAGGTAAGAGTTTGACATTCGAATTTTAAGTAAACCCATCAAAAAAAATGTATTGATTCACTGTTTTAGGACTTTGATTATCCATTCAAATGGAATTAATGAACTTAAATGTTTGCTACATTATGAATTTTAGAAAATGTAACAAAGCAAAACAATAAAAATCCTTTAAAAAATTATCAGGAAATCCTTAAAATTAGACCATAAATTATAAGAGCGGTAGATTTGGAAAACTGTAAATAATTTTGGCACTTGACATTTAAAATATATATCTGGTGAAGGGTTTCATCAATTCAATAGAAATCGTCTAAAATTCTTCACTCTGTGCAAGGTAATACATAATTTTGTAAAAAAGAAGGATTGCAGATGTGCAGTAACTCAATCAGTTTGGACAAAACTCTTGTCTTTTTTAAATTGCTTTTATTCATCCAATAAAGAGCAGAATTGTGTCTTTGACAATATAGAAGTTAAAGTGAGTACAGAAAATTCTATAATCTTAATTTTAAAGGGTAAGGATATAAATGTCCAGACATAGTCTGTATATTTGAAAAATATTAGACCCAATAACACTGATACATTTTGCACCGAATCTTTTACTTTTTTCACTTCTATATATAAATTTGGCTTGTCTGTCTGTTTGTCTGTTTTGGTGTTTGTTTGTTTGTTTGTTTGTATCAAATAAACGTCAAATCGGCTGAACCGATCGGGCCCAAATTTTTTGTGGGACCTCACATGACCACAGGGAAGGTTTATGAATGATCAAAATTTCAAATATTTGTCTCCATCAAAATTCGATCTTCATTAAATTTTTGAAAATTTTGGATGTGAAAATCCGCAAATTATTTTTGTTTTGTTTTACGATGTACACAAAGAGAACATGTTCACAACTAATTTAGAAGATGGATGCGAAGCGCCCTCTAAGGCTAGTTTATTAAAATTCATACTATTCACTTTAAGTGATATTCTAAATAACCTGGAATAGTATAAACTGATTGATATTTTCATAGCTGTCTTTGACCTTAGAATTATCTTTCGACATTCATTACAGATAACCTGATTTTCGCAAAATTTTTGATAAAAAAATAGTCCTAATCCTAACATATCCAAAATGTGATATGCCATTTTTTTGCTCTCTAAAATAGCAGAGATATTAAGTATTTTGTTAAAATTTTAACTTATTAAATAAAACCATGAAAATCTCTCATTCTGAACAAAAGTTTTCATATCTCCGGTATTTATGTAAGCACAAAAAAGGCAGACCACTTTTTGGAAATGCAGGGCTAAGATTATTTTGTGATTAATTTTTCGTAAATTATTTTTGCTAAAATCAGGTTTCCAATGTTGAATGTCGCAAACTATTTCTAAGGGCAAAGAAAATTTGAAGTCATCAATCAATCAATTAACATTATTCCGGGTGATATCTATCTATCTATATATTACAACTCCCTGATAACACAAATGTTATCAGGTAACCACCCCTCCCGGCAACCCTCTGCCTTATTTAGTTGAAATATTTTTTCATGCGTTGTAAAGGCAGTTCCAGCTTATGAAAGAAGTCTTGACCCTACTGAAACAGAGGAGGTTCCAAAAGCTTTCCAAATTCCAAAACTAGGAAAAATGTTTTGTAAAATTTTGAATAAAAATTTATTATTTAACTCTGTTTAAGAGTCCTAAAGCTTTTTATCGTGGAATTTATAAACCTTTACAACCAAGAAAAGCATAAAAATGGCTTAATTTTTTTTTTAAATTAAAACAGAAAAACACTGTCCTGTAGATAAAGGGTGAAACATTTTGGCAGCATACTTACTAAATTTTGAAATATTTCCTAAAGGGAAAAATATTCAAAGCCTGGTTCGAGTTGACCCTCGTTTTGGGAACCAGCTTAATCAAGGCTCAAAGACTCATAGCGAGGTGATCAAGTGTGCCAAGGTCTACAGCAGGTCGAATTCTGCACCTATGTCCAGGAATAATTAAAAGTTAACTTTAATATAGAATCTTTTAAATGACCTTCGATATAAATTTGTTCAAATTAATATTTATGGGATTTTGGGAGCTTATTGACCTACAATGAAATTATAACCAAGGATATGGTGATGGGGCTTGATAATGTTTTACTGTGACATAATAGAACAGCTCAGGAACTAATGTTGTCTTAAGACATTGAAAAAATTGTAAAAAATCTAGGTATTTCAGAGTAAGAAAGGATGGAAGTGCTGAAGAAATTTGTCAAATATTTTTGTTTACATTATTTAATCCTAATATGCCACAGTAGAATCTAAACAAACCCTTTACCCTTAATACCTATCCACCAAACCTTAACTTTAAATTATTTGTAGTTCTGTGATAAAGCATACACCACTTCCAAATGCAACCTCTTTGATTTCAGTCAGGCCTCCTATTGTCCAACAAAATACTCCAATTAGGGATAAACAAAGTACTTTGATGTAAATCCATTACTGTTTACAAACATGTTGGTAAATGTAGGAAGATTTGTATCAAATCTTGTTTTGTTATGGAATCACTTCATTGGTGTATTTTTTATTCATTAAATTTAATCTGATTTAAATTTGAAGATAATCCATTTGCACAAATTTAAACTGAACTCTGCCCAACATTAAGTATTGTTTTGCAATTTTGGAAACAAATTCCATCTAGTTTCAATGCCCACTAAACCAAATAGATTATCAAGTACAATAGGTGGCAACAGAGAAATGGATCATTTATACACGACGTCACAAGTGTCAAATATAACAAAGAAAACTAAATTTTCTCACATTATTTGACATGATTTTCAAGTTTAAATAAAAGTGTAAAAACAGAAAAATAAATAACACATAAAATTGCTATTTTTTAACTATAATAAAAGCTCTTTATTCTAAAACTATCAACTATTATTAATAATTTTGTCGGACACAATACTGAGTTGAAACTTGTTATGCAAGAATACAGCTGTACGTTGCCATCTATTGTACTTAACAATCTATTTGCACTAAGCTAAAATTTTACTTTTTTGCCTTGGTTTGCAGGAAAATAACTCTCAACAATTAATATAAGTATTGTTATGTTTTAAAGAGGATCCCTGGTAACTAACTCTATCAACCTGCCTGCTACAGCTACCAATGCTGCTTCAAAAAGATGCAGCACAGGTTTTAAGATTTTAAAGATCAAATGTTTTTGAACACTAGTTTTAAAGGGGCTAAAAGCTTAATTTCAAATGACCCTCCATGCTAAGATGGCAATGCCCGATTTGCAAAAACCTCGTCTGATCAAGGTTAATTAGATATCCATGTTTTTGTTTCTTTAAACTGTTAATTTTCAAGTTGTGGTTCTCTGTGAAATTAATTGGTGGATTTCTTGCACAAAAGAAGCCTTGGAAAAATTATCAGAATTAAACACTTTTTAGTTCTGGAAAACATCTTTGCATGAAGGGTCACTTTAAATTACGCTTACAGTCCCTTTAGTTCTATTCGTTTTTAGTGAAGCGTACCTATGGCATGCCAAGCAAAAGCATAACACCAAAACTGAATGAATTAAAGGTAAAATGAGTCATATTAATATTTGATATACAGCACCCAACAAAGGCTGATAAAAACATTCTATTCAGATCACCATGCTAAACCAAGGACATGTAATTCAGGTAAGTTTTATAATTATTGATCATTAATCTACAGAAGGAAGCATGTCGACTTAATTGGACTTAAAGTATATGAATATAATACATTTTTTTACATTCCGAAAACAGTAATATTATTTGTAATTGAAGGACACTCAGTTGAAACAGAGGTTAAGCAAAAGATTGAAGCAGCTGCGAGAGCGAAGCAGACAAGCAAATGGATACTTAAGGATTCTACCGAAAGGAAAATGTGACTCTTCATTCTGACGTTAATCACAAAAGTGTTTGAAATATTCAAAACATTTAAAAAAAATTTTTTTTTGTAGATTTGAATCCATGGAAATAAAATTTTGTACTGGATTCTAAGTACTGCTAAACAAAGTTTTGATTTTCTTGATTTAAAGAAATATCAATGATTACAACATTTGATGGAAGATGCATACTCTTGATTACTAGGTTATAACCCTCATCTCAGTCTTCTAAGAAGTAGTGCAGAAAAAAATCTGTCCATTTCAAGGTTCAAATTTATTTTCTCTTGTTCTAATTTTTGTAAGAATATCAGCTTGTATTTAATGTTTCAGATCAGTACCTTCTAATAGTACATCAGTTAGCCAGGTTACCATGAACTCAAAGAAAGTTGACCCTAAAGCAGGGATCCCAAGCCTCCTACCCTGGGCATCGAATGTACCACCTACTCGAGGGATTCAACTTCAAAATGGACTAAAGCCAACATTTTCCAAAGATCCACCAATTCAGCCTGGCCCTGTTCAAAATGGTACTGTTTTGTTAGAAAGCTTTAAAATATAACAAACTGATGATTTTATATACTAATTATTTACAAATACTTTACAGGAAAGTTAATGGAATTTTACTTTACCAAGGGTTCACAAGACCAATTTAGCTGCTGCGCTCTGGGTGTTTAGTAGGCAAAATTGGTCAAGGGAACCCGTGGTTAAGTATAATTTTTAATTTCTCTAAAAATTAGTTGTTTTAATATCTTTTGAGATGCAAATGCGTGAATTTTTACCAAAACTTTGCAGAGTGGGTTGTTATTTTACTTAATTGTCTCAAGAGAGGTTAATTAACTTAATGACAGTGAACGTCCTTCTGTTAGGGGAATCATTGGTTGTTGATGCTGGTCAAAAGGTGGTAAAATATTTATTTTTTAGCAGATCCTGTTTTTAAATATGGAAATCTGGCAAGTTATCCAACATACAAACACTATTCCCCCTTCCAGGTGCATTTTTGTGATGTATAAAATAGTTGTAATCAAATAAAGAACAAACGTTAAAAAACAATTCATTTCATATTTTTCATATTTTTATTCAACTACAAAGCACGAGATAATACAAATAAAAAAATTCACAATTTACTATGTAGTTTAATTGGTTGGCCCACTAAAAACAAATGAGAATTGCAGATAAAAACAACGTACATTGTACATTTTAAACATAAGAATGATGATAAATCAGGAAAAAGGTAAGGAGGAGGTGAGGGAGTACTAAAGTATATTTGCACAGCAGTAAATTAAGCATGTTAGAATTAATACAAGTACTTGGTCCAAGAGAACCTTAATAAATGTATGCTCTGTGTTAAAAACTTAAAAATTAATTACCCATTAATACCCATTGCTTAATCTGCGCAAGTGACACACCTGTGGTATCGGCTTCGGTCAAGAGAGTCCTCCTAGTTCAGTCCAGGCAAAGGTTGCCTGGCCGCTTCTAGGATAGGAACACAGGAAGCAAGGAGGAGAGGAGCCGCCTGGTCTAGCTCTAGCAGGAGGAGCTTGAGGACGCGCAGGACGAGCCACAGGAGAAAAAGAGAGAGAGTACGAGGATCCAGGGGAACCAGGATCCAGAAGATAATATGATAGTAACACAGGAAGGCCTTAGGATCTTCTTCTTGGTATATATCTGGAACAAGAACACCGCTAGAGATAAGACTTAAAAGAGATGAAAGAACATAGACAAGACAAAGATCACAATAGTATAAAGACTAGCAGTGCCATCCTGGAGGTGAAGAGAGAGGAGGATAAAAGAACAGCAACGATGAGAACCTAGATATAGGATCTCTGAGTGGGGTGGCGCTGAATATCTACTGTGGACACTTCTGAATTCTGCTTGATAAGCTTGTTTTCCCTCTGTTTGGATATTCATATTGGATTCGGACCAATGAGAGTTTTCATTAAATTGTGCTAATTTCTTGGCAGCTGATTGACTGGTCGTATTTCTACAATCAACACTCTGAGTCTGATTGGTTGACTTTTAGATAGTTTCCAGGAAACAAACTTACAGTCAAAATAAATAAGATTTAACAAAAAGAGGAGATCAAGCATTGATCTTGATGTACACAATTATATAGTTTTCAGCTCTGATTCATTTGAGGCTTAGTTTGGGACCAGTGTAATGTTCCTTCGTAAATTTAGCAACCTATTTGTAAACTGAAATTAATAAAAGAACATCTTTAAAAAGGCTTGAACATTTCTGATTAACAAGAACATTTCTTTCTGATAAACTTGTTATACCACTGCAAACCAAGATAAAAGGGTTAAAAATAGTTTTGATTAGATGATGGAGCCAGGAGCCCTTATACCTTTCCCTGTTTATCAGGATCCTATTCTTTATTGTCAGGTACTGGTATAAATTAATTCACTCAGTAGAAGTGTTTTTCATCTTTTTTATTTTTCACACCTCGATGAAGATTTTTTTATAGCAAAAAAGGAATTTTCACATAATTGACTTTTTGTTTTTTATTTCATTTTTTTGAATGTATAAATTCATAAAATATGTTAAAAAAGTTTATTGCTTGTAAGAGCTAAAAGAATTGTATTAATGACTTATCTTACTCGTAGTGTGTAATGGTTAACTTTTACGTAAGGGTATAGATTTTGACAGGTGGATTTATTTATTGGATTGAGATTTATGGGAAAATGAAAAATTAATGTTATTAAAGTTAGTTGAACAGTTTCCCAACAAAAATATATTTTCAAGAATAAAAACATGCCATTAAAGAAATTAGTCAATCAATCAATCATTTAATTTAAATTAATTAGGTTGATTTTTTAATATCAAATTTTTAAATATTTCTACCTTACAGTCCTAATCAATGTAGTATACATAACGTTATATGGTTCATATTTTTCTTAAAGCATCAATTTTTTAAGGCATATCAGCAAGCATTAAAAAATTATAATCAGAACAGACCAGTTCCAAAGATTCAAATACCAAAATATAACCAGGTAATACATTTCCCAATAAAGCAGAAGAAAAACAAAATATAATTTTTATGAAAGGGAGAGGAAACATTTTCTCGGAGAAAATTTTTACCCCTTATTTGACATTATCCATAGTTATCAGTTATCCTGTTAAAATCCTTAATTATTCTAGAATTATTCTGACGCAGCAAGGAAGCAGGTTGCTTCTTCCACCACTGTCAGCAGTAACCTTGGTGGTAACACTATGCTGAACCTCAAGGCTTGGCCAAATCCAGCCAATTCAGAGGCACTCAAGGTCCTTTTTGTTTGTTCCAGGGGTATATATTTTCAAGAAAAAATTACAATTGAATTCAACCAAATTTATTAATTTCCTCTAAATATCTGTCTTTTCCTCCTAATTCAGCTTACCTATACAAACATTCCTAACANAACAAGAAAATTTAGGAAACATTTTCCCCTGTTTTGTTCATAGAACGCATGATTTTGTTAAAGTTAAATTTTAGGTAAAATTAATTTCCTTTTTCTTCATTTTACATTCAAAAGCTTTTAAAAGACTGTCGCCCTAATTTCAAGTGACCCACAATTTAAGGTGTTACATGCATGTTTCACAATTTTATTCGATTTACAATGATGAAAGTTATTGTAATTTTTCTTATAACAATTATCTCAAATTTCTATATTGTCTTAACTGCATTAAACCCCAAGTCATTTTAAGAGAGAACCTCGATTGAAAATAAAAATTCTTAAATAGCATGTATGCTTGTAGGTCTTCAAATGTGGACAGTCTCTTTAAGACATTAAAAATTCATCTCTAGGTCTCAGTTGTTGGGATAAATGGCCTTTCTAAGACACCAGTAGAACAGACGAATTCTAGTGCTTGCCAGGTGCGACATTTTTTAACTCAAAACATCAATAAAAAGATTTTAAATACAGCTATTTTTAGGAAGGATTGTGCGATGATTGTATCAAAGAAGGAGGGAAAATTGTCTACATTATTGGTAAATTATTACATAATTTCTTACAAGGTGCTTTTCAGCGCAAAGTTTGCACCTATTTATCTGATTATAATCTTCTTCTTTTTGTAATTTATTGTAATTTGCCCTTTTATGCTAAGATGACAATGCCCGATTTGCAATGGTACCCTTTAAAGCCTTGACTGATCAAGTATGAACTTTACTTTAAATTGCTAATTTGCATTTGTGATTTCTAAGACTTTTCAGAGAGTCTCCAGAAATGGAGATGTCTTGGGCAGGCCGCCTGGTTTTTAGAGAGTCTCCTGAAAAGGAGCTGTCTTCTGCAGACCACCTAGTATAAGTCTTCTCCCTAGGGTGACCAGTTCGGTCAGCCCATGGATACGTTTCTGCGGCTAGGAGCGCCGACCCCTATTTCATTGAATTATGGGTTGTCCTTTAATAATAATAATAATAATAATATCTTCCAATTTTTTGATCAGATTATAAGGTTTCAATGGTACCATTGTAAAAAGGCACTTGAAATTACGCTTACAGTCTGTATAATGTTTAGAAAGTGATGAGGAGGATGCTGTTGATCCTAAAACTGGGGAAGGGTAAGTGCTTTTCAAGCTTCCTACCTTTATATTGTATATTTTAAAGAGTCCTATTGGCTATATACTTTTAGTTATAGTAACTTGATGGCGGAAGAAGGCGGAGGAACTGAAGGAAAGGATTTGGGCTTTAGTCTGGGTCTTCCTCGAGGCGGAGGAACCGCGGGAGTCACCGGAGTATCGCTGAAAACAGGTTTAAGACGATCTACAGAAACTACGTCCTGTTTTGAACCAATCTGGATGCGGAAGAATTTGTCCTGTCTGTCTAACACCAAAGGTGGAACTGGGACTCAGCGTTGATGAACCAGGATTCGCAGCTGTCAGGCCAGAAAACAGGCAGTTTCAGAGCAACTGCATAGAGCTGGCTGGGAGAGGAATCCAACTGGCTTGACGCGCCTGTGCTCAAAGCTGGATCTCCAGGCATCGTGACGCTGAAAAAGAAAGCACTGTTGAGCTAGGTTTTCGCTTACTGTGATAGCCTGTGGAGAAAACAGGGAGGCTGGTTCACTTTTCAGCCGAAAATAATACTAGCGAGCAAAACAGGACACTAACTCAAAACACTGAGTTTTAGGTGGAAAAATACAACGCGGTGGGTTGTTTAACTTTGGACTTATAAAGAAACGTATTCACTAGTCCGGGGTCACCAATTTGGCGGATAGCATAAGACGAGGATTTAGATAACGACTAACTATATTTTAAATATAAAGTTACAAAGTTAGAAAAATATATATATCTCGTGGCTTCTAGAAACTCCCCTATTCTTCTCCTTGCCGCGAGAAGTTCTTCAAGGAAAGACGACTTTCATAGCCGCCACAAATTCTATGTTTTTTGAAGATTGCAAGTTTGTTTAGTTCTTATAAATATTTCTTTTCAGAATTTTATTATTTTCCCCTAAAATCATTTTTTTCCCGAATTGAACGGGGAAAAAAACGGGAAAAAATCATTTATATTTCAAGAAAATATACATCCTCTGCCTTCCTTTATTTTCTGGTAACCGCCTTTATTGCTCAATGCTCAAAACCAACATATTCATTTAGATCAAAAAAAATTTTTTACTCATTTTTCATAGAAAACCTAGTTCATTTTTTTTGAGTGGGGCGGGAGGGGGGGTCTGGACATTTGCTGTAGAATAAGTTCCTTTAAATGAATTACTTATCCCAGTGTGAAGAGTAAGTGTTCAGCATGTGGAAAAGTTCTCCCTGCATCCAGTATCTCGCTATCTTCTCACAACTCTGAAGAGTAAGTTCATAATATATATTGAACACATATTTTACTAAGTTCCATCTTTAGTTTTGGGCCTTATTTTTTTGGTATAAAAACAAATAAGCAAATTAACCAAATATATTTATTGAAGCTTAGTATGCCCAATAATAAGCTTCAATAAATATACTTTGACTTGAAATATCCAGTTCTTGGTTTATCTTTGTTCTTTTTCCTTAAATGCATTTATTTTTCTTGAAAAAATCAGCATGTTGGAATAAATTGTTAATAAACCCCAAAATGGATGATATGTTTTCTACCTGTTGCTCAGTTAGATTGAATTACACGTTTTAATGATTTTTGATAAAACCCAGTTTAATAATCAAATGTTCAGTATGCTTTCGGTGTAGTTCTTGGCCTATACAATATACATTAGTAAAGAATTAGTGTACATTATTTATTTTTAAACTTTGTTGGAAAACCCTCATTTAATTGAAGAAAGATTTGTTTACTGCAATTTTGTTTCAAATTGTTTCTAACATAGTGTGATGATGCAGATACGGTTCAAAGGTCAACATCAAATATAGTTTTTTACCTGTAAAATATTTTTTATTTCTCAAAATTTTAAGACCTTTTTTGAGAAAAGTATCAAAAACATGAATTTACCACAATTTTTATTATTAATTTCCCCAACGAAGGTGCAATGAACAAGTTAGTAATGTCGACTTTGAATTAAGTTTAAAATTAAAAAGTGACATAATTAATTCTTAAGGCAAAATAATCGAAAAAGTTGAAACTTTTTTTTGTTAACTTTTTTGTTAAAAATGATATTTTGAAAATGTACAGGGTGAGTCAAAAAAAGTGTGATTAGCGGCGTCTGGTCCAAAGTTGTGCCTTTTTTGTGCAACTCTCCTGTATGGTGTTTTTTCAATATTTTTTGGAAATTTAAATTTTTGCCCTAAAATAAGTCCCCGAACCTTTTTTCTCTCAAAATCAAAAGTTTCGAAAAGCCAAAAATGTGTATATATATTATTTCTATCAAATTCTAAAATTTTATAAATAATAAATCACAGAATCACAGAACTAGACCAGAACTGAAAATTGCGAACAGTTTTGCAAATTTTCTGTGATTCTGTCATGCAATATTTATAAAATTTTAGAATTTGATAAAAATAATATATATACACATGTTTGATTTTCTGAAATTTTGATTTTGAGAGAAATAAGGTTCGCGGACTTTTTTTCGGGCCGTATGAGTACCCCAAAAAATTAAAAATTTCCAAAAAATATTGAAAAAACACCATACAGGAGATTTGCACAAAAAAGTACAACTTTGCATCAGGAGCCGCTAATCACACTTTTTTTTACTCACCCTTTATATTTCAGGAAGACCAGAGCTTTAAAACTCTCTAAAGGTAAGTAAATACATTTTAAAAAATAATTACAACTGATTATATTAAAACATATTAAGAAATAAAACTTTACCCAATTGGGAGACAAGTTGTTTAAGATGTATGAGGATTGAAATACTTTGAGAAGAATTCTATTCAAAATAAAAAAAGGACTCCCTACCAATTTTTTTTCCGCAATTTCAATGTTTTTTATTACTCACTAGCTTGAGAACCCAACGTTGCCATTCACAGGGTTTTCATAGTTACTCCCGCCGTTGACTATAAAAGTTGATCCACTGTACTTAATTTCTCTAAAACAAGCTAAAAAACATTTCCGTGCTTCTCCAAGTTCTCCAATAAAGAATTTGAGGAAAATTGGTCAAGAGGTTCATGAGTTATGATCGGACATAAACACCAACAGAGATTACAACTTATTATCATAAAGATGAACCAATTCAGATAAGTCATCAAGCGGTGGCGGCCGACGAACTAGAAAATGTTGGAACTGTAAAGTCACAAAATGTTCCTCCTGGTTTTCACACAGGTAATTTTGGACATGGGGCTGTTAACTTAATTTAAGGTTGGCCTCCATTTAAATATTCCGATAAATATTCCTCTCCACAACCATAACCTTAGAGAACAGAATCTGTTCACAGTTGTTCAAGCCAGGACGGAGAGGTTAAGGAAATCCTCTATAGTTTATATCCAGAGATTACTGAATAATAATAGATGAACATATATATGCTTTTACCAATATGACAAATTTAAAATGTATACTCTTGTTTTATATGAATGATAATCCTTGGATTTTTATCATAATTAACTCTATTTATTTATTTATTTATTTATTTATTTATTTATTTATTTATTTATTCACTTTGCTAATGAGGAAGATATTTATTTTCTTTCTTGACTCTGCTGCATTAAGAAGTAAGTAACTTTTACGGAGAACCTGCAATGAAGATTTTCCATTTTAATTGTTCAGATGTGGTGTTATAGTTCTTTAAATGGAGGGTTGTTACTTGATATTTACTCAACAATTTCTATGCACAAATAAATTTTTTTTTGTGTGTGGGGGGGGGTGAAAAAAGAAAAAAATGGAACTTTTACAGTAATACAGTAATTAAACCATTAAACCACAATAGATATTTTTTTACTCGTTTAGAAAGTTTGTTTATTATTTTCAGGAAAAGATCAAGCACAGATCTGTGTGGTAACTGCTATACATATTTTAAATCCCTCTCTAAATCTAAGCAAGGTGTGTGTACTTTTAAAGGAAGTGTCCGCGAAAAATGAAAGGGGGTCTAGGTTTACATCTGTTGAAACCCTCCTATTGTTTTACCCTTCATAGAGCACTAATCCATTGATGTTTGATAAATTAAAGGGTTACCCACAAAGGATGAGACTTTAATGAAGACCATAAATTCGTTAAATACGACAAATTTGGCCAGTCAATTTGGAAATAGTCTTCGAAGGGTCTTTTGGATAATTTTGAAAAGAAATTTAGGAGAGAATAAAAATACGAAAACCTTGAATGTAAAAATTAAGTCTAAATAAATTCTGTGCACTCTTCTCTATAGTCTCAACATTTGTGGGTAGCCTAGTATTTAAATTTCCCTCAGTTAATTTTATTATCTCAAGCTTTGCCTGATCACAAGACTTAAAAAAAAGTCTCATCTCAAGGCAATTACAGAAAGAAAAGTATGTCGATTTCGTTAATGTAATATTTGAGTTCAGGTATTTCATCCAATCAGATCATACTTTTGAAGTTCTTGTATTTTCCTTTAATTTTTTCCTGCTTTAAAATTTATAGTTTATCTTCTTACTTTTTTTTCATTTCTGATCCCTTATGTTAGCGTTTTACACGTGCTTTGGTTTTTATCTATTTCTCCATTTTCCTTTTTTTAACTCTTTTTAATCACAATTTTCTCTGGATGGTTTCCACTTTGTTGTGATTTTCCAAGATTACTTCCGTACATTTTATAAATCTGTGATTTTATTGTAACCTCATAATCTACTTTTTTCTTTTATTTCTTTAATGCTCCCTTGATCTTGTTTTTTGTTTATGACAAGTAGTTCCTTGTCTTTCCCATCATTGGTGTTATGAGTTGTGGAATGTAGAAATTTTTTTTCAAAACACCTCTTTTTCTTTTTCTGCTTAACTTTTAATTATTAATTGAATAAACTTTGGTCTTATTTTGTACTTAAACCATTTTTTGTCTTTGGTGTCTCTTCAGAATGAAGGATGCTAACACCCCTTATTCTTTCAGAAAATCCTAATGTAAGCTTTTAAATATATTTATAATACTTTTTTTCCTTACTTTGTTTTCTCCCTTTCCTTTGGTTTATTCCCTTATTTAAATACACACTATTTGGAAGGTTTTCACTTTAATGGGATTTTCCAGAACACTTGGTATACCTTTTATACAGTGAAACGAGGGGAGGAAGGCCAACCACATCAATCTCTAGTCCGAACCACATTCTCATCATTTTCTCGTCTGAACCACATCGAAATCCTCGTCCTTTCAATATTATTTTTTTTAAGTGTCCGATTCTTGAAAATAAATACATTTTTTAAAAATATGGCGACGTTAGGGCATAAAACATGACTAGAATAAAGTTTTCAAAGGATTTTGAGATGTTGGAATCTTCAAATCCACGAGAATGATGTCAAACATTATTTAGGTTAAAAATTGAATCTCTTCTGCCTCCAAATTGGATAACTTTCACAAATAAAAATTTATACCAAAGAATTCGCGTGAACATGGTCTTTAATCTTTCCATTTCAACCCATACAAAATAATCATTGATTTCTGATTTATTTACAAATAAGGTAGATTTGTTGTCCCCCTAAGAAATCACTACTGCCTGCCGCATGCTTAAAATTATAGAAAAAATAATGTTCAATTTATATTATTCAAATCATTTTCTACAATTAATTGGTCACAACCCTATGAATTCAAACAGTATTTAATCATATAAAAATTTTAAGTCATATCTCTAACCCAAATTCAGCTGAAATATTACAAAAAGTTGTTTACATCGAGTTTGAGAATGTTTTGCGGCATTTTCCGCGAAAGAAAGGGCTCTTTACAGACGTTTTTTTGTAGAACATCGTTTATGGAGCATTTTCATTTTTACACAAATCTAAAATTTAATTGGGAAAATTTGATATTTCATTTATGCCCTAACGTCGCCATATTTTTAAAAAAATGTATTTATTTTCAAGGATCGGACACTTAAAAAAAATAATATTGAAAGGACGAGGATTTCGATGTGGTTCGGACGAGAAAATGATGAGAATGTGGTTCGGACTAGAGATTGATGTGGTTGGCCTTCCTCCCCTCGTGAAACCCTTAATAACGAATACATCGGAAGAATTTATCAAATGTCGTCTTGACAATTTTCAATGAGTTTTATACTATATTACGTAAATTTTAGTATTTGCGAAAAAAACTAAATAGTTATGAATATGCGGGAACAGTTTTAAATTTTTCCACTTCCATATAATCATTTAATTAAAACACTAAATATCTGCAACATTCCATTATCAGAATATGAAGAATACGACATTTGATGAATTCTTTCGATGTATTCGTTATTAAGGGTTTCACTGTATATTTAATGTATTTTACATTCACATCTTCTATTACATTTTACTTTGATTTTCTCTTTTTGTTCTCCAATAGTTGTTTATGATTGGGTGTTTACTTGTCATCACAGTTTTAATATATAAATTTACTAACATTAATTTTTCACATTTTCTAACTATTGTTAAAACCACAGTTGGTTTTCCCCACTTAAAACAAAATTTCGAAACTGAAGAAATTACTTTTGAAACTATAGAAATTTTATTAGATGTTATTTTTATTTCATGTTTAGGGTCAACTTATCTCAAATCATCTGCCAGTGGTAAGAAGGAAGGAAGCTCCCAGGTTAGTGTTTATTTTACAATTTGACAAAAAAATCTAAATTTTCAGAATTTTAGAAGTAATGCTATTAGGTTACTCCGCCCGAGTTATTAGATGAGATAGAAAACCGGGAGATAACGGAGGAGACTACAGCTCAGCAACTTCCTACACATGGTATTTCTTCTATTGATCAGCATGGTGATCAAGCTGGGGTCCGTGAAACGTCTAATGTAAAAGTTGGATATGGTATTCTTGAAACTGTAAGTAGCACTGATATCTTGGAGCTTCCTGAGAATATCAAGGGACTTCTTGACACTAGAGACATCAAAAAGGAGAAGATGAAAGGGCAAAGTGTCAAAGATGATATCAGGGAGAATGACCCATCTTTTTCTAAAACTCATGTAGAAGTCTCGGATGGAATTCAGCTGGATAATGCTGACTCTGACTTTATTGAGGAAATATTGAATAATTGCAAACTAAATCTTGAGAGAACAGACCAAAAAAAGAAACTGCAGATCAAAGAAGAAACTCAAATTCTAGAGCACCAAAAACCATCTCAAGATTGTCAGGAAAACAAAAATCACCAAGGAAATGCAAATAAGGAAAATGCTCAACAACTGGCTTTAATAAATGTTGCTAGTGATGTCAGTAATAGCCAAGTGCACCCTGACAAAGCTACTATTGACGAACTTTCTACTACTAAAGATGATTTCAGCCAACCTGGTGCAGACGCGCATGATGATCAAGCACTTTTAGAAGAAACTGCCATAAATAGTATTTCTGTAAAGAAATCTTCAAATGTTCAACAGAATGATGTTTCTAATAAAGAAAATATGAATAAGTGTCCTATGCTCCAATCGTCTGTAGAGGAGAATTCAGGTGTATTTAAGCGTTATACAATTTATAGAGAAAAATATTATTAAATATTTTTTGTTTGGGGTGTTATCATAAATTTGAAGGTTTTAAGTCAACTCAGTATATTTAAGTTCCTCCAGTTTCTGATGTTTCCTTGAAACAGCTCCAAGGATTGGATGATAAAGCTATCTTACAGATTAAAGGCCCAAGTAATATCCAGGTAAAGCAAAATAATAAAGATAAATATAGTTATAAACAAATAAAAAATTTATTTATAACAGAGAACTGAAGAAGGTGCAGCAGCGAATCCAATTGTTGACGGATTTGAACTGGAACTCGATTTTTTGCAGCAACTTTTCAAATCACCAGAAAGAAACTCAAATCCTGATAATTCCTCTGCGGAATTTATGAGTAATTCTTCTGAACTTCTGGGGACACCACAATAGATTTTCCGGTCCTCTTGGGACAGATTTGTCTGGGTTGGGATAATGCTCCAGTAAAACTTTGGAATTAATTATCATTATCCAGATAATCTAGAACTTCTTGAGACCCAAGCGACCAGGTAACTTTTTAGAACTACATACTGCCGATTCACTGATTAAAATCCTCTGGAATTATTAACTTTAAATTATTGATTCAGAGGTTGAACAGTCGGTAGGTAGTTCAAAGTGACTTATATCCACATTTCATTAAATTTCGTCCCAGGTCGGGTTTTCTTAATTTATTTGTTCTCAATGCCATAGGGAAAAGTGTCAGCGATTTATGAAGTTAAAAATGACTTTAAGACACTCCTCAAAGATCGAGTATTTTTTTGTACCGCAAAATGAAAGTTCTATAGGTTTTCTTGATCTCTTTGCCAAACAAAATTATTATTATTTATTTTTATTAACTGTTCGTCTTCCCCTATAGAATGTTTATGATTATGACATTAATTCAAAAGAAGCCTAACTTTTTAACTATAATAAACAAATCAAATTTTTTAATAACCTCAACCTTACCTTTTAATGTTTACCAACGAACCAGGCAATCGTTATGCCCATTTCGAGCTTTTCAACTGTCGAGTGAAACTTATTTAATCTCCTGTTCAACGAAATAACCAATCGTGGGGGATAAAATAATAATGAAATTATTAGAACTCTCAATTATGATTTTAATTCTCTTATTTCTTACTAATGCTACGCTCGTGAGGTTTAGAACCCCAAAAAGGTCGAGGAGGCCCTTGGCTAAGTGATTTTCCCCTCAATTTAATTATCCTCCCTTAATCTCCCGGTTAAGTAGTAATTAATAGTTATAATTGAAGGACTTCTTTTTTTTGAAGTTACTTAAGTTACTAACTTAACTTATTTCAGGTGCTGTCGACTGAGAGATGACTACTCAGAATTTTGCCTTTACTTCAATTAAATCATTGTATTTTGTATACAATTTGTGAAATATTTTGATTATGCAGTCCCTAGTTTGATCAAACTTAATGTTTTAAGTACTTTCCCAAGGGCATTGTCTCAAGGGCAACTTCCCAGAGGCATTTTACCAAGGGCATTTTCACAAGTGATAACTTCCAAAAATGTGTATTTCCCAACTGGAAATTTCCCATTGGTTAGGTAAGTTAGGTTCGGCCTTTTGAGGCGCTGACTGCTGCAATTAGGGCCAAGCGCAAAGGCTAGAACATATTTGGGAAGTTGCCGATTGGGTTTTGCAAATTTGGGAAGTTCCAACTTGGGAAACGGCCTTTGGAAAAGTACTTAACATCTTAAATTAATTACTTTTTGTCTGTCTGGTCCCTAACTGTTAAAACCGAAGACGATTGAATCCATCCCCAACTGTTTCTGTGTCTTTACTCGGGTTTGGTTTGGATAATCTAAACAAGAAAACTAAAATCCTTAAGTGTATTTAAAAATAGTCAATTTTTTAATATTATGTCAAACTGAAGAATATTTTATTTATTTCAGTTCAGAACAATGAGAAAATAAGGAAAGATATTTGTTGTAAATCTGATTAAGTTATAATCAAGATTGTTCCAGAATTATGAGTGATACAGGAGGTAATAATTATTTATTTATTTTAAGATTTTACATCGAAACCGTAACATTTTAAGGGTCCGTCCTATCAATTTTGTACATGATCTTTTATTTTTCATTTTTCAACAAAAATATTATTATTGATTTTTTATTATTTTAGGTCAGGTTAGGTTAAGACAATTCCTGGGCCGAGCGCTGCGGCTAGGGCAGGGTATGGGGCCGAGCGCTGCGGCTAGGACATGCTAGGGGGCCGGGAGCTGCGGCCACATGATCAATTATATCCATGTGTTATCCATGTATAAAATTGATTAAAGGTCAGTTACAAAATTGATAGAAGGGGGGGGGGTCCAAAAATCGTATACGTACCCCCAAGAATAATATACGATGTATTCAAACAAACCAAGTAATTATTCATCACTATAATTAAGAAGATTTAAGTAACATTCAAGTTACAATTTAACATAATAGTATGATGGGCAGAAGCCCTTAACTTGTATGTTTAGTGTAAAAGAGTAATGTAAAGGTAGAGTAAAGGTAGAGACTAGAGGTAGATTACTAGTTAAAAACTCATTCCCATTTTTTTTAAATACATATATCGGCAGTTTAGGATGGTATTCTGTCGTGGTTTTCACATTGGACCTTAAAATTATTTTTGGATGATTTCTTGAAATTTCTAAACACCGCGTTTGGTTGAGTAGAAATGAATCATATGGAAGAAGATACCATAGTTAATTTTATCATATTTCAGTTTATATAAGTTAATAAACGTCAATGTCGTATACCTATTGTGGCTTAACTTATAGAGGTTTTGAAAAACCTTAAATAATCGTGTTGAACTGGAAAAAAATCCGCGAAAAGGATATTTTTTACTTTTCGTTATTACTAATTCCTGTCTTTGTTCTAGAATCTAGTGGTGGAGGATCTGACCAGCAGCTGGAGGATCAGGACTGGACCGGGTCCGAGGACGGATCAGAGGATGGAGGATATGCGGAATATTATTCATTTAATGACGACGAGGAGGGGAGAGCATCACAGGTTAGTTTGGTAAATGATTGGTTGGATAGTTGATTGGTTGGTTGATTGATTGGTTGATTGATTGATCAATTGATTGGTCAATTGATTGGTCAATTGATTGGTCAATNTTGATTGATTGATTGATTGATTGATTGATTGATTGATTGATTGATTGATTGCCTGATTGATTGATTGATTGATTGGTCGATTTGTTTCACTGAGGGTTTTTTTGGAACAGGTCTTGTAGAAGTAGTGAGTTTTTTTTAGCAATATTTGGTTTATATTGTAAAACCAAGCATCTTGAAGAGGAAACAAAAACATGAAAGTCTAATTTATATTCCCAACTCTTCTCTCCCCCCTCCCCTCAGAAATTACGTTTTAAAGCAGCATGAGTTACATTTTATCTACAGTGATAATCAGAAAGCTCTGGAATAGGAAGACGACTTTTGACTTCAGCTATGATTTTAAATAGTTTAAATAGTTGTTGCAGTGTAAACAGACCCATTTCACTTAAAAAGTGATTTGATAACTTACTAGTCACCAGGAAAGCTTACAGTTCATCAAATACACTGCTTTAAGTTTAATGTTGTCTTCCTATTGTACAGTTTTCTAGTTATCAAACAAAAAGTAAAATCGGTTTTCAATCAGTTTTCGTAGATTTTATTACTGTTTCTTTTTTAGTTTAACAACAACGACGACCCTGAATACTTCAGCTACGAATGTTTAACGGTGTTAAATGTAGAAAAGATATTTAACGAGTCCATAGAGCGTGTTAAATCTACTCTAGGCGTCTCACACGGTAGGAGATTTTTTTTATTTCATTTTATTTTTCTTCGTGGCTTCTATTATTTGTCTTGACCTTTACTCTGCAATCTTTATTTATAATCTACTAGTTGAAGTACCAAGCGTTACCTAGGGAATCTTTTTAAATCAAATTTTGAAGAAAGAATTTGAATTTTTGCAAGAAAAACTCGGATTTTTTTAGCCTATGTTACCCCCGGGGTACTCAAGGGTTCTCTTAAAAAGTGTCAGCCCATTCGGTCCAACCGTTTGGCCAGCTATAGCTAACATATATACAACTATATATAAGCGAAAAGCTTTATTATATAGATTATATAAATCTATTATTAGACATAATAGATTTTAGCAGTACAGTAAGCAATATATTTTTTGGGGACAATAACGCCTTCTGGAGCAGCTTTGCTGCCACAACTTTTCCTTTTCCACCTAAGCTAGTTGCCTTCAATGCTGATAACAGAAAACTTCAGAAGAACTTCATTGATACACTCGTTGATATCACCACCAAGATTAGAAAGATTGTATGACAACCATCCAGACATCCTAAGATCACCGGTCCTGTCGTCGATCACAGGTTAGGCTCGTGGAGAGAGAGAAGACCCAGTGATATGCTACACCTAAGTGATCATCTAAGGTTGAAGATAGGAAAGTCTGTCGTGGAATACTTTCGAGTGATTACAAGATCAAGGATAGCTCTGCCAAAAGTAAGAACGAAACACTAGCTGCTAATTCTCCAAAAACTGAATCTACAGTTTGATCTGATCCTGTACAGCTTCAATCCAATCCAACCTATATACTCTAATTCTAAGTTTCAATATGATATCCAGTTATTACACCCAGTAAATCTCAGGATTTGCGGAGCTATAGGCTATACTCTATTTCTAAATATCCAGATGATATCTAGTGAATCTTAAGATTTTCGGAGCTAGCGGTAATAAGTATGCTATTAATGCACAATTATGACGTTAAGTCACTTGTTAAAAAGTTTTTTCATTCTTTAAGTTCATTTTTGAATCAATTTAAAAGGCCCATATTCAATTACCGAAATTGAATTAGCCGATTACTTATTTTCTATATATTTATTTGTACGTTTCAAACATTTATGCATAATACTTTGTTAGTATGTTTTTTCGTTGATAAAAGTTTGAAGAGGAAGAGATATAGATTATTATTGGCATTAAAACTTTATAATCGTAAAAAAAAGAATTACTTTTCTTTAAAGATCATATATCTGATTATTATAATGATTTTTTTCTGTGAATAACCTAATATTATTAACTAGAATATTGATATCCTCCATTTGGGTGATTTTCCTTTCTTGTTTAAAACATAACATTATTTTTTTTAGCCTAAGACACTCCCCGGCTTCCCATGATTGGCCACAAAAAAATTCAGCCCAATCAGTCCAGCCGTTTGGCCGGCTATAGGCAACATATATATATACGAATGTGTTGTTTTATTATATAGATGTAGAAATGGTTTAATTATTGGACTACATCAAATAAAGTAAAGCTTCTTTTTACCAATTTTTTATTTTAGCACGAGCAAAACAGATTCTTCACACCTGTAAATGGAATATTCCTGAAATTATTAGCAAGGTAATTTTTTCTTAATCGGTTTTGAGGGGCATTTTGATAGATTGTTTTAAACGAAGTAATACTTTGGGTCGTAGTAAATTTGAATTCGAACAGGACCTGCCCAGTTTGTACCGGCCTGCCAGATACAGCGTGTACTGACCCGATCCTCTGGTACAGTACGTCGCCCTAACCAGACTAACATACGACAGGGGTCAATTTTCTTGGCATAGTCCCGTCGGAGGGCTAACTAGGACAACTCCTATGGCCCGTTCAGACTTTTTACAGTACTCGGCCTAATCCTAGGCCTATTTCACCGACCCCACTGGCTTAGTCCACCGTGAATGGTCTAAGCTGAGGGGGCTAAATATTTATATTTTCCGTTTCTTACATGTTTACAATTGTGTTACATAATTGATACTACATATATATTACATTAGATGAGTTACGGAAGTAGGTTTTGAATACTTTTTAGGGGACTAAATCTCCTGTTTCTTATTAAAGCATTGAACATTCTAGTACATTATAAGAGAGATAAATTTTTTACAACTTCTTGAATGATTTATACTTTTTTTAAAAAGCTTTGTTAAAGCAAAAATGATATTATTTTCCTTGTGGATTTTCTTTAAACACAACCATGCGGATTAAAGAAATGAAAAACCAATTGTAGAAAGATTTTCCTTATTTTTACTACAAGTTTTAAATTGTATCGGCAAAGTAACTTCCTGGTTATTCTTTATCATGTCAGCCACTCCATGGAAGTCAAAGCCGGAGCGTTAGGATTCATTAACTCAATTCCCAGAGGTCACAGGAGTCTGAAATTGGATTTTTATGTTTTCTCATTAGTTTTTAAAACTTGCTCCGTTTATAAAGAATTTCGAAAAAAGTGTTAATCATAAAAACGTGGAGAATCTCATTAAAAAGTTTATTATTTCAGTATTCCCCTGCTAGAACATCTTTGTCCCCCTCTACCTCCACCTCCACCTCCTCGACACAAATATACTGCGGAGTGTGTGCCAGCACACTCATAGATACAGACTTTGCATCTCCAAAGGTAGGAAGTGTGGGGGGGGGATTGAGAAAAACTTTTTAATGTTTATATATTTTTCTTTAAAACTAACCCTAACTTGCCTTAAAAATGCTTTTAAGAATAATGGTATGAATATAAGTTAAGTTGATTGATTAATAGAGTTTTAGGATTTAACAAAATAAATGTTTTAGGAATGTGGTCACAAATTTTGTAAATTCTGCTGGCAGATGCATTTTGAAATACAAATAAATCAGGTAAGCTTATGTTCCCCATGCCCCCCCCCCAGGGTCGTGGAGGGGCATTGGGTTCTGTAGATCAATAACGATAAGTCCGAAAACTTTGATCAGTCGAGAGTTCAAAGACTACTGTTGTGAATCGGCTTTGAAATTATGCTTTCAGTTTCTTTTGTTTAGGGAGTGTCTACTACGATGAGTTGTATGTCTCCGGGCTGTGATATTCTAGTTGATGAAGATCTGGTAAAAAAAAAAATATATTTAAAAATTAAAAGAATTTTTTTTCAACTAAATTTGATTCCGAAAAATCGTACAGAATCTGTTTTCAATCTGCCAGATGTTTAAATTCCTCAGAAAATGTTCAGACAAAGATATTTTTAAGTCAATAAAAAAAAATTTTCTTTTAGTTCATTTTTCAAAATAAGAAATTGTTTCTTTTTAGGAGTTTTTTTTACAATATTTGAATTTGATGTACAAGTTTTTGTAAATTTATTTAGTGTATTATATATATATCTTTTTATTTTTTCTATCTTTCTCTCTTACATTGTTTTTTTTTTTATTTTTTTAAATGTTTTAATAATTTTGAGGGAGTTTAAGCGTATTTTTATTTATCTAGGTGCTCAGTAACATGAGTAAACCTGGTCTAGCTGAGAGATATAAACATCTTTCTTTTCTGGACTATGTCAGGTGATTGATTGGTTGGTTGGTTGATTGATTGATTGTTTTTTTAAAGATTGCTTTGCTTGATTAATGATTGATTTGTTAATAGCTGTTGGTGGTGTAGGCGGTTGGTTGTATTATTAATTGATTGGATTGGTTTATTGCATTATCGATTGAATTACTGCTGTCTCTTCGATCAAATCACCAAAATATGTTAAATTTCCAGATGTCACCCCAATCTCCGGTTCTGCCCTGGTCCTAATTGTCCAATCGTGATAAAGGCTGCTGAGTGTGTTTCCAAGAATACAGTTTGTACATTCTGTAAATCCAGGTACTTTTAGGGCTTAGTTTTCTAGAATATGGGGCTTAGGGGCCATTCCGGGAAAAGGCGCTCAAAGGCCTTTCTGGCGAACCAGAGCTTTTAGACTGATTCATGAAAACAGGGCTATGGGGCTATGATAGATTGAGTGATTAATTGATTGATTGATCGATATATTTTGTATTGTGTTTAGGTTCTGTTTCAAGTGCGGATATAGTTACCATGCCCCGACTGATTGTGAGACTATAAAGAGATGGTTGACAAAGTGTGCCGACGATAGCGAGACGGCCAATTATATATCAGCAAATACTAAGGTACAGGAGATGGGTAAAATTACGTGAAATATCTGTATATTCTAGGACTGCAGTGTAATATCTGTATATTCTAGGACTGCAGTGTAATATCTGTATATTCTAGGACTGCAGTGTAATATCTGTATATTCTAGGACTGCAGTGTAATATCTGTATATTCTAGGACTGTCCGAAGTGTAATATCTGTATATTCTAGGACTGTCCGAAGTGTAATATCTGTATATTCTAGGACTGTCCGAAGTGTAATATCTGTATATTCTAGGACTGTCCGAAGTGTAATATCTGTATATTCTAGGACTGTCCGAAGTGTAATATCTGTATATTCTAGGACTGTCCGAAGTGTAATATCTGTATATTCTAGGACTGTCCGAAGTGTAATATCTGTATATTCTAGGACTGTCCGAAGTGTAATATCTGTATAGAGAAGAATGGAGGATGTAACCACATGCAGTGCTCCCACTGTAAACATGAGTTTTGTTGGATGTGTATGGGAGACTGGAGAACACATGGCTCAGAGTATTACGAGTGCTCAAGGTAAAATATAGTAAGACCCAATATAAATTGGCAGGGGGTGTATAATTTTAGGAATTACCCCCCTCCTTGCTGGGGAATTTTAATTGTGACATCAAAATTATTCTTTTTGATACGTTGTCCCAACAAAAAATCATTTTTTTCCCCAATTCATCATAAAGAAGAACGGCACTCCGCCCCGCGCACACTTATCTAACTTCTGGGGGGAAATGATTTTCAAAGAGGGGGGGGGGGGTGATTATACAAGAAAAGAAACACAGCATTTATGCAGCTATATATTGCAGCCATATGGAACATGAAACTAACAGAATTAACTTATCTTAACAAATATCCTCCCTCCTTTGACCATCAATGATATTTAGAAACACGGTTCAACCCTGTAGTAAATTTCTCTGAAAATAAAATAGATTATATTTACGATTTGTTGTAATATAACCTTTGGAAAACTTCTTCACACAAGAAGTTTTGGCCTGTCGGCTCCACTCTACCTTCAGATCTTGACAGGGGTGTATATTTTAGGGGGAACTTCCCTCCCCCGCCTCCTATTTTAAAATGGTCTATTTCCTAGAGGTTTGTCGAGAAAAAAGGTTTTATCGCTGAATTATGAAATAGAAGAAAATGATTCATTTTTGGGTAAAAAAGTTTCAAATGATTGATAAAAATTGCCTATTGATGCCAAATTTTAAATATTTTCAATTCATCAAAAATAATCACACACACCCCCACCCCTCCTTGTGGGGGGTCATTCTTAAAAATATACACTCCTGGATCTTGGGATTATTGTTATTTTCATAGAAATTCACTGTACAGTATAAACCTAGCCAGGCAAAATTAGGAGAGTTATGCCCGCCCCCTGGGTTCATGTTGTAGGCTAAAAAATATGTAAATGTTAAAATCATAATTTTTCAAAAAAAGTAAAAAATTCGGGAAGCAATTTTTTTGTATAACAACGCTATCACCAGGTTTTTATTTACCTTGTATAATATATATTTTCTAAATCGGGCATTGCCATCTCTGCATGGAGGATCACCTGAAATTATGCTTATATAAGATAAGATAAGATAGGATCTGAAGACCCCCCCCATTATATGCTTATAGTCCCTTAAATCAATAAATTATTTGTTTAGGTATAAGGACAATCCAAACATTGCACATGAGTCTGCGCATGCGCAAGCCAGGGAGGCGCTCAAGAAATATCTTCATTATTTCGAAAGGGTAAGTTTTTTTCTCTTTAAGGTAAATAAGCAAAATTTTCAAAAATATGTCTATTTCCATATTTTTTTTTGATTTTTTTGTATATACTTTTAATGGTTGGTAAATTAGCGTGTTTCTATAAAGCACAAAAAATCTATTTTTTTTAATTCAACAAAACAAAAAAACAGGAAAATCTGCGAAATTTGATATTGTTATTTGTTAAATGTACAAAAAGATAATTCTTGAAAGTAATCATTTAATTGAACTTTTTACTGGAGAAGGATCTCTTGTAAGCCGTAAAGCCAAAATGTAATAACAAAAAAAATACTAAAATAGTTGTCGGATTTTTGGCAAAACTGTATTAATAATAATAATAATAAAAGTGATTATTAAAGAATATTATTTTAGTTTTTTTTTGTAGAATCTTCATGATAAATAACCTTGGCTAAGTAAACAAGCAGTCCCCCCAATTTCCCAGATAGAATATAAAATCTTTTCTGTAAATACCCGTGGCCTTGAGGGCTTGCAAACTGTGTTTTGCTGAATTATGTCAGAAAACTAACTAACCATGCTATCCTCTCTTCCACTGTTAGAATCATGTTTTTAAAAACGGATTTGACTAAATATCAGGTTTCGCGCATCTTGCGGATTTTATAAAAAAATAAACATTGAATTAATTATTTTTGCCAAGTTTTGGGTTACTTCCATTAAAACCTTTAATCTTTACAGGGCTCTAAGGTTTTTATAACCTCTCATTATCCAATATTATCCTACAAAAGTATTTTATTTGATATATTACCATTAAATCCGGATCCGGATTCTCGATTCCAGGAGTCAAAATGTTGCTAATCCGGATCGTAATTAAAATGCATGCATTTGAAGTTAACATTATATTTCAGTGGGAGAACCATTCTCGAAGTATGAAACTGGAGGCTGTCACACTCGATAAAATTAAAAATATTATAACGGTAATAATATTGAAAACTTTTTAATGGTTAATAAAAATACAAAAACAAAAATTCTGTATAAAAATGCATATTTTTAATAGTCAATTGCTTAAAATTACATTGACTATCTCATCTGACCCATTAAAGGGAGTGACCGGCAAATTTCATCTAAGATAATGAGTAATGACCCAATAAAGGGAGTGACCGGCAATGTATGGGGGTTGAACTGAGTATGCATTATAGTAGAACATTTTTTAGGATTCATTTGAGACATATGAAACGTTTCCACGATGTATAATCAATGAGTTTGAGTGCAAAGTCGACGTTCAAAATTATTTAAATTATTTAATAACGACGACAAAAAATATTGTAAAAATTCATAGTAAACTAATTAGATTTTTATGAACATATTTCTTAAAAGAAATTTGCCAATAAATCAACGAGAATCAATTATTTCGTTTACATCATTATATTGACTTTCTTATTTTCTATAAATTTGTTCGCAGATTTCTACAAATTCTTCAAATGTCGTCTTTTCAAAAAAAATTCCAGAAAATCTGCAGAAAATCTTTGTGAATAATGAGAGATTATAGAAACTAATAATTGAGTAAGATTATTTTTGATGATAAGAGATAATTTTTATTTTCTCAACCTGTTCCTAAATAACTAATTAGTTTACTTTAGAAATTTGTTTATATTTTTTGTCGTCGTTATGCAATAGTTTTAAAAAACGATTCTGAAAAAGTACTCACCCAAATTCATGATTTTGAACGTCGACTTTGTGCTCAAACTCAGTAAATATACGTCGTTGAATAGTTCCATATGTCTCAAGTGAATCCTAAAAAATTGTCAACAATACTGCATTTACAGTTTAACCACCATACATTGCCGGTCACTCCCTTTAAAAACTAGACTATTTTAGTGAAAAATAAAATAAAAATAAAAAAGGCTCAATTGAAAAAACAGCCAATTCTCAACTTGTAACCCCCGGTTTTGCACTTCTGTTTCAAATAGTTATTTCAGCATATGACTCGTTATGCTTAGTGGAAACTTTTAGTTTAAACCGATTAAGTACTTAATAATAATCAATGAAAAACAGCTGAAGCGTATTTTCTTGATCTCTCATTGGTAGAGAGCCGATTTTTCATTGGCTTTTTATTAATCATACCTTCAGAAATATCACAGAAGGATTGGTTTAAGTCGTCGAATTATTAAACATACGGATTAGTGAATTATTAAGGTCCTACCTCTGGTTACATAGTGAAAGTGCATTTAAAAAAAAAATTTAGGAGAAAGTGATGAGTAGCTGTGGAACCTGGATAGATTGGCAGTATTTGATAGATGCAGCTAGTCTACTAGCTAAGTGTAGGTAAGAGAACTATGAAATAATGTGGGGGGGGGGACTAGTGAGTGTTTTCCCTCAATTTTGATGATTTTTATTCAACAAACAAATATTTAATTTCCCATGCATCAGATCTTCAGATTTCCTACTGCGTTGTGAAATATTTATTCACATACAGCAAGAACCAGAACATTGGAATAGGAAGACGACATTATAGCAATACTTCAGTTTATTTCAGAAAAAAAGTTTACTAGTAACTTGTCAAATCACGTTTCAAGTTAATTGGGCCTATCGACACTGCACAATTGCCGTGTCTCATGTTCATTGTACTATCAAATGTCATAGTTTGAGTCTAAAAGTCGTCTTACTATTCCTGAGTTTTCTGGTACTCGCTGTATAGAGACTAAAACTTTTGGTTTGGTTATAACTTAGTCAAAAGGCGTAACTCAATATTCATGGTGTACATTTGAAGGATTTTTTAAAGATAGATTTTTCAAGATTTAATTTTATTGAATGGCCGGCTGTGTCCGACAGCAGGGAAATTAATCCATTAAGCGCGTTAAATGAAAATATTTAAAATCCAAAAATTGCGACCTCTGTTTGTTCAGGTACACTCTCCAGTACACATATCCGTACGCGTACTACATGGACCCCAGCTCTTCCAAGGAACTGGTAAATATTTATTTTATCTGAACTAAATGTATTTTTATTACGGTGCCCATGGAGTTTAAAATTATTTTTCAAATTATGATTTTGAAAGAAAATAAAATCGAATTTGTTTAGCCTATGTCACACCCAGGGTACCCACTATCCATGGTTTTCCTAAAAAAAAATGTCACAGTTGTATCCGATCAGGCCGAAATATTGTATCCAATCAGGCCGAAATATTGTATCCGATCCGGCCGAAATATTGTATCCGATCAGGCCGAAATATTGAATCCGATCAGGCCGAAATATTGTATCCGATCAGTCCGAAATGTTGTATCCGATCAGGCCGAAATATTGAATCCGATCCGGCCGAAATATTGTATCCGATCAGGCCGAAATATTGAATCCGATCAGTCCGAAATGTTGTATCCGATCAGGCCGAAATGTTGTATCCGATCAGGCCGAAATATTGTATCCGATCAGGCCGAAATGTTGTATCCGATCAGGCCGAAATATTGTATCCGATCAGGCCGAAATATTGTATCCGATCAGGCCGAAATATTGTATCCGATCAGGCCGAAATATTGTAACCGATCAGGCCGATATATTGTATCTAATCTATATCTTTTTCCTAATATGTTTGATTGTTTCTCAAATTTGAGACGGGGCTCAAATTCTTTTAATTTGGCCATGGTGTTTTTTTATTTATTTTTATCTGAAATTATTATTATTAGTTTGAGTACCAGCAAGCCCAGCTAGAAGCCGAGATTGAGAATCTCAGTTGGAAAATAGAACATGCCGAGACCACGGACAGGTAAATAATTATATTTTGTATCCCTGCTACATAGAGACCACAGAAGTTTTGAACAAGGAAGATAAAGTGGTTTCTTCTTTTTGGGGTTCAGGGTCTAGCCAGTTCATTATCCCGCCGGGAGTTTAAGCAGTAATACTAGTTTTTCAATCTAAAGAGAAAATTGTTTTATTTAATACGAAAAAAAATGACTGAATATATTCCTGTCGGTTGATTTATGCTATCTTTTCAAGCATCCCCCTTCTCCATTCCTTTAGTTTATAACTTCTTCTACAAGTGCAATTGATTCTAAAGTAAGTTTCCAACAAAAGAATTAAATTTAATTGAAATGTTTCTGAGTTTACATGGAGAGACTGTACTTGACAGTTTGAAATTTGGCAACTTTTCAAAATTTAAAAATACGAACAAAAATTCGTTGATAAAATGGGGTTAAACAGCTTAAACTACTAAGAAATAGAAAATATAGATATTTATTAAGAAAAGTTTACATAGTTAAAAAAGGTATTAATATTTTTTTCAAAAAATGGGATTTTAGGGGGGGGGGGGCACAAGAAAAAAATGTGCACCCACCCCGCTACACAAATGTTCTCGTACCCCCTGACCATGGTATCTATATTTTATATTTACAAATTAATCCTGCGAATTGAAATCTCATTTTCGGAAAATTAACCTCTAAATATAGAAAGAGAACTGTCCCTTTACTTCTCCCAATTATTCGCTTCTGTTGAAAATTTCAAACAAGTTAATTAATTCTTTAATGTTTAATTAGTATTTTTGATAAATTAATTAATAAATTAATTGTTCAGAGGAGATTTAGAAAACCAAATGGATATTGCAGAAAAGCGAAGGTAGGTTTTAATAAAATCTATTTTTTTTAAATCGAGTTATTTTTTTTAAAAACAAATATATTTGCTTGCATAAAATTAAAGTCACAGTTCAGTTTATATACAGTTGTCGGCGTTTATATCAATCAATGAAGACGACTTATCTGTTTTTCTAACAAATTTTTTTAATTTACAAGCTTACAAGTAAACCAAGAGATTGATTGTGATTGACAGCTTTTCTATGTTTTCCATTTTATTTTGGTAAACCTCAAAAGATGTCTTCATTTTGATAGATACCACGACGACTGTTGAATTACTACACTCCTAACCTGTAAGCTTTGTTTACAATCTTTATTATTTTTCACACAAGCCTAGTTATTAAGCTGTTTGATTACGTCACAGCTCTAGGGTTACCCACAAAGGATGAGACTTCAGAGACGATTCTACGGAATTTGTACTGTACCTTTTCTTATATTCGCGATTGCCTGTGATTGTATATACATGTTTCTTTCTTTGCAAAATCAATACAGAAGCCATTCAAAGACTGCTCGCTCTTAAGGCAGAAGACTCTAAATTCGTTATATTTCAAGAGTTTCAGGTCGTCTTTATAGTTTCCCCCGTTTAGGGTCACCCTCTTCTTATGTTTCACAATTCCGTGTTTTAACTCCAATCCTATTTAGAACCAGTCTGCTGAAGGATTTCCTGAAAACGTAAATAGAAAGACTGAGTTGTGACAGTTTGCGGGAAGTGTGGGAATTACCGCGAATTTTCGTAAAAAATTGAGAGTGCTGAATTTTAAGAGATTTGTCACCAAGTCTTTATCTTGTTACCATCTTGAGTCGAGTATTAATGCCGATCAAACCGAGCTTAAGTTCAGTATCCAGAGTTTAAAACTAGTTTTATCTCCCCGCATCAACTCGTGAATCTGTTGGCAAAATGATATTAATGTAAGAATGTAAATATACAGAGTGATCCACATTTTAATGCATAAAACTTTTAGTTTTTTTTGGTTCAAAAATTGTTAATTACTGATTTGTTTCGAAATTTTTTACATGAAATAACACATGGATGACCCTGTATAAATTACATCTGCATCTTGAAATTGTTTTCTCTAAAACTCGATTACAGTTTAGAAAGGGAAATAGAACCTTGTCTTTTGAAGGCCTAATTGAGAAGTCAATGTTGCACAAATTTAATTTTTTTATTTAAAACCTAATTCTTTACATGCACAAAGGTATCAGAAGTCCCAAAAACACTGTATTTTAGTGACAAATTTAAATTGATTTTAAATTTCGAGTCAGCATCAAAATGGAACGGATTCTAAGTTTTTTTTAAATATGGTCTACCTCCTTCGTATCTTACAAAATGTTCGATTTTTAATTAAAAATCGAAGAAAAAAAATATTGTTCTTTACCAAATTTTGCAAAATCTAGTAGAAATGAGTGTTTATTTTTATTATTTGGTCCAAAGTTTGATAACAGAGAAAATTATGTTGCACTGGTTAAAGATTATTTTGAGGTTGTCATTTCTTGAATTTTCATGTTTTTTTTGGGACTCTCTGTATCGTCAGTTTTAAATAAATTCTGAACCAAATATATTTAGATAAATTTGCTAAAAATGAATGCAATAAAATCTTTTAAAAATTAGTTTATGCCCTTTTTGAAAAATTTACTTTAGATCTGAATTTGTTAGGATAGGTTTATTTCTCATATCGACAAAAATGTTGGCATTATATTGTACTACGGTTTATATCAAATTAATGTTCATATAATTTTTATGATTTGAGCAAGTTAATCCTCTGTCACGAAAAGAGAAAGTCAAATAAAATTTTTTAGCTAAATATTTTGAAAGTTTTTTAATTTTTGTCATGTACTTGTAATTTTTGTATCGTTTAACCAGTTAATAAATGGTATTAGTTTAATTTGTTTAATCAGCTCAAATTAAGAGGTCAGAACGTTAGAGGGAAGGTACGTCACACCATTTTTTTCGTACGACCACAGATGACGTCAAAACTCAACATAATCTTGTCTGGTATTGTTTTAATTCCTTAGATTTAAGATACCAGTAACAAGGTATATAGAAATAAACGATTATCAATCAATCAATCAATGTTTTAATTCCTTTATAAGTACTTAAAATTTTATATTCGAAAATTGAGACACGTAAAAAAGTAATGGTGAGTTGTGACGTCATTTGAGGTGCGGACGAATAAATGGCGTGGTCTTCTCTCGCTCTCGGATCAGAACCTTTACGTAGGGGAAAAGGGCGAGTCAGTGTTTCTAATTGTTGCAAAAGATCGCATAAGAAATGCGTTAGTCATTTCTGTAAAGAATCCACTATTAAGAATAATTAGTATTTAAAATTTACAAGCGTTGATATCCTGTTAATAATAGACCTGCGCATTTTGCTGCAAGAAAAAAATATAGGAATTGTCAAAATTAAACACTTTTAGCTAAACAAAACACGTTCCATATTAAATTGATCAGATAAAGGTTGTAAATAGGGGATTCTGCTCTTTAAGTGGAGGGTCACTTGAAATTACGAATTGGCAGTCCTTTAAGAGAGGAGGTTAGGTTAGGAGGTTTCTATTTTTATATGTTTTTAAATTGGAGGGGGGGGGGGGATATTCCTTCAACCTCTGAATCTACGTGATTAGTTTAGTACAGGGTGTCCCAAAAAACATGGGAATTCAGTGACGAATTCGATATCGTCTTAGTTATGAATTAGCATTGTAATACCTAATTTCAAAACCCATAATATTATTATGTCTGCTAGAGTTTATTTTATGAAAAGAGTAAAAGACTGTAAAGATGTGTCTATAATGTCTCCGCAAGATGAACAGTGAAGACGGTTAAGTTTACTCTGTTAGTATACGGCAATTTTCTTGTTTTACTAAGTACAACCGTATGCAGTCAAAACATAACCAAACAAAATATGAACATAGCAGACGAAAATCTTACAGGTTACAGCTTTCTCAGTAGGTATCACTATACTAAATCAAAGAATTATTTAAAAAGACGATATCGAATTCGTCACTGAATTCCCACGTTTATTGGGACACCCTGTATTAGAAACATGTTAGAAATTAATTAAAAATAAGATTAAGACGAGGTTGATTAATTATTGGATTTATATCGATTAAAGATTTTAAAAAGGTTCAGATTCAGATTAGGTGTCAGAGTTTGAATTGAAATACGTCTAATATTCAGAATCAAGTAAGGTTATGGATTAAAAATGGGTTTCAGATCAGGAACAGAATCTAAAACTCAAGAATGCGCGAAGTTGAAGTAATAGCTGAAAAGTTCTGAAAAATGATTAATTCTAGGTTGAATTAAGCTTAAGCACAGACTCTTATTAGATTAAAAAACTTGGGGTTTGTGAATACGAAAAAGCTGCATCAGTTCGCATAGCTAATCATATTAAATTGATAGAAAATAATGTTAACTCGTCGATTTCGGTGAGAGACATATTTCATTCAAAGTCACGAGAGGCATTAAAGCTGAAACTTAACATTTAAGTAGAAAATTTTCGTTTTTTACTTTTGGACTCAGGTTTACCGATAGATTAAGAATTGGAATCAGGTTTACCCATAGATTAAGAATTGGACTCAGGTTTACCCATAGATTAAGAATTGGACTCAGGTTTACCCATAGATTAAGAATTGGACTCAGGTTTACCCATAGATTAAGAATTAGTTCGAGATTAAATAGAAGTGGATGGTTCAGAATATGTTTAGATTTAACTTTGGAAGAAGAACAGGTCGAGGATTAAGAAATTAGAATGGGTTAAGATCAAGGATAAGTTTAAGACAATAAGGAACGGAGTAAGTCCTGATCAAGTTGTTAAAGGGACTGTAAGTGTAATTTCAAGTGACCCTGCATGCAAAGATAGCAATGATCGACAGCTTTGGCTGATATAGAACAAATTAGACATCAATGTCTTGTTTCTTTTATTTTCATTTGCGGTTTCTCTGCGAAAGTGACAGGCGCATTCCTAGCTTATAAGAAGCAATGGAGAAACTCAAAGAATCAATAAACACTTCTCAAGTCGGAGAAACGACATTATCTTCCACATTTTGATCAGATTAAGGTTGTAAGGGCACCGTTGTAAATCGGACATTGCCATCTTTGCATAGAGGGTTCCACAAAATCATGCTTACAGTCCCTTTCATTGGATGTAAAGTTTTAAAACTAGAGTTTCCGATAAAATAGTTCTCTAGATAAATTTAATCAAAGAGATATAAACTAAACAAAACTTTAAACTTGGTTTAGATCCGACCTGGGGGAGACAGAACTACGAGTTTTTCGACCTGGGGGAAACGGAACTACAAGTTTATCGACCTGGGGGAAACGAAACTACAAGTTTATCGACCTAACGCAGTATTCTATAATTTATATAAATACTAATTATTTTCTGGAAAATTCTGGAATCGAAAGACGACCTTTAGACTCAAATTATCGAGTGACATTTTAATATTCTGGTTATTACTGAACCTTATAGGTGGGGTTTCTTAGCAATAGTCTCTAAAAATACAGTGAAACCCTTAATAACGAATACATCGAAATAATTCATCAAATGTCGTATTCTTCACTTTCTGATAATGGAATGTTGCAGATATTTAGTTTTTTTAATTAAATGATTATATGGAACTCTTCAAACCCGTTCCCGCATATTCGTGGCTATTTATTTATTTTCGAAAATACTGATATTTACGTAAAATACAGGGTGTCCCAAAAAACATGGGAATTCAGTGACGAATTCGATATCGTCTTTGTTATGAATTAGCATTGTAATACCTAATTTCAAAAGCCATAATATTATTATGTCTGCTAGAGTTTATTTAATGAAAAGGGTAAAAGACTGCAAAGATGTGTCTATAATGTCTCCGCAAGATGAACAGTGAAGACGGACAAGTTTACTTTGTTTGTATACTTTGTATACTATACTTTGTATATTTCTTGTTTTACTAAGTACAACCGTATGCAGTCAAAACATAAACAAACAAAATGTAAACATAGCAGACGAAACTCTTACAGATTACAGCTTTCTCAGTAGGTATCACTATACTAAATCAAAGAATTATTTGAAAAGACGATATCGAATTCGTCACTGAATTCCCATGTTTTTTGGGACACCCTGTAGTATAAAACTCATTGAAAAATTGTCAAGACGACATTTGATATATTCTTCCGATGTATTCGTTATTATGGGTTTCACTGTAGTTAACTGTACAATGCAGGGATATAAACAAAAGCTATCCCCTTAAAATCGTCTTTGACAATCGGAAGTCAAAGGCGGGAACATTTGCTATGAATGCTAAGCTTTTCATAATGTGATCTACTAATTTTTGGATCTTAAACGATTACGAGTTGTTCTTAGAAATTTGGTAAGAAATTTTAGGGAATGTCAAAACAATGAAAGGGGGTGTAGGCTGAAACCTAATTATTTAAGGAGTTGAACGAGGCCCATAAGAGTTCTATTTGATGTTCCTGTATCAAAATTGATATAAAACTGAGTCAAATTTATACGAAAATGTATGTATATAAAGTTTTGTATAAAAATCGTAGGATTAAACAGATTATATTCAGCAAATACGCAACCAATCTGAAAACAACGATATCCCAGAGGAGCCTGAAAAACTTAGGTTTACTCCTATTATTATTTAAATTTAATAATTTTTAATTTTTAAAACATATATAATTGATAATATAATTGAATTGTCCGTATTATGTGAAGAGATCTGACACGTGCAATGATACTGCCTATA